GGGTTTTGGTGTTGTTGGTTGGGTTGGTGGTGTGTTGGTTGGTGTTTGTTGGGTGTTGGCTGGGGTTGGTGTGTGGGTGGGTGGAGTTGGGGTGTTGAGTGGGTTGGTGGTTTTTGATTCGTTTTGGGGGTGGTGGTTGATGGGTGGGTAGGGGTTTGGGTGTGGGTGTATGGGTGTGGTGGGTGGGGGTTTGTGGTGTTGCTGGCGTGGGTGGCGGTGCGGTGGCTTTGGCGGTGTGTTCGCGGTTACGGGGCGAAGTATTGGGCTGTATTTTATTGGGTTGGATTGTGGGCTATAGTGCGTGGTGTGCCGGGTTGTTGGGTAGAGGCGGGAGTGTGTGTGAGGGGCGGGGGCTGGCGTCGGTTGTTGGTGCGCGTGTGTGGTGGGTGTTGTTGGAAGCGGTTGGCCGAGGTTGCTAGGTGAAGGGGACCGGCTATTAATATATGTGCCGCCGCCATATACCCCGGGCGACGTGTGACCAGAGGAACGTGAACGAAATAACGTTCGATTAGTTGTACGTCTAAGATAGAACGCTCTCAATGGCTGGATATAAGCTGGGAAGCACTTGAGAAAACCGTGAGATGATTGATCTAGGTTGACTGTCGTAATGTTTCCTTGAGTGTAGGGTGATATCCGTGCGGCGTACGGGGTTCAACGGGACGGATGTAATAGTGGACTGCCAATGCTGCGGACAAGTGTGGTGAGGGACGGTGGATTAACCGGCATGTGATCTTCATTGGTGGGACTGCTAGTTGGTTGCCCTTGCAAGTTAGCAGCAATAAGTGGGGTGGAGAGGCGAGAATGGAGATGGCCTGTTTGCTTTTGTTAGTCAGTGGGGTTGGTGGTTGACTCATATGTAGGGCTCTTGTTCGTTGTCATTGCCATAGTATTAGTTTCGGTTGACATGGTTCTTACGGGGTACCACAGCTTCTTATGATGATGTAGTTGTTCTGTTCGCTATTCTCCTATCGTTGTTCATCAATTTATAAGTCCGAGTTGAGGATAGGATGAATAGGTAAGTATTGGGGAGAGGGTCGTATAAAATAACCTTTATACCACGAATCTGAGAAAATGCTTCCAAGTTTGACATTAAGATATCCTCCACAGACATCTAAACATCTTGCATTCCCAACTTGTACGAACTTTTATTTTCTTAAGTTTTTCGTCCTACAGTCTGTTCAGACACTTTGTTTAATGCTCTTCGTTTGGTTAAAGGACAAATTATCTCATATTTCTGTTCCTGACATAAACATTCTGGGGCAGAGTCACACATAAATGATAACGTTTCAAAAATTCCTCTTGACTGCTTTGTTATAGTCTCCTAAAATGGACACAATATTTCTGAATTGCTGGAAGTCATAACAAATCTGAAACATCTATTTGTACATTTTTATAGAAATATAAAGATAAATTTTTTTTGTTATTGCTTGACTTGTTTTGTTCCATTTGTTGCATTTGGTTTGTCTCTTGAGGCTATTTTGTTTGTTGAAGTTGTTCTGTAATACAATACTTCACCAGTTGCATCTTCCAATCGGAAAATTTCCTGCCGTCAATGACAAATACATATGGACATAAAAATTTACAGGAACCAGAAGTTTTGCGGTCAACTAATGTCAACGTTATATCCTTGCCAAAGTGTTTGGGAGTTCACTAAGGTTGAAAATTCGTGTCATTCGAAGAACAATAGGCCAACAAGCACGAGAAAGAGTATTGTTTATATCGCAATAAGTATCTTGGGTCATAATACGTTTCTGTCGACATTCGAATAACCACTTTTGAACCTAAGTTTGAAAACAATATATAGATTGGTGTGCTTAAATGTCAATGGAAATAGACATTCTTGTATGACACCTTTTCCCTGTTAAGGAACTGTTGGTAGTAAAAACCAGAAATAAGTTTTTGTATTATAGCTCATATCGTTTATATAAAACTCAGTCCGGAGCATCCAAACATAAATGAAACCTCTCTAGTTGCCAGCACATGTTACCAACCCGTACTTAAAAGTATTTAAATAAGTCAACAAAACCTGTTGTGGTAATATCTGAGTAACGTATCCTTCAAAAGGAGTATTTTTTACTCCATTCACAACAATAAAGTCTTCTGGTGTCAAAAGCGCAAATACCAAGTCTTTAGTCGTCATTGTGTTACAGGTTATTGTTTACATATATCTGGTCCTTTGAGGACTTTGTAAAAGTTTTGTTGTTTAATGAATTACATGACTCAGGTGTTTTAGTCGTAATAGTAAACAATTTTGTCTTCTGCCAATTTTATCTTAGAATATACAATTTAATTGAATGTTGTGGCGTCAAATAATTATTTCATATACGTCTGGGAGACTAAATATTTTAGTTCAAGCGTTTCACCTCCTATTTCATACGTATATCTTTGTCAATGAATTTATGAGCGGTCTGTTGATGAACGCCTACAGCAACCAATGTCGGGTTCTATTTCTTTGATTTTTTTATGTATCGTCTGCCTCTGTCAAAAAGTTTCAATAGTTTCTTTCAAAACTTCATGAGGTGCAATGACATATGAGTTCATTTTACAGGGTTGGTTTCGACCAAGTTTAACATTATACTTAAAGCTTGACAAATCTTCTCCTGAGTTTGAAGTTTGTTCTTCAGTTGTTGGTAGTGTCATTTTCGAATTATCTGCAACAGAACTTAAGTCTCTGTTAACTTCAGGATATGTTGTTTTCTTTACAGAACAATTGTTATACCATCTTCGTCTCCGTATGGTTTTCCCCACTTCACATCTCTGTCTTTGACATTGACAATAACACTTTGATGCTTTTTGTTTTGAGTGGTTGGTAATTTAACTTCACATCTGCACCGCCATTAAACTCTTTGAAACACTTACGCTTTGCTATTTTTCGGAAATGACGTTTTTACTTAGATAAAAAATGGACGTATTCGGATATTCTTATTGAATTGAAGCAGAACAAAGTTTATACTCACAAACAATACAAATACATTGACAGAATAGTTTTCTTTACACAACAATGGAAAGATGTTATAGAGAAAGTGCAATATTTGCTGAACCAAAATATTTTCATAAAGCAAAGAAAGTTGTATAACTGAAATGGTGAAGTTCTTGAAGCAGACAAAATATAACTTCAACTTTACAGATATTTTACTAAAGGAAAGTTATAAAATAAATATTATGTCAACAACTGGCGTACTGTCATATATTTGACGGAGAAGAAGTTAGTTCAAGAACAACCTATCTGACTGCTGCCAAAATCTGCTCGATGGAAGCTTCGTTATGACCACAATCTGAGGAGCCCCAGCAGGTTTCATCGAACGAATCTTCAAAGAGCATTCTTCCGTGAAAAGTGCTATTGGTTTTGTAAACTTCTTTGCTTTCAATTCATCTGGACCGTCTCTGTCACAGTATATTGTATTTGAACTGTACCACAGTTGAAATACACCCATAAAGTCTTCTGAGTCAGCAAATGGAATGCCAAGCCAAAAGTTTGAACGGTCTCCATTTGTATATTGAGTTTTTTGACCTCCTGTATGAGTCCATACTTTCACATATGGCATAATAGAACTTTGCATTTCAGGGTTAAATAGTTGTTTGAAGTTGTTGTTAAAGTTCATAGCATCTAATGTCAAGTTGTATGACCTCATATCCTCAACTGTAGAATATTCTTCTCTTGGATAATATTGCCATCTATGTTTATATGATATTTAATACCAGGGTTGTAGAAACAAGAATAGTCATTTATAGTTCGTCTGAAAGTAACAAACATAGTATCTGCATGTTTCATTGCAGTTGTTAAAAACAATATCTGTTCTTGCATCTGCGGCTCCTGGATTTTGGTTTCCAACTTCACCTGCAAAGTCTTTGACAGATATTTGGTGTATAGGGAACATAAGTGGAACTGCAATATATTTGGCAGCTAAAGCATTTGAAATATATGGTCAACATATAGACTGCAAGTCTGCTTTCTATTCTCTTGCATTCAAACTGTTCGCAATGTAAACTTAACTGGGTCCCAAGCAGTTCCAGCAGCATTGAAATAATAGTTTACTTCATTGTTGAAGTTTGAGAAACCAAAGTCTAAGTCAACTTTGTCTTTTTGCAAAATTCGGCGAATGACGTTTGATTTGTTCCCTTTACGTCTGTAATAGTGAATGGGTCTTGTGTTGGTGCAATGACTAAGTTATTTTTGCTTGGAGTAAGTTCGATAGAAATTTTTCCTGCCCAGTTGGGCAAGTATCTTAAGAACCTAAAGATGAGGAAAGATGACAAAGGAACTCTAAGTTTCAGTTTTACTTTGGTTACTGCTGCTGCAGTTTGTCCAGAAAGGTTAACATAAACTCCTGGAACGTTAGGGTCAAGTCTTCTTATTTTCTCAATAGTTGCATACTGGTCTGTTTGTTCTCTAGCTTGTGGTTGTACTGAGTTTCTCAAAGCGAACCATTCATAGTTTAGCCCATGTTACTGTTTTGAACTAAGTCAGAGTTAGAATATATCTTATATCCCATGAAAACTTCTGGAGCATATTGGTATCCGACATAGAAAATTCCATTGCAACCTTTCTTGTCAGACAACTTGGCAGAAGGTTTTATTTCAATGTCTTGTCCACGTATAAGAATGAGTTGTCAATAGAAATAATGTGAAACCTGTCGCAAGCAATATCTACTGTTGTTGAAGAACCTTCTCCAAACTCACCTACGTTTCCATAAGAAACAGCAGTTGTATATTCGTAAGTTCCAGGAACTATTTCTGACCTTCTAATGGCATTGTCGCATTCGTTATACCATTCGGAAACATTTTCCGTTCATGGCATCCAAAACTGTTGGCGTTATATTCTGAGCGGCGTACATTTCATATGGGTAAAAATATAGAATAGTTGGATTTATTTGTCATAATAGAACCCACTCTTACCAAGCTTTACTTTCTCCCTGACTGAGTTTTTAACTCTTCTTTTTCCTTCATTGCCTACTTTCACTAGATGAAGTTACTTCTTCACTACTTTCACTTTGTTCTACTCTTCTCTTCTTCTTTGGTGTTGCTTTTGGTAACTTGCCCTCTGCTTCAAGTTGTTGCATCTTTGCCTCATGTTCACCTAGTATGTTGTAAATTTCCCATGTCCTTTTTGCCCTTGGGCTCTGGTCGCCCATCTCAGGTAACCTATATCCTAGAAAGATTTTGTCATAGTTTGTATTTGAGTCTTCGCTTATTGTTTGCATGACTCTTTCCTGAGTTTCCGGTTCAAGCTCTTCAAACAGAGCTTGTCCATATGGAATAAGCTCGTTTCCAAATATATGTTTTTGTAGCCATTCTGGTTTTCTTTTCATGTAACCAATAATATCTTTTGTGAATGGGAAAGCTTTTACCCAACGTTTCAGTCTTGCGTCATTTATTTCTGTAGTTGGTTTTATTTTGTCATGGAACATGTTTTTCAATACTAACATTTCATTTGGTACTGTCCATTTGAGTTTTCTTAAATATTCATCCCTTCTCAGTTCATTGTCTGCAAAGTAAGTTTTTATGACATTTTGCAAACTTTCGTTTGCAAGGTCATGTACAATAGGTTCTCTTCCTTCTCTCTCCCTAACTTTCTTTCTAAACTCTTCACAAAATATACCATCTCTATGGTTCTGTGTAGTTCTTTGAGATAAATGTTCTAGAACGTCAGGTGTTATATTTCCCTCAGCCATGTTCATTTCATACAGTTAGTATACATAACAAGGGTACGACGGCACTGCGTTCCACCGTACCCCTGTTATGTGAATTTGACACTTTACGAAACCGTTAACGTATATTTTACAACACAAACGACAACACTAACTTAACCTTAAATATTTATAAAGCCGCCAACCACTTCACCTCACTAATGTTTTCACAAACGACTTTACTACTGTAAAAAATAAACGTTCTCACTTACAAAAGTATTGCAACTCCTCCCATTGCTGTGCTTCATATAACAGCTCATAATCTTCTGACTCACTTTCTTCTTCATATAGGTCAAAATCACTGTCATAGTTTATACCTGTAAGTTTTGACAAAGCTAATGAAACACGCTTACCGTTTGTATCTATTGCTTGTATAAACTTTCCATTATGCTTGTAGTCATAAACGCTCAAACTAACTTTACCCTTTCTCCCTCGTATCTGATAGAATGTATTTTCACGAGGAACGAAGAACAAATTCTTGAACTCATGACCGTTGTAGTTTGTTATCTCAATAGTTTTCGTCATTTATATAAAAATAAAATAAAAAATAAACTTAAAAATTAATAATATCACCACCCTCACACGTATGAAAACATAGCACAAAAATAAATTTAGGTGAAGTGGTGAGATCTCACCTCTTTTTTCACCTGTTTTTTCACCCTGTTGAATTCATTGCTTTATAACTCTCTTCCTTGGTTTCTTTTTAGTTGCTTTCTTCACGTCTGTCTCCAACTTGACTGTCTTTCTTCTTCGTCCGTAATGATACCAGTTACTTCCACCAGTCAATGGGTCAAATGGTCTTTCGTAAGGGTTTCCATACATTCCATAGGGACCATACGGAAGAACTACTGGTGGAGAAGAAACATTTTCTTTAGTTCCATCGACTCTATTTAAATGCATTGTTTCACCTTTCATCTGGTCATTAAAGTCTTTTGCATGTTTTGCAAACTCATCGTCCTTTCCTAAAGCATTTTCTGACTCAGTCGCAACCAAATTGGATGCTTTATTTATGAGCCCTATTTTATTTAATCTTAACTTCTTTGCAACCCAGCCTCCAATCTTTCCTTTATTTGCATCTAATGTCTTTGAAACCCTTCCTCCACTCATTTTATTTACTGCGTCATAAGCTCCAAGTGCTTTTGCTCCAAATGCTAATGCTTTTGTTCCCATTGCGCCTAAAGCTGCCCAAGCTACCATTTACCCCATATTAAAATCATCTCTCTTCAATATTATCTCATAAAAGTTCTCGTTACTGGAGAAAGTCAATGAAACATAAGCGTTCTCACGGGCTTCGCCCTCACCGCTTTGCGGTCTATCTAACTTCTTTCTTATCTCATCTATTCGCTTCAAAATGTCTGAACAATTGCTAACATCTTCTACAACAGTTATTTCATCATGAATGACCTTCAAGAACAAACTCATTTAATATGCTATTAAAATCATCTCAATAATGAGTCCATCCTTTCCATCTTTAGGTAGCACAACATCTTTCATTGAAGAAGGTTCGACAAGTCTTATGTTAAACTTACTGACAAAGTTTGTTATACTATAATGCTTCGGCGGCGAATACATGTAGTTTGAAAGACATAATATAGATTCTTCAGCAAATTCACTTATACTGGATTTTATAACAATGTTCTCACGAGACCAAATACCACCAATTGACAATCTTGTAAGCAATCCTGCTGAACCTTCTACTGTAAATGTCGATGGTAACATTCCACGAAGGTCATCTATTGACATCTTTGAGTCACTGAATTTAAATATTTTCTTAAAGCAATCGTCATTATCTAACCATGCAATAGCTTTGAAGTTTTCATTCGAATATACATCTGCTTCATTAAATGTAAATCCTGACTTCTTTGCAGAGATGACTTTAAAATCTATTGAGTTTGTTTCAAAATTATATGCTATGGTAACTTCTGAAGGTAATGGATGTCCTTCCGCAGTAAGTTGTTCTCTCACTACTGTTTGAAGCTTTGTATTAAAAACTTTCATGTCATCTCCTGTATCTAAGTTCACATACACAGCAACAGGGAAACTATCTTGCTTCTTTGTTTCATCATTATATCTCAAAACATTAAAGTTCTTCAATAATATTGTCCTTCCTGCTGGAATACTTCTAACTTGTCTTATTTCAATAGCTTTCTCACCTCCTACATACTCTACCCAGTGCCTTGGATATTCATAAGTATACTGACTTTCTTGAATTTTGGTAGGTTTCATCATAACGTGTTCATAGTATATCTTTATACTCTTGTCAGTTAGACTCGGTGCTATGTTCTGAATATTTCTGACTTGCATTTTTAATGGAGATAAAATGAAGCATTTAATACATGACGTAGATGAAGACATGAATGAAACCACAGATAAACTTAACTCTTCTCTCATTCTTCCTTTCAGCAAAGATTATGAGTTCTGTTCAAATGGTGTGTATTTCTATTGTGGAAAGATGGGTTCAGGTAAGACATTTAACCTCATTCGTCATATACTCATAACAGAGCGTTTAGGAAATGACTCTTACTATGACCAAATCATTATATCAGCAACTTCAGACTCTATGGATTCAACAGCGAAAACATTTATGTCAAAAGTTCAAGCCTCTGTCGTTAAAGTTCCAGACAGTGAACTCATTGAATTTCTTCAACGTTACATTCGACGTAAGAGAAAATATTATGCCATCGTAGAGTTCATACAGTCAGGAATGCAAAAGACCTCGGAAGAAATGGAAAGAATTATTGACAAACACCACTTACGTCAGTACTCAGGAGTTTACGATATGAAACGACTGACAAACTACATTCTATCAAAACTTTCAAAATACCCCTTCAAAAAGTATCCTTCAAACACTCTGCTCGTTTGCGACGACTTCGCTGGTAAAGGTTTAGTTTCAAAACCAGACTCACCATTAGCTAACATCATTACTAAAGTCAGACATTACCATTTAACTGTAGCAATACTTATGCAAACATGGCGTTTTCTTGCTTTAAACATAAAACGTCTCATAACTGACTTCGTTATCTTTCAAGGTTTCTCACGCTATGATATTGAACTCATTTGGAAACAGTCAGGTATAACATTACCTTTTGAAGAAATTTGGGAAGCATATAAGTCTCTCATCTCTCCTCGTTCATACCTTGAGATTCATATCATGACTAATACCATTAAAGTCAAAAATATTCCATGGGAACGACCAACATTATTTTAAAGCTTAACCTTCAATTGACTGATGGTAAACAAATTCCATGCATCTCTGTCGCCATTTCTGTTAATATTTTTGCTGTCATTCATATCATCCACTTCCCCATCCGTTAGCTTTTGAGGATATGCGTTAGAATAGCTGTTCTTAAATGAAGGCTTTTCACCTTTGAGAGCATAAACTCTATAACTTTCTGCATACTTTATGTTTGAACCTCCTGAGCCATCATTGACATAAATTTTTATAGGCTTCCACCCTTTGTTCATATTCCTGCTTCTTCCCTTTGCTCTTTTGTTCAGTAGTTCTACATCTTTATACACAGCTCCTGTCTCAGTGAATTCAACAATATTTTCATTCGTTAGCTTTACATTCAAACCCTTGTCGAGTATATTGTTCATTTCATACATATAAAAGGTTTTTATTCTATATGAAATGAGAAGTAAGTCCATCTTAGCTGGTGCCGTTAATGTTCCAATTGAACCAACATCAAATGTTGACTCACGAACGACAAACAATATTGTCATAAAGAACTATAGTTCGGAGTGTTTGAAAGAAAAAGAACCAGATCTTAAGTCGGTGAATTTAAACACAGCTTCAAACGCTAACACTACATCAGATGTTAAGTTAGAGTATCCACCACTGGACCAAGTTCTTTCAAGAGAAGCCAACGACAATCCTTACACAAATGTTCAAACAAATCCTTCAGATAACGTAGACCATTACCTTCTTCAGTTATACCAAACAATTTTACTCAAAGACGATAAGAAGCTTTTGACAAATCTTATAAGTAAGAACCAAATAATTCTAAAAAGGAGGACCTTGAAAATGTTATATCACGAATAACAGGAAAGCAATGTGTCATTGACTATCTCGACCCTGAAATCGAATGCTGTGGTCAAACGCCAATATTCATGAAAATAGGTAACATCCGCATCATTGAAACACCAGGAACTACAGGAGTTGAGTTTAAGTATAAATATTCGAACGAGTATACAAAACTTTCAACAGAATATGAGCTTTGTTTGAAATATGTTTTAGTAAATTAAAGCAACTTATAGTATCTATCCAAAACTTCTTCAACAGTATCGAACTCATCTTCATAATGCAAACCTAATCTTATTGACTTGGTGCAGTTTTCACTAACACAATATTTTTCTGTTCTCTTGACTGACATAACTAACTCATTTGTTTCATCAAACAGCAACAACCAAAGTTCATGACCTAATACATAACATTCATACTTTATATTTTTAGCTCTGAGTTCTCTTGTAAGCCGTTGCATTTAATATTTTCTAAAAAGTCAACTTCAACAGTCATTCGCACTGGTGCCTTCAGTTCTACCGGCTCTCCTTGAAAGTCAACAAGTCTGAATTGCATGTCTTTCAAATTATGAGGACTAATGCGAACCCATTTACCTAAATGAGTTGCTATGACAGGAACGTTTGGAATGAACATTGAATTTACTTCATAACAGAAGGATTTATATTCTACTGAACCTTTACTATTAACTCCTGAAATACCTGTGACATTAGCTATTTTTGACTCAACGTACAAACAATTACCATAACATACGTATGGAACAGATTTCATCTCAATCGTTTTGTCAACACTTTTCAAAGGAAATGTCATATGGTATGCTCCCAGAAGCAATTGAACTCTATGACTCATTCTTGGTATCTTAAACTCCTTCGCATAACTGAACTTCAAAACTCCTGCAATAAGTTTAACATTCATTAAGTTTTCTTCGTTATCCTTGTTTATTGTAGTACTTATGAGAGCATTTAACACTCCAGCTAATGTTTCCATCTTATATTCTACATTATTGTGAAATCTTATTTCATGCTTCTTTCCATCTATTTCAAGCTCCATGAAATCTGTTTCATCTGTTATAACGAATGAAGCGATAGTATTGAAGTCAACCATTCTGAATGCAAGCGCTTCATTCTGTAGACCTAAGTTTGTTTGTAGCTTTACTGTCCCGTATTCGTTTGGGTCTGTACTTTGCAAATAGAACAACATTTTATTCTCATTAAAATATGAGTATAGCTGCATATGCGTATGAAGCTGACAGAGCTAAACTTTTATATTTTGGTCAATACTCTCTCACACTTACTGACAAATATATTGTTATCAGTGATGGAAATACCGAGAAATACATAACATGGAAGGACTATGAAAAGTTTGACCCTATTTTAACTCCATGTACTATGCCATTCATTGTAAATGGTGAAGTTGTCATGAAGAACGACACAACAGTATATAAGTCTGTTCATGAAGCATTAGAATATATGTTGAATTATAATCCCGAAAGATTTGATCCAAGCACTACGCCATGTGCAATGCCTTTTATTAAGGACGGTGAAATCGTAAGAGTTCCGGATTCAACGGTTTACACAGCTGTTCAAAACAGTTTACAAAACATTTTAGCGAATATCTTTAATTCAGAAAACAGAAATAAAATTACCGTATATAACAGATGCTAAAGAAATTAAATCAAAAACGACAACATTATTTACGTCACTTAATGATTTAATGACATATATCATTAATATTCCTGCACCAACTACAGCATTTGATCCAAACTCGACGGTTTGCAGTGTACCTTTCATAAATGACAGTTCATTAATTACTTTAAGGGATTCGACAGTAAATGAATCATTAAAGGCGTCATTAATGAAAATCATTGATTTTAAAATTCATTCACGAATACATATAATTCATTAATGTTTCATATGCTTCTAAAGAAGGTGAGCCAAAAACTATCGATAAAGCGGTGTATGAAATAAAAGCATCAACGACGAAATTGAATTCGTTAACTTTTGACGGTGATAGTTTCGTTAATGACATAACATCGGGGAAAACAATTTTAACGAAAGAATACTTAAAATCTCATGTTAGTGAGTTCGTTGAAATTGAAAAAGAAGGTGGAATTAAGTTCGATCCACTGAATTCATTTTCAGCTTAGCGAATGCGGGTATTAATTTTGCTGAATGGACAACAATACAGAGTGAAATAAATGCAATATGGACGTTTTTGGGGTCAAAAGCGGGAATGGGTGAGCTTGTAAATGCTGCAAGAACATTAGGTGAAACAGGAAATTTGTAGATGGTTTTAAAAGACTTGTTTCAAATGTTTTAACAAACACAAAGAAATTATTTAGATATACCATACATAACGGTCAGATTTTCGAACAGATAGCAACAAACCCTCCGGTTATGGCTGCGTTGATGATGGTTAGAGATATAAAACCACGTAACGACGGGAACGAAGAACATGAACAACAGATACTGGTCGGGTTATTCGAGACATTAAAAACGTGTATCCTGAAGTTATTGATTTATTTAGAGGTGTTAATGATTCGATTTCAAATCATTCTATAACCCTTGATGAAGAGAATAAATTAACAGATTATATGTTCGTCATTATTGCAGAATTAATGAAGAGAATAAATGAAAAAGGAATTGGTGATATCATTAATGTCAGCGATGTAATGATGAAAAGAAATTTTGACTCATTATTTACAAAACCGAAAACAGAATATAGTCTTTATGACGTAATTACCGAATTAATGAAAAAGATTAATGATAATAAGAGTTCTGGCGGAAGAGTTGAATTAGAAGTGAATGATGTTAATGAGAAATTAGCCGAAAAAGCAGACAAAAATGAGCTTTTAGCTCTGAGTGATAAAGTCAAGAACCACGTTCATTATATAACTTCAGACGAACAGATTATAACGAACTACCATGGATATTTAACACGAAGTGATGAAGCGAAGACAAAAAATGTTAATGAAAGAAGATATAAATACATTCGTGCTAAAGGTTATGACATAAGCTGTACTGTACAGTATGATGTAGCTAAAGCACCAAAGCATTTGGTTATACCGGTGAAATTTATGCCTCTACTTTCAATGTTAACGGTGTATTAGTTGAACCAAGATTTTACTTTGAGAGTTAAGTCAAAAATAACGTTTGAAGATGCTATTAAAAGTAAAGCTGACAAAGTTGAACTTGAAGCAACGAACAAAGTTTTGAAATCTCATAAACACAACATCTCCGATATAAATGAACTTCAAGCTACATCATACTGTACAGTACAGCTTATGTCATAACCTTTAGCACGAATGTATTTATATCTTCTTTCATTAACATTTTTTGTCTTCGCTTCATCACTTCGTGTTAAATATCCATGGTAGTTCGTTATAATCTGTTCGTCTGAAGTTATATAATGAACGTGGTTCTTGACTTTATCACTCAGAGCTAAAAGCTCATTTTTGTCTGCTTTTTCGGCTAATTTCTCATTAACATCATTCACTTCTAATTCAACTCTTCCGCCAGAACTCTTATTATCATTAATCTTTTTCATTAATTCGGTAATTACGTCATAAAGACTATATTCTGTTTTCGGTTTTGTAAATAATGAGTCAAAATTTCTTTTCATCATTACATCGCTGACATTAATGATATCACCAATTCCTTTTTCATTTATTCTCTTCATTAATTCTGCAATAATGACGAACATATAATCTGTTAATTTATTCTCTTCATCAAGGGTTATAGAATGATTTGAAATCGAATCATTAACACCTCTAAATAAATCAATAACTTCAGGATACACGTTTTTAATGTCTCGAATAACCCGACCAGTATCCTGTTGTTCATGTTCTTCGTTCCCGTCGTTACGTGGTTTTATATCTCTAACCATCATCAACGCAGCCATAACCGGAGGGTTTGTTGCTATCTGTTCGAAAATCTGACCGTTATGTATGGTATATCTAAATAATTTCTTTGTGTTTGTTAAAACATTTGAAACAAGTCTTTTAAAACCATCTACAAAATTTCCTGTTTCACCTAATGTTCTTGCAGCATTTACAAGCTCACCCATTCCCGCTTTTGACCCCAAAAACGTCCATATTGCATTTATTTCACTCTGTATTGTTGTCCATTCAGCAAAATTAATACCCGCATTCGCTAAGCTGAAAATGAAATTCAGTGGATCGAACTTAATTCCACCTTCTTTTTCAATTTCAACGAACTCACTAACATGAGATTTTAAGTATTCTTTCGTTAAAATTGTTTTCCCCGATGTTATGTCATTAACGAAACTATCACCGTCAAAAGTTAACGAATTCAATTTCGTCGTTGATGCTTTTATTTCATACACCGCTTTATCGATAGTTTTTGGCTCACCTTCTTTAGAAGCATATGAAACATTAATGAATGAATTATATGTATTCGTGAATGAATTAAAATCAATGATTTTCATTAATGACGCCTTTAATGATTCATTTACTGTCGAATCCCTTAAAGTAATTAATGAACTGTCATTTATGAAAGGTACACTGCAAACCGTCGAGTTTGGATCAAATGCTGTAGTTGGTGCAGGAATATTAATGATATATGTCATTAAATCATTAAGTGACGTAAATAACGTTGTCGTTTTTGATTTAATTTCTTTAGCATCTGTTATATACGGTAATTTTATTTCTGTAGTTTCTGAATTAAAGATATTCGCTAAAATGTTTTGTAAACTGTTTTGAACAGCTGTGTAAACCGTTGAATCCGGAACTCTTACGATTTCACCGTCCTTAATAAAAGGCATTGCACATGGCGTAGTGCTTGGATCAAATCTTTCGGGATTATAATTCAACATATATTCTAATGCTTCATGAACAGACTTATATACTGTTGTGTCGTTCTTCATGACAACTTCACCATTTACAATGAATGGCATAGTACATGGAGTTAAAATAGGGTCAAACTTTTCATAGTCCTTCCATGTTATGTATTTCTCGGTATTTCCATCACTGATAACAATATATTTGTCAGTAAGTGTGAGAGAGTATTGACCAAAATATAAAAGTTTAGCTCTGTCAGCTTCATACGCATATGCAGCTATACTCATATTTTAATGAGAATAAAATGTTGTTCTATTTGCAAAGTACAGACCCAAACGAATACGGGACAGTAAAGCTACAAACAAACTTAGGTCTACAGAATGAAGCGCTTGCATTCAGAATGGTTGACTTCAATACTATCGCTTCATTCGTTATAACAGATGAAACAGATTTCATGGAGCTTGAAATAGATGGAAAGAAGCATGAAATAAGATTTCACAATAATGTAGAATATAAGATGGAAACATTAGCTGGAGTGTTAAATGCTCTCATAAGTACTACAATAAACAAGGATAACGAAGAAAACTTAATGAATGTTAAACTTATTGCAGGAGTTTTGAAGTTCAGTTATGCGAAGGAGTTTAAGATACCAAGAATGAGTCATAGAGTTCAATTGCTTCTGGGAGCATACCATATGACATTTCCTTTGAAAAGTGTTGACAAAACGATTGAGATGAAATCTGTTCCATACGTATGTTATGGTAATTGTTTGTACGTTGAGTCAAAAATAGCTAATGTCACAGGTATTTCAGGAGTTAATAGTAAAGGTTCAGTAGAATATAAATCCTTCTGTTATGAAGTAAATTCAATGTTCATTCCAAACGTTCCTGTCATAGCAACTCATTTAGGTAAATGGGTTCGCATTAGTCCTCATAATTTGAAAGACATGCAATTCAGACTTGTTGACTTTCAAGGAGAGCCGGTAGAACTGAAGGCACCAGTGCGAATGACTGTTGAAGTTGACTTTTTAGAAAATATTAAATGCAACGGCTTACAAGAGAACTCAGAGCTAAAAATATAAAGTATGAATGTTATGTATTAGGTCATGAACTTTGGTTGTTGCTGTTTGATGAAACAAATGAGTTAGTTATGTCAGTCAAGAGAACAGAAAAATATTGTGTTAGTGAAAACTGCACCAAGTCAATAAGATTAGGTTTGCATTATGAAGATGAGTTCGATACTGTTGAAGAAGTTTTGGATAGATACTATAAGTTGCTTTAATTTACTAAAACATATTTCAAACAAAGCTCATATTCTGTTGAAAGTTTTGTATACTCGTTCGAATATTTATACTTAAACTCAACTCCTGTAGTTCCTGGTGTTTCAATGATGCGGATGTTACCTATTTTCATGAATATTGGCGTTTGACCACAGCATTCGATTTCAGGGTCGAGATAGTCAATGACACATTGCTTTCCTGTTATTCGTGATATAACATTTTCAAGGTCCTCCTTTGTTAGAATTATTTGGTTCTTACTTATAAGATTTGTCAAAAGCTTCTTATCGTCTTTGAGTAAAATTGTTTGGTATAACTGAAGAAGGTAATGGTCTACGTTATCTGAAGGATTTGTTTGAACATTTGTGTAAGGATTGTCGTTGGCTTCTCTTGAAAGAACTTGGTCCAGTGGTGGATACTCTAACTTAACATCTGATGTAGTGTTAGCGTTTGAAGCTGTGTTTAAATTCACCGACTTAAGATCTGGTTCTTTTTCTTTCAAACACTCCGAACTATAGTTCTTTATGACAATATTGTTTGTCGTTCGTGAGTCAACATTTGATGTTGGTTCAATTGGAACATTAACGGCACCAGCTAAGATGGACTTACTTCTCATTTCATATAGAATAAAAACCTTTTATATGTATGAAATGAACAATATACTCGACAAGGGTTTGAATGTAAAGCTAACGAATGAAAATATTGTTGAATTCACTGAGACAGGAGCTGTGTATAAAGATGTAGAACTACTGAACAAAAGAGCAAAGGGAAGAAGCAGGAATATGAACAAAGGGTGGAAGCCTATAAAAATTTATGTCAATGATGGCTCAGGAGGTTCAAACATAAAGTATGCAGAAAGTTATAGAGTTTATGCTCTCAAAGGTGAAAAGCCTTCATTTAAGAACAGCTATTCTAACGCATATCCTCAAAAGCTAACGGATGGGGAAGTGGATGATATGAATGACAGCAAAAATATTAACAGAAATGGCGACAGAGATGCATGGAATTTGTTTACCATCAGTCAATTGAAGGTTAAGCTTTAAAATAATGTTGGTCGTTCCCATGGAATATTTTTGACTTTAATGGTATTAGTCATGATATGAATCTCAAGGTATGAACGAGGAGAGATGAGAGACTTATATGCTTCCCAAATTTCTTCAAAAGGTAATGTTATACCTGACTGTTTCCAAATGAGTTCAATATCATAGCGTGAGAAACCTTGAAAGATAACGAAGTCAGTTATGAGACGTTTTATGTTTAAAGCAAGAAACGCCATGTTTGCATAAGTATTGCTACAGTTAAATGGTAATGTCTGACTTTAGTAATGATGTTAGCTAATGGTGAGTCTGGTTTTGAAACTAAACCTTTACCAGCGAAGTCGTCGCAAACGAGCAGAGTGTTTGAAGGATACTTTTTGAAGGGGTATTTTGAAAGTTTTGATAGAATGTAGTTTGTCAGTCGTTTCATATCGTAAACTCCTGAGTACTGACGTAAGTGGTGTTTGTCAATAATTCTTTCCATTTCTTCCGAGGTTTTTTGCATTCCTGACTGTATGAACTCTACGATGGCATAATATTTTCTCTTACGTCGAATGTAACGTTGAGAAATTCAATGAGTTCACTGTCTGGAACTTTAACGACAGAGGCTTGAACTTTTGACATAAATGTTTTCGCTGTTGAATCCATAGAGTCTGAAGTTGCTGATATAATGATTTGGTCATAGTAAGAGTCATTTCCTAAACGCTCTGTTATGAGTATATGACGAATGAGGTTAAATGTCTTACCTGAACCCATCTTTCCACAATAGAAATACACACCATTTGAACAGAACTCATAATCTTTGCTGAAAGGAAGAATGAGAGAAGAGTTAAGTTATCTGTGGTTTCATTCATGTCTTCATCTACGTCATGTATTAAATGCTTCATTTTATCTCCATTAAAAATGCAAGTCAGAATATTCAGAACATAGCACCGAGTCTAACTGACAAGAGTATAAAAGATATACTATGAACACGTTATGATGAAACCTACCAAAATTCAAGAAAGTCAGTATACTTATGAATATCCAAGGCACTGGGTAGAGTATGTAGGAGGTGAGAAAGCTATGAAATAAGACAAGTTAGAAGTATTCCAGCAGGAAGGACAATATTATTGAAGAACTTTAATGTTTTGAGATATAATGATGAAACAAAGAAGCAAGATAGTTTCCCTGTTGCTGTGTATGTGAACTTAGATACAGGAGATGACATGAAAGTTTTTAATACAAAGCTTCAAACAGTAGTGAGAGAACAACTTACTGCGGAAGGACATCCATTACCTTCAGAAGTTACCATAGCATATAATTTTGAAACAAACTCAATAGATTTTAAAGTCATCTCTGCAAAGAAGTCAGGATTTACATTTAATGAAGCAGATGTATATTCAAATGAAAAACTTCAAAGCTATTGCATGGTTAGATAATGACGATTGCTTTAAGAAAATATTTAAATTCAGTGACTCAAAGATGTCAATAGATGACCTTCGTGGAATGTTACCATCGACATTTACAGTAGAAGGTTTCAGCAGGATTGCTTACAAGATTGTCAATTGGTGGTATTTGGTCTCGTGAGAACATTGTTATAAAAATCCAGTATATAAGTGAATTTGCTGAAGAATCTATATTATGTCTTTCAAACTACATGTATTCGCCGCCGAAGCATTATAGTATAACAAACTTTGTCAGTAAGTTTAACATAAGACTTGTCGAACCTTCTTCAATGAAAGATTGTTGTGCTACCTAAAGATGGAAAGGATGGACTCATTATTGAGATGATTTTAATAGCATATTAAATGAGTTTGTTCTTGAAGGTCATTCATGATGAAATAACTGTTGTAGAAGATGTTAGCAATTGTTCAGACATTTTGAAGCGAATAGATGAATAAGAAAGAAGTTAGATAGACCGCAAAGCGGTGAGGGCGAAGCCCGTGAGAACGCTTATGTTTCATTGACTTTCTCCAGTAACGAGAACTTTTATGAGATAATATTGAAGAGAGATGATTTTAATATGGGGTAAATGGTAGCTTGGGCAGCTTTAGGCGCAATGGGAACAAAAGCATTAGCATTTGGAGCAAAAGCACTTGGGGCTTATGACGCAGTAAATAAAATGAGTGGAGGAAGGGTTTCAAAGACATTAGATGCAAATAAAGGAAAGATTGGAGGCTGGGTTGCAAAGAAGTTAAGATTAAATAAAATAGGGCTCATAAATAAAGCATCCAATTTGGTTGCGACTGAGTCAGAAAATGCTTTAGGAAAGGACGATGAGTTTGCAAAACATGCAAAAGACTTTAATGACCAGATGAAAGGTGAAACAATGCATTTAAATAGAGTCGATGGAACTAAAGAAAATGTTTCTTCTCCACCCAGTAGTTCTTCCGTATGGTCCCTATGGAATGTATGGAAACCCTTACGAAAGACCATTTGACCCATTGACTGGTGGAAGTAACTGGTATCATTACGGACGAAGAAGAAAGACAGTCAAGTTGGAGACAGACGTGAAGAAAGCAACTAAAAAGAAACCAAGGAAGAGAGTTATAAGCAATGAATTCAACAGGGTGAAAAAACAGGTTGAAAAAAGAGGTGAGATCTCACCACTTCACCTAAATTTATTTTTGTGCTATGTTTTCATACGTGTGAGGGTGGTGATATTATTAATTTTTAAGTTTATTTTTTATTTTATTTTTATATAAATGACGAAAACTATTGAGATAACAAACTACAACGGTCATGAGTTCAAGAATTTGTTCTTCGTTCCTCGTGAAAATACATTCTATCAGATACGAGGGAGAAAGGGTAAAGTTAGTTTGAGCGTTTATGACTACAAGCATAATGGAAAGTTTATACAAGCAATAGATACAAACGGTAAGCGTGTTTCATTAGCTTTGTCAAAACTTACAGGTATAAACTATGACAGTGATTTTGACCTATATGAAGAAGAAAGTGAGTCAGAAGATTATGAGCTGTTATATGAAGCACAGCAATGGGAGGAGTTGCAATACTTTTGTAAGTGAGAACGTTTATTTTTTACAGTAGTAAAGTCGTTTGTGAAAACATTAGTGAGGTGAAGTGGTTGGCGGCTTTATAAATATTTAAGGTTAAGTTAGTGTTGTCGTTTGTGTTGTAAAATATACGTTAACGGTTTCGTAAAGTGTCAAATTCACATAACAGGGGTACGGTGGAACGCAGTGCCGTCGTACCCTTGTTATGTATACTAACTCATACTGGTCCAAAATATCTGCATCTTTCATATCTTTCAATGGCATTAAAGCCGCACTGAAAATACCCGTTATATCTGGTTCACCATTCACTTCCATTGCGTCTACAACTTCTTGGAATTGAGGTTGTAAGTTTATGAACCACCTATCCGGATTAGCTTTATGACCCCATTTCATTGTAGTTCCATAGTCTGCAGAAACAAAAGTAGGTTTGTTTCCATATTGGTTAGGTTCTGAATGAACTTTAAACAATGTTTCATTTCTATATGTTTTGTTGAAATTTAACCTTTTATTTTCACCGAGTTCAGCCAAAGATTGAACGTTATATGGTCGTAAGTAAAAAGGATTATTGTATTTGCGTACATTTTCTTTCAGTACTTCCATTCTATGCTGAATATTTTCATCTGATGTTGGAGTCTTTTGTATGTTGGTGAACATTTTTCGATATTCTTCTACTATGTCAGCCGAATTTTTCTTAGACTCTTGGAAAGATTCCATATTCACCTCATACTCTTGTTGAGGGTCAAGATTTTTCGGCTGTTCCAAATCTTCATCTAGATCTGTGAAGTTAGTTTCCAAAGGAGGGACTTGTTCGTTTCCTTCAGGCTCTTCTAGCTGTTGTTGCTGAACTATTTCTTCCATGTCTGGTTGAATCTGAACTTCTTCCTGTGGAGTTTCTTGTACCTCATCTGGTGGCATTTCATATATTCCGAGACCGTTTTTAACAAGTTCCCTATCTAAGTCATCCGGACTCATAAACCTTTCTTCTTTCGTTCCGTCTCTATTTTTTACGCGTTTCATGAAGAGAGTTGAATTATCATTTAGCTCTGACATCAAATATCTCGGAGTAAATTCATCCATGTCATTTGGATGATATGCTATTAAATCATATCCCTTTGCGAGCTTGTATTTTCCAGGTTTGAGATTATATCCGATTTTATGCTGAACCATAAAGCTAAATAGGTTCGGGTCAGTATTTCCTTCCTTGAACTTTCTAATAGCTTCTTTATATCTGTCACTAAAGTCAAGAGTATCTGGGTAACCATAATCTTCCTTAAGCATTTTTAAGAATTCTTGGTTTCCTTTTTCTCTACTTCTTTTGTGTCTTTGCTCTGTTTGTGGTTGCTGTGCAGGATTTTGAACTGTTGGTTGTTGTGCTGGTTTTGGTTGTGGTGCAGGTGCTGGATTTTGAACTGTTGGTTGTTGTGCAGGGTTTTGAACTGTTGGTTTTGGTTGTTGTTGTGGTGCTGGATTTTGAACTGTTGGTTTTGGTTGTTGTTGTGGTGCTGGATTTTGAACTGTTGGTTTTGGTTGTTGTTGTGGTGCTGGATTTTGAACTGTTGGTTTTGGTTGTTGTTTTGGTGCATGCCTGTGTCTGTGTCCATGTGACAATGTAAATGTTTTAGGTAGTCCTGGTGTAGGTGCTTCTCTTGGAGGGTTTGGTGGTATATAAGTTCCACCAGCTGGCACATATGTTCCATCTGCAGCATAATGTCCTACCTGACTTTTCGTTTTTAAGAAAGCATTTACTAGGTCTGTTTTGGTCTGTTGTAACTCTTTTTCTTGACTTTCCACAACAGCTGCTCTAACGGCGTCATAGGCACTTTGGACTGCCTGTCTCGTTGCTGCATCTGTTATTTTCGTCATATTTTGTGCTACTTCTCTTAACTCTTTGTCGAAACCTTCAGACTTCAGTTTCTTTCCAGATGAGAAGTCGTTCACTAGTTTCACCTTACTATGAAGAGCTTCGAGGGCATTCTTAAAGTCAGCATTCATTAAAGCTTCATTTGAACTGTCTTCATCCGCTTGTATTTTTGTCCTTATTGACCCTATAAGTTGGGCTGCTTTAGCGTTGGCTTGGGCATCTAACCAGTCATTATTAGCTTTTATAATATCTGCGCTTTTCATTGCCTTTTGCATGGCTGCATCGTTATTTTTACTTTCTTGTGCTAAGTTTTCATACTGTACGGTTTGGTTTTGCAACTGTAAAAGTTTTTCTGCCTTTACATTTGCTTCAACTTCTTTTTTATACTCATCGCTATCCATATATGTCTTCATGGCTTTTTGTTTTATTTCTTCATCTTTCAGTACTTTATATTGAGTAGTATGGTTTTTCAAATTTATAACATCTTGTTCCATTTTTGCTACTTCTGCTGCTTTTTCTGACACTTTTTCGCATATTCCTCTGTACTTAGTTCTTTCAGTTGTTCTTCTTTCTTCTTTTTCTCTACGTTTAACTCATTTAGTTTCTTTGTCTGTCTGTCATATTCTAGTTTCTTTTCGTTTTCACTTATTTGTTTCTGTATGTCTATGTTTGACTTTTTGACATCTGTTATTTGATTTTTGAGTGAACTCAAATTCATTTGACTTTGAGGGTTATAAGCTGTTCCGTCTGCAGCTCCACCATAGCCTGCCATTTTCGCTAAAAGTGCCGCTCTTAAACCCCCACTCTGTGCACCAATAACTCGGTTTAAAAGCATAGGGTTGCTTGACATTTGTTGCAACATAGTGGGGTCATTCATCATTTGTTGTTGCAACTGTTGTTGTGGTGTCAGTTTTACTATTGGATGTTTCAATGCTCCCTTCCTCTTACGTATATTCTTACGTAGCTTACGTGGCATTTTAAGTGAAGTAAAAAACGGTTTTTGACAGATGTTTATATGACACTTTTTGTTCAGCACAGAAAACTACTCGGTCAAAGTGTTGTCAGTTTTGTAAAATAACCGTCCTATCTCATTCTATAAGGGGAAAAAGGCTTCTCAAAGTATACTTCCTTGGAACGCCTGTAACTTTTCCTGTAGCGATGATAGATCCTTACTTGTCCGGACAAAGTTATACTATTTTGAGTGCTCTACAAAAAAGTCACCGGCTGGCTCGTCCTCAGAAATTTTTTATGGGCTAGAGGGCGCAACGCGCCTGGAAGCCCCACTACCTTTTTTTTCAAACTATCATTTCAAATTGAGAACTTGCGATCATTTTCTTTTTATTTGATCGCAAAGTCGAATTTCAAAAAAATGTATACAAGCTATTCTTCTTTATAATTCACTAATTCTTTTTAATTTTTTCAATGGAAGTTTTTGGAAGAAATCGAAAAAAAATAAAATTGCACAAATACAATCCAATAAATTATTTCAAAATGTGAAGTGATTTAGTTTGAACTCAATTTTTTCAATGCTTGGTGTAATGAATCCTAAATCATTAATATTCTAAATCATTATCTCATAATTCTATTATTCATAGTATCCAACTTCTTATTCAATTTCAAGTAATATTATTCAAATTTAAAATCAGATCTACCATGTCAAGGATGCAAGCCAACGAGATCTTGGAGATGCTCACCCAACTAGGATCTCCTGAAATTGAACAAAGAGATGCAGCTTTCAATCGACTTGTCCGATTAGAGGCAGAAAATGTTGATTGCTCACAGGCATTTTTAGCAATTGCTGGAATAAGAACACAAGATGTCAAAAAACAAATTAAGATTCGAAGGTTTATTGGTGTGTATGCTGAGAGATATTTAGAAAACGATCCCAAAGCAGCATATTTAGTTTTAGAAGGAATGATTAGCGATTTTGAAAGACCAGATCCTCAACTCAAAGCAATTGTTGTAAAACAACTCGGAAGGCTTATCAATGAAAACCTTGCTGACCGATTTATTCCTCTGATAATCAGAAGCTGCTCTTCTGATGATCCTTACGTCCGAAAAACTTCCGCACTCGCATTACTATCTATATATAAGTACAAATCATCATATATGGAGAAATCCAAACTTGCGACTCACTTAAAATGCTTAGTCGAAGACTCAAATCCGAATGTTGCTGCAAATGCGATTTCGGTTGTATACGAAATCAACCAATCCCGCGATAAACCAATCTTTGAGCCCACTTTTACTACAATCAACAACTTATTAGCATCAATCGACCAAACAACAGAATGGCAGCAAGTTCAGATCCTCGATTACGCATGTACGTACAATCCAGATACAGCTAATGATGCTAGGAACATCATATCAAGAGCAGCAACAAGATTATCCCACGCAAATGCCGCAGTCGTATTATCTGCCATTAGGTGCTGCTTAACAATGAATCTTTACATAGATGATCCCGCCAAGGTCAGAGAGACTTTAACTCGCTTAGCTTTGCCTTTAGTAACTTTATTGAATAATTCACATCCAATTCAATACACAGCGATCAAATCCATATTGATATTACTGCAGCATTACAGAAGACTCTTTTCTTCAGAGGTTTCAATCTTCTTTTGCAAATTTGATGATCCTCCTTACATAAAATTGGCAAAATTAGATGTAATTCTGACATTATGCAGTGCACAAAATGTTGGTAAAGTACTTGAAGAGCTTTACGATTACGCACAACAAGCAGATGTCGATTTTGTCAGAAAATCTATTGCAGCAATAGGAAAAATCGCAATTACGTTCGAAGCAGCTGCATCATCATGCGTTGATAAGATCGTAGCTCTCGTAGATAACAAGATTGAATACGTTGTTCAAGAATGTATCGTTGTTGCAGCAGATATCTTCCGCCGTTATCCAAACAAATACCTCGGAATTCTTACTAACATCTGTGGTGCTCTCGGATCAAAACTCGATGACCACAGAGCGAAAGCAGCAATGGTTTGGATTTTGGGAGAATACGCCGATAGAATTGGAAATGTCGGAGATTTGATCGATGCAAACTTTATCGATGATTACTTGGAAGAAACTCCTGATGTTCAACTCGCAATTTTGACTGCTGTATTCAAATACTTTTTGGTCGACCAAGAAGATGGCCAAGATTTACTTCAACAAGTCATAACAATGTCTACAAGCCAAGTTGATAATCCGGACATAAGAGATAGAGCATTTCAGTATTATTGGCTCATTTCGGAAGCTCCTGATTACTGTCAACAGATAGTTATGCCAGAAAGTAAGCCAACGATTAAGACCGAGCTATTTACATACGATTCAGACCTTGTTGAAAAATTAATTCCGAATATCGGAACAATTTCTGTTTTATACAACAAAGTTCCTGATGAGTTCGTCGAAACAGTTAAGATTATGACACTAGATAGTCTCGACAAACCAGATGGCGATACGAATATCGCATCTCGTATGGAAATTCCAATTGTTGTTGATGGCAAGAGCACAAACTCATTAGAAGTAAGAGCTACATTACTTCAAATCGGCCAAGACAATCAAATCGCTATGAGAATTACGAACTTTAATGAAAATGCGGATCAAATCAAAGATATTGCATTTAATAAGAATGTTTTCGGATTTGCTCCTCAAAAAGAAGGTCTTCCAAAGGATTTACCTTCTCAAAAATCTGTTTCATTATCTGTCAAATTATCATTTGATGCAAATTACACACAGGGTGCACAAATATCAACATCCATTGATGTTGCTATCCTTACAAATAATCCTTCACCAATTATCTTCAAAGTTCCAATGAAATTGGAGTCAATTTTAGTTACAGACAAAGAAGGAGGCAAACTTGCAAGGGAAGACTTCATAAGCGTTTGGCAGTCTATTCCATCAAGTAATGAATTGACAACTGTTGTTAATAATGCAAGAGTCGATTCAATTCCAGTTGCAAAGAATCAGTTGGCAGGAAAGAGATTGTATTTCGTTGCTAAAAAGGATAATACAGCATATTTCTCAGGAAAAGCTATCAATAACGAAATGTGCATTGTATTTCTTACATTTTCTGATTCTGGAGACGCACAAGCTGGCATTAGAATGGCTAATCAAGTTATTGCCCCTCTTATCTTAGAATTGGTCAAAAATGTAATTGTTTAAAAAAAATAAAATTTTAATATTTAATCGGATTACTTAAATTGCTTCTTAAATTTGAATTTAGTAATGACTATGATTGTATCTTTTCTTTAACAAGAATTTCGATGATATTTTGGAGGGAATTTATTCTCATTCATACAAATGTTTAAAACCAAACATACAAATGCATAAAACTCCAGCAAGTGAAGGTTTGATGAGCAAATAATCAAGAAAATTCAATAAAAGGTTATTTAATTTACAAAAATTTTAATCCGCAGTTAATTGTACATTGCAAGAACACCCAATTTGAGTAGGTTCGAAGAAGTTTTCCGAACCATCTCTGGAGAGAAGAAAATTCTTCCGTTAGATACTGTTCCAAAAAATAATAATTTGGAAATTGAAAGGATGTTTGCATGAGGTTCATAAGCATCTGGTATTGAATATGAATCGGGTCCCAAGTTTTCAATTCTGAAACGTGAATATGTTCCAACTTTGGAGACATTGATAAAGTATCGATAAAGCCTTTTATTATCAGGTATTATTTCGCCTTCTTCAGTAACATTTGGATCTAAGAATGGAGTAAAGTTATGTTGTTCATCAAGTACTTTCCAAACATCTGTCTGAGTTTCTCCAAGAATTCTAAAGTCGAGCATGTAACGAGGCACAATATCATTTAACAATATTGTGTAAGATGTTAATTTAACTTTTGTATGATGAAAATCGATCGAAAGATAAGGTGTTAAAAACCATGGTTCATCTTCTGTTAAAAATCGCCCCGGTGATTCCGTAACATTGCCAACAATTACAGAACAAGTAGTTTTATATAATTCATTTTGTAGATGATGCGTTGATGATGGAGTTAAAGTAACAGCATCTACTCTGGTAAGATTATCGTCGTTATAAGTATCTCTAAGGAACTTGAATACATCATTGTAGTTATAATAATCTGTACCATTGAATGTATGTGGTGGAAACTGAATATCAACAAAGCATAATAGCGCTAAATTTTTTTTTAAATAATTTTTATAAAAGTATTGAATTTATTCATCCTTCCATTCAATTTTTATATTTATTTTGACAAAATTGTGAGGTGTATTGATCTTGATAGTTTTAATTCAAATCGACTAATTTATATAAATGTGAATGAACATTTCATTTTTAATCATAATGAAACCACAAATGATCTGAATTTCCATTTCACTTCCGTAACATTTTGAAACAATAGATAGATTAACAAATACAAGTTACCAGATGACACTTTTTTGGTATACCAAAACCGCTTATTTCAAAACTGGCAAAAATCAAGAAAAAGAAATCATCACTTTCAATGTAATCTAAAGAACAACAGAGATTTTTTCGATGCTAAGACTATCAAAAATTGAGTAAAAACAAAAGATATCTGCTCAATATTGAAAGTTATTTCACAAATCATGGCAAATTCAAAAACTCTTTTAAATTCGAAAAAAAAAATTTACGTTATTTACAATCTTAACATTACGAGTATAGAAATATATAACTTTTAGTATTGCAATCAAGCTAACTAAGGATGTCAATTCGGAAAATTGTTTTCATTTTAGGAGAATATAATTTTCCTTTTGGAAAATTTAAAAAGTGAGACGCGCAGGATTCGAACCTTTTTAAAAGTTGATTTAAATATATTCTAGTGTGGATTCTAAGGATAATATCATATTTAAAATAAGAATATACTAGTTTAGGTGGTATAATTTTTTCGATAAATTTGAGAGCATGTACGTTTAGGACATCAAAAGTGTCAATTCGCTCAGCGAAAGCTGAGCTAGCTTCGTTCTCGAAAAAATAGGGAAGGAGTGAAAGAGAGTGATACAGATGTTGACACATTCATATCATTTCAACAAATTTTGATCAAATTGAAATTCAATTCACTTCATATCCTTCAGTCAGTACATTGACATCCTTCTACATCACAATGATAACTCGTACATCAATAGTTCTACAACTAACTCAGAAAAAACAAGATTTTTACTTCCAGCTTACAGCTTTTAAAAAGTTTCGATGATAAAAATCACTCTACTCTTGTTTATCGATATGTTGTGATAGTAGGTAAACGTATTCTTATCGATATTAATAAAAATATTTTTACGAAAATCTGAACCAATTACAGAGTTATTCATAAAGTTTATGATAACTGTAATTACTTCATCTTTGTTTAATATTTGAATAAACAATTTAATTTAATTTGCATAATTTTTTTTAGTTGAAAGACAGGAAACTTAGTTGAGTTTGTATTATTTTTATCGTTCAATTCATTGTATCAGTGAGTGATCCAGATATTTAAGATATTTACAAAAAATTTATTAATTTGATTAACAAATTTTAATCAAAATAGCAAAAATCTATTTGATAGCTGTAAGCAAACAATAATTTTTATTTCAAGCAAAATCAATTATTTTCATCTAAACGTATAAAATTGTCAATTTTATGAGAATAAATTTAAAATCTCATGAAATATAAAGGAGAGTAATATTTTTCAATTTTCTTTTTTTCTTTGTCTCAAATATTTTCTGTTGGGAATTTTCTTGTTATCAAAAAATAATTTTAATATTTGTTTATTTCATTACATACAATAAAATTTTAAAAACTCTATTTGTTCACAAGAAAATTTTTCCCTTCATATGAAGAAACATTTTGTTCTCCATTTGATGCTGAGTCTAAATCTCGATTTTTGATTTTTCTTCTTTCCAAATTTCTTTTTTCCAAATTAGAAGTTTAATTCAAATTTTCAATAGTTTATATATTTTCTCAAACCGTCTTAGATTTTCTCACTTTTTAGGGATTTTCTCTCAAAATATACAAAAATAGTAATATCAATACATGTGTCTAATATACTTTAAAACCATCGTGATAAAATTCAAAAACGAAGAGTTCTTCTCTCCAAATTTTTTTCAAAATCAAAAAAATCAGATAAAAAGGCACGTTTGGAAAATTCATTTTTAGCATTTTAGGAATTTTCTCACTTTTCTTCCAAATTGACATCCTTAAGCTAACTCAACAGAAATCGTCGACGAATATCAAATTTTTACTTTTTCAATTTCCATGAGCTCAAAAATTTGATTATAACTGAGTCAGATTTTAGCATTTGTTCATCATAGTATTACCATTATAAAGGTTCTTTGATATCCTATACTTCCATATCAGTGTTGGTCTCAATTGTATTTCACATAGTTCTATAATTTGAAAAAAATTCTCCATATTGAGCTGCAAAAGTAAAAAATTGAGGGTAATTCTTTTTCTAGTCTAGCCGTTCTATTCTAAAACAAGATATAGTAACGTCGTCATTATTCAAGAATAAACATATCACATTAATTAATCAATCTAATATAAATTCGTCGTATTTAGATGTACATTGATGCTCTCAATTTTCAATTAGAAATCTTTCCATGTCACGTTTTTGGTTTCACCTTTTAAATCAATGATTGTTAGAGAACAATAAAATCAAATAATTATATGCTTATGGAATAACATAAAAATTTTGACTTAAATCCACATTTCGTTTTTTGCCTAAATGGATGATTATAAATTTGAAGAAAATCAAAAGAAAAATCATGTACAAAATGATATGGAAAGAGATGATAAACTCGATTATGATATTTTGCAGTTAGAAAAATGCATTTCGGCTATAAATGATATTTCAATTTCAGATGTTGTTGACGAAAAACAGTTAGATTCACAATATAGCGTAATATTACAGATATTATCACAAAATGCTTCATTAATTATCAATCAAAACGTTGAAGATCCTCTAATTTCATTCATAATTCATAATATACAATCAGCATTTGTGAATATTGTACAAGGAGCATCTGCATTACTTAGAGCATGCGCAAAAGGCACTAATTGTAATAGTTTAATATTTATCCAAGATGAAAATTTAAATGTAATCATTAGTTTTCTCAAAGAAGGAAATGATTGTTTTGCAATGTCCAACATTTTTAGCGTAATCATTGAAATTCTTAAAGACAAAGACACATCAGAGACAATTATTCAACAATTAAATTTAGAAATTTTGACAGAAATACTAAATAATACAATAAATAAGATCATCATAATAGGTTCAGATCCAAATAGAAATGTTTTAATGCTTAGAATGCTTGTATTTTTGAATGAATTAATTTATATTACCAAAAACTATAAATTAGCAGATTTAATCAACCAATTCTTAACAACACACATTAAACTTATTGATACTATTGCTGATCCAACTATTATTAAGTTTATTTGCTGTATTTATCTTAATATCCTCTCATATGTTCAATTTGATAAAGAATTAATATCAATATTCTTTAAATGGATGGATATTAATAGTCCAGATGTTCTAAATTTGATTATTAATATTATTTGCAATAATAAATATCCTGGCGTTCCTCCATCGGATTTTATACTTAAAAGAATGATTGGATGCAAAGACCCACAACTATTTAATGCACTTTGTGATGCAGAGGTTGCTTTATGTGAAAGAAATCAAAGGCATTTAGAAATTATTTTAAAAGATAGCAATGAATTTATATCAGCACTTATTACAATGGTTGATGAAAATCCTTATAGTTTAGGAATAGAAATAGCACGATTTCTTGCTTATTTGGTTTATCAACAAATTAATCCAGAATTTATTTTATCATCTGGTGTATTGGGTGTTATATCTAGCTTTATAGATTCAAATTCAGCAGATTCAGTTGAGTTTGTTGCTTCATTGTTTAATTTATTCAAAACACCGTCAATGACGCATCAAATATACAAATTTTTGAATGAAAACTCTATTATCGAAGAAATTGAATCATGTGCTGATAGGGATTTCCAAGATCTTGCCGATATTTCTTCAGAGTTTTTAGATGAGATTGAAAAATATCAGAATTCAGAGGATTCAAATGAAAGATCATAGAAATCCTTAATTTATTACTTGCCATTTTTTTATATTGAAAGAAATTTATATTTGTATGTTTTCAAGCGATATTTATAATAAAATTTGTAGAATAGATCTTTTATAATTGATTCATGAGTTATTTTGCTACACATGCTCAATAATATTCCAAATCACAAACAAAACGCTTTTGGTGCTTCATTCATAGGGATTCATAGTCATAAGGGAGCTTATTTATACATAACATTCTCATTCTCACCAATGACAACCTCAATTTGCGATCGGTGTCAGTTTTTTATTTCCGATGAAAAAATTGATTGAAGCAACAAAAAATGTATTTTCAAAAAGAGATCCTTCAGAGTTTGATAAAGCAAAGAAAATATATAAAGGACTGGGCAAAAATGTTAAAGAAGCATTAGTTAGTCTTGGACAATTAAATAAGAATGTTGATAAAATGTCAGCTAAAATCATCGAATTAGCTAAAGGATTTAAGAAGGCAGATGATGGAAAGAATCCCAATATTACAAATCAGGTAAATTGCATACTTTTATTCTCTGAGAGAGTAAATCATATTACAACAGACTTCTTTGATACGGAAATAGATCAAAAAGTAAATGTCCCGATAGATTTGTTTGCAAAAGAATATGCAAGACTAAAATTTTTATATAAAAAGCGAAAATCTACATTAAAATTGGTAGAAAATGCGCAAAATGAATGTATAAATCTTAGAAAACAGACTGGTGTACAGCCTGTTGCGCTTGAAAGAGTTGATAAAGAACTTACACGCCTGAATTTAAGATTTGCTCAGATAGACGAAGATTTTATAAAGACAACATATCGTCTTAAGGCACAAAAATCATATCAAGTAATTAAAAATCCTACAATTGCATTATCTCAAATTATGAGCCAATATTTGAAATTAGTTTTTAAGGAAATGACTGATATGAGAGTTGCATTTCCACCGCAGATTTTCCAGTCGGAATCCGCCAATTTTCAACAAAATATTATATTTTCGCAAAATCAACAATACATACAAAATGCTGTACCAGCTCCAAATCCATATGATGAGTTATGATAATTTCATTTTTTAAAAATAAACCAATTTTTGATTTCAAGATATCTTGTAATTAAAATCTGACTTTTTAAATTAGGAGTAATAAATTAGGCACCACTAATCATTTCTTTCATCTCTGCCATAACGAGCAGAAAAGAAGCGAACAGTAACCCTAGGAAAAAAGAGGACGGGTGTCACTTTTCGTGGTACTACCTTTATTACGGGTACAGCGCAAAATACAAATGAAAATATCATGATTAATATATTTTTGTTGTCTAAAATTTTGACTGATCACAGTTCTCAAAACTAAACTTAATCTTATCAAAACTATTAACAGTTACAATGACATACCGAAAATTCGTAAATTGAACAGTAAAAAGAAAGATCAGATTAAATATACTAATAAATCAAAAGAATATTGCTTTACAGGAGGTAAAAACGTTTTCGAATTCAATTTATTGAGTGTCATATTCAAAGATTTAAAATGTGATAGCCTTACAACGATACAAAATACATTATAAACAATTAAATTTTATGAAAACTCAAAGAAAATAAACTGACCAAATTTTTAACAAAAAAATCCATTGTTTAGATAATATTATAACAATCTTAAAATTTAGTTCTGATCATAGTTCTCAAAACTAAACTTAATCTTATCAAAACTATTAACATTGTAAAGTTATCAATTCTTTTAGCAGTTTTCAAAAATTTTCGATGCTTTTCTTGTTATCCTTTGCAGACATTCAGTTCGAACCTCATACATTCAACGGCACCGATTATTACAATTACAATGATATCTTCAAATTCCTTCGAGAAATCTATAACACAGATAACCTTACAAAAGTTGATGCAGTCACACTCACTCCTTCTTCAACACACCATCTACAGAACGAAGGATACAAAACTACATGTTCAGTCATTGCAGGTCCAGTTACCGAATCACCAGGCCGATTTTTGACAGAAGCGGAGCCTTGAATTTTGAAACCATATCTTCTTATTGATTTTCATCACACACGTGTTAAATTGACCTCATATTGTATATTACTTAATGCCCATGTTTATAGGTTCATGCAAGAGTTCAGAATAAGTGGTGAAATTGAAACCGATGTTTAGACAGTTCTTGATGAACACCATGGTTATACACCATTTATTGATCCACAAATTAACGAACAAGGTGTTAGTCTTACTGATGATCAGCGTCTTTATCGGTATTTCTTTAATGTTTCTAAAGTTGGTACATTTTCTCGATTCAAAATCGAGAATTTAGGTCCGGATTCACACAATGGAACTTTTCAAACTCATGCAAACATTCTTTCAATTTCAAAGTTGTTATTGTTTGGCACCATCTCAAACAATCGTGTTTTCTTCTCACCAGCTAAAGTTAAGCAATCATCATCGAACCTTCTTAAGCTTGGAGCCCTTTCTATGCTTAATTAATTCCTCTTTACTGTTTTGTTACAAATTTTATTATATTTTTCATCTTTTCTTTATTTATTAAACTATTTGCGTCTTCATGAATCTTAATTAAATTTATATATTCATGTAAATAATTCACTAAATACATTGATTCAAAAAAAATTGATAGGATTCAGAGATTATATAGCTAAAGGAAATGCATTATATGAAAATGAGTTTTAAAATAGCCATTCTATGTTCACAAATACCATCAATATTTTTATATAACACTTCAATTTGAATCCAATATTCCCTATTGGATAGAGCTTCATTGTTGAGAAAATCCTCATAGCATTAGAAAAATCCTCGTTACATAAAGGAATCCTAATGCTATGTAAACTCCTTTTCCTTCGTAAAGTCTCAAATTCACGAAGGAAAATGGGTTTAAATATAGCAAATCCTGAAGAAAAATCTTGTGAATAGCTTTCCTATACAGTATGAAACAACTAAACTCATTCAAATCAAGTCTTTGATGAAGTTCTAGTTGGAAAAGTGAACTTCCTTTTATTCATTTTTTTTATATAAAAAAATGCCGCCAAAAGTAGCTAAAGTTGATCTTCGTCCATTTCCTAAAAGAGATGAAAACTTCACTATTAATGCAGGGTTTCAATATGGTAAAGGAGATAATCCTCCATTATACGGACAAAAAGTCATTCCAGTCGGAAAACCAAATTGTTTACTAGGAAACACATTTGTTCCTACAGGAACAATGGTTTCATTGAAGCGCGAACAAGTTAAAGATCTTATTACTAAATACGGAGGCAAAGTCACCTCATCAATTTCAGGAAAAACAGATTGTGTTGTTGTTGGCTGCATAGAAGTCGGTCCAAAGAAAATACAGACTTGCAGAGAGAAGAATATCCCAACAATTGATGAAGATGGCCTCTTTTATTTAATTGCAAGATCAGATCCAGAAAAGAACAAAGATTTCATCAAGAAATTCGAGAACCAGCAAGCAGGTGTTATCGAAGAGATTGAAGAAAAGAAGGAAGCTCAAGAAGAAATCAAACATGAAGAAACAATCAAAGAAAATATCAAAGAAAAGAAGGAACAAAACAAGAAATACCTTAACTTCGCAGAAAAATACAGACCATCCGACCTAAAGGACTTCATAGGAGCTGTCGGAGCTAAGAATCAACTCAGAGAATATTTATCTAAATTCCCGAACGTCAAAAACAAAATTGCTCTTATTTCAGGTGACCAAGGATGTGGAAAGACTACATTGGCGCACTTAATGGCCTCTTCTCTTGGCTTCCATTGCAATGAATTGAACGCGTCAGACGTAAGAACAAAAGGAGAGATCCAAAACTTCTTAGATGTCACTACCAGCGGATGTATCGAAACATCAAAGAAGAAAGGACTCGGAAAAGAATGTTTAATCTTTGATGAAATCGATGGAATGGGCGCAGGCGATAGAGGAGGCATTTCCGCGATTGCTTCATTGGCAAAGACCACAAAGATACCAATTATCTGTATAACAACTGGAAAATCAGATAAAAAATTTGATCCTTTATTAAAAATCTGCGAATCGATAAACATTCCGAAGATCGAACGCGGATTGATGTGTAACAAACTTATAACTGTTGCAAAATCGGAAGGAATCAACATTTCCCAAAAATCAATTCAAAGTATCGCGGAAAGAGCGAACGGAGACCTTAGATACGCCCTGAATTCACTGGAATTCTGGTCGGCAAGTGATAATGGCTTCGAGAAAGCCAAATCAGTCGACAACGCCGTTGATGGAACAAGATTTATTTTATCAATGCACACTTCCTTCGAAGACAAGTTCAATTGTGCATTTGCCGATGATGCCATGCCACTCTACGTCCAATACAACCTCCATGCTCCTCAAGGGAACAGAGAATCAGCACTTGATTACGCAGATGCGCTCGATGCAACATGTTTCGGAGAGATCGTTGAAAGGGAACTCAAGGAGACACAAAACTACAGTCTTTCGACCCCTTCTAATTACCTTTCTTGTGTTTTGCCAACAATGATTTCCAAAAATAAGATGGAACCGAAACTTTTAAGTGCACAGATGCCAAAGATTATGATGACATACTCAAAGAAGTCGAAACTCGAAAGAATCAAACAAGATATCGCTTCATCATTTAAGATAAACGATAGCGATGTTTATTCTACAGCACAGAATGCGATGATGAGAATTGGAGAGCTTTCAAAGAACGAAAAATATGATTTGGCATCGAAATTTATGTTTGATTCGAATATTTCTCTTGAAAATGTTGAAGATTTCAATGAATTTATCAACATTGGAAAGAAGAATGATTTCAAACTCCAGAAAGATCTGAAGAAGTCTTATTTGGCCCAACATTCCGAATATGATCCTTTAATTGTCCAAACTCATGGAAAGAAAGTTAAACTGGAAGAGAGCAAGAAGAAAGAAAAGGATGAAGATGGTGAAAGTAAAAAGAAACATAAAGATGAAAAGAAAGAAAAGAAATCTAAAGGTGAGAAAAAGAAAGATGAAAAGAAGAAAGAAAAACATGAAAAGAAACATGAGAAGAAGGAAAAGGATGAAAAGAAACATGATAAAAAAGAAAAAGATGAAAAGAAGAAGAAAGATAAAAAATGAATAAAAATTGATTTTTATTAATATTGTTAATTAACAAACGATTAAAATTATTGTGTTACATATAGCTTTAAAAGGATCAGGATTGTGTTATACCTGCTTTGAAATATTATACCGCAAGAATCTAATAGAAAACTTACAATGTGAGTGGCATACTTCCAAAATATAATATAGATATAATCGGTATACTCAAAGCATTGTTTTCAAATATGATTATGGTCACAAATTCTATCGTCCTAATTTGTAAACTTCTTATCAAAAGTTTAACATTGTAAAGCTATCAATTTCTTTTGACACCTTTCAAAAATTTTATCGATTTTCTTCTTAACATATGCAGATATTCAGTTCGAACCTCATACAATAAACGGGACAGATTATTACAACTACAATGACATCTTCAAATTCTTACGAGATTTATATAAAACAGACAATTTGACTAAAGTTGATGCAGTCACACTCACTCCTTCTTCAACACACCATTTACAGAATGTAAACTTAAAAACCACATGTTCAGTTATTGTTGGCCCTGTTGAAGAATCACCAGGTCGATTTTTAACAGAAGACGAACCTTGGAATTTAAAACCATATCTTCTTATTGATTTTTATCACACACGTGTTAAATTAACCTCATATGCTATATTGCTTAATGCATTTATTTATAGGTTCATGCAAGAATTCAGAATAAGTGGTGAAATTGAAAATGACGTTTGGAAAGTCATTGATGAACACCATGGTTATACACCATTCATTGATCCACAAATTAACGAACAAGGTAAAATCCTCACTAATGATAAGCGTCTTTATCGATATTTCTTTAATGTTTCTAAAGTTGGTACATTTTCTCGATTCAAGATCGAAAATCTTGGCCCTGATTCGTGCAAAGGAGATTATCAACCTCATGCAAATATTCTTTCAATTTCAAAGTTGTTATTCTTTGGCACCATCTCAAATAATCGAATTTTCTTCTCACCAGCCAAAGTCAAGAAATCATCATCCAATCTTCTTAAGCTTGGAGCTCTTTCTATGTTTAATCAGATAATCTAATATTAATGAAAATATATTAATAAATGATTAGGGCATTTATCGTAAATGTGAATAATCAATTTTAATAAAATGACACCCATATTCAAATTATTGAATGACATTGATTTTTCAAGCACCTTAGATATCATACAAATAAACTTCCAAATCAATTAAAATACATACAATTTTTATTTATAATATACATACTTACAAATAATATAAAAATATTAAATAAATTAAGATTATTCGTGATCTGTAACAATGTAATAAGTCATTTGCTTGCCTTTTCCTTTAAGAAATGTTTCGCCTCTATTTACAGTCTTGAAATTACTTCCTGCGATTGCATCTAATGTATCTTTTGAAATATGAATGTGATTTACATCACTTGTTGATTGTAATCTTGCTGCTACATTTATTGTATCACCAATAATATCAAACAAAGGTTTTTCTGTTCCCAGAACGCCTGCAATGATTGGACCGCCAGTATTAATGCCAATTCTTACTTGTAAATTGGAGCTAAGTCTGATATTTATCTCATCTAATAAGCTCAAAACTTGTATAGCAAATAAAATAACTTCTTCGGCATGATTTGCAGACTGATCAAATAAGCCACCAGCTGCCATATAAATATCTCCTATCAGCTTGATTTTTGTAATTGATTTGAAGTTCAATACTGCTTTGGCAATTACAGAGAAGTAATAGCTCAAACTTGACATTATATCTGTCGGCGACAAATTTGCAGAAAACTCTGAAAATTTGTTAATATCAATGAAAATTATTGTAGCTTTTTCTACATCAAATGAAATACTTTTCTCGCCTTTATTGAGCTGCAAAACAACATCTCTTGGAAGAATCTCATACAATAATTTTTCACTTTGTTTTTTAGCTGCTTCTGCTGTTGATTTCTGTTTCAATAAAAGAGTTGTATCTTCCAAAATGAAAACAAAAGAAATAATAACTCCATTGTTTTCATTCCCATCATAGTCATATGGACATTTATATCTTGGTTATTATCATTGAGAATAATGGTATCTAATTCAGATATTTGCCCGTTTTGGTTCTTTAATTCTTCGTACTTATTTTGAATTTTATTGATTTCTTCATTAGCAAAGAAAGAAATGAAATTTAAACCTAAAACTTGAGCTTTGCTGTATCCTAGAAGATCCTGAAGTCCCTTGTTACAATCTTCTACAACTCCATAATAATTTGTTAACATGATTCCGCTTTTTTCATTCTTTATGATCATCTTTTCAAGTGAATAATCTTTTTCATCATCATCTTCGACGTCTTTCAAAAACAATTTATTGAACGTCATGTTTTGTGCCAGAACATGTGGAGAAAATCTTTTTACAATATATAATGTTGCTCTATAGGTTGATAATCTGTTCAAATAATAAAAAATAACTAAAACTGAGAAACAAACCAAACTGATTATTGATATGACTCCATGAATAATAAAATTCTTCTTTAACGTTGAAAAACAAGTGTGGCCAAGTTTCAAGATTCTGTCTGATGATTTGAACATTTGACTCCATAATCTATAGTTCACTAAATAAATTATATTGGATATGAATTCTGTTTTGATTTCTTCAGTTTCGTTTGATTTTATTTGTTGAATAATACTGTTTGCTAAAAATTTGAAAATTTCGATTTGTTGAGTGATAGAACTGTTTTCAATAAAGTCATGAAGCGAAACAATATCATATTCTTCGACAAAATCACTATATAAGTTTAAATCATCTAATTCTTTGTCGTAACCAATGGATGGTTTTGTTTCATTTGTTCCATTGATTAAATTATTATTTATTGAATATAACTCATTAGTGAAATTTTCTGCAATACTTAAAATGTCAAAAGGGAAGAAATCTTGTCGATTATTGTGATATATAACTGACAAAATGATAGCATCTAATGCTTGGCAAGCCAAATATATTCTTGATGTAGAATATCTGTTCCATCCATTCAAATCTGTTAGTTCATGAACTGCATCTAACACAGTATATGTTCCAACTAATGTTAAAATGCAAAAAACAATTGCTAAAAAGGATAAACCGAGAATAAGTTTCACACTTGAATTCGATTTATAATCAGATAACGTTGCAGATAATTCTGTTTGTTCTGTTCTATTCAATAATAATGACATTTTTGCTTCATTTTTATCTTCAATTTTGAATGAGTTTATCATTGTGATGATTTTGTTCATGTAACTGTTCAAAATAAAATGCCAAATTACAAATGGCAAGAATACAACAAAGAATGTTACGCAAGGAACTAAAATTGCCAAGATATTATAAATCATTTCGATATAATCTCCGAATTCATCTTGATGTTTTGAAACATTGTAAAACAAATAGTTTGATGATTCATGAAGATTCTTAATATTCATGACAATTTCACAAGTATTTGAGTCATTCAAAAAATTCGTTAATGTTTCATTTTTTGTCAATTCTCTTTGCCATGACATCAATAAAGTGATAATTGATCCAAAGCTACTCCTATACTCTTTCAATAATGTTCCATTAGAATTACAGATTGCTAAAGGTTGGACAATTTTGAGGAGAGGAAAAGAAAATGATAAAAGATTTTCACCTTGAATAGAATAGTATGCAAAAGTTTTGATTGTTTCTTGCAAATTATTTGATGAAATAGATGTGAAATCTAAAATTTGGGGAAGCATATTATTATATGGATCAAAATAGTATGAGTCGCTCTGCCTAATATAATCTTTCATTTCGTCAGTGTATTTTGACAAACCATTTTCTCTAAAATACTCAAGAGAAATTGATAATGACGAAAGACTGGTGTAAAAAATCGATTTCATTAATGTAACGATTTCAGACATTGCATCAACATAAATATTCAGTTCAATATATGAAAAAACATATCCAAACAAAAAGCCAACAATGACGTAAAATAAAATAAATATCGAAACATTCTTAATCATTCTGAGGGCTTTTGGAACTTTTGTTTCTAGCATTTTGTCCAAATATAATCTTAGTTTTGATTCTCGAATGTACTCTTTTGCCATTTGCTCGATTTCATCATTTTCTAAATTAAATGATACTTTTTCATTTGCATCGGGAATTACTATTGCAGCATCAAAATTATGAATAGATACATTATTGTTGAGCTTCTTTTTAAGAGCATTTTGCAGTGCAATCTCACCCGTGAATGTAACAATCTTATCTTTGAGGTAATGTGGAAAACTTCTAACTAAACTAAGGAAAGAAAAATCTTGAGAACCAGATGCACCTCCTTCTATTGAAAGCTGGCGATTTTTCATGTTCATTCCTTCTGTGAAACTGCATTCAACATCAACCAAATATTTGAAATAGAGCTCACAATATTTGGGATTATATGGATTGTTTTGTATAACTTCTCTGAAAATTCCATCCGTTTTTTGACATTTCTTTGCCAAAAATTCATAATAAGTGACACTACACTTTCTATCTATAGCAGTTTTGACAAGATTACTGAATTCTTTCATCATATTTTTTAGCTCGACTAATTTAAGGCTTTTTGTGTTGTTTCTTAGATCTCTAATTGTAGAGAAACAAAACAGCACAAATCGTGAAACAAAATTCAATGATCTCTTGCTTTTCAATAGATTCTCAACATTTGATTGAAGTGTCTTTTCATGAGGAAAGAAATCGATCAAGTGCAAAACAGTGATTAATGCATACTCGCTGTCATACCTTTCCATGATGTATAAGGGAAGTGTCATGTTGTAGAAGCAAAAGCAGCAATGTTGGAATGCAACTCTTAGATATAAAAGTGCTTTGCTTTCGTTTTGATCTAATCCCATATCGTTGTAATAAATTTCATAATCTTCGTAATATTTATCTTTGTCATTTTCAAATTCAATAATTTTGTTCATCTTTGTAATAATTGTATTTTGCAAATATGTGAATATGAAAAAGAAAATCACGCTAAAGCCGCAAAAAAGTGACATTACGATTATTATTGGCAATTTATGATCTATTTCGATGAAATACGCTAAAATCATGATTATATCTCCAGCACAGCAACTGATATACTATCCGGAGCTCATTGCCATAGCAAAAGTGAAAAGGAATGGCATATTTTCAATTGATTCTAATACAGTTGTAGAAACTAAGTATAATTATGATCAACATATTTCAATAACTGCAACTTATGAATATAGTAAATCAGCAACTCTTACAGCTTGTTATGACTTTATTAATGAGAATGGCCAAGTAGCTCTTACAAAAGATGAAGACTCTTTTCCGGCAACAACATCAAATCAAAAGAAAAAATTCACATATGATATCACTCTCCCATCAGATGCAGGAAGATATATTCTTAAGTTATACGCAAAGAATGGTAATTATATTTCAACTTCTGTTAAATACAATATTGAGGTTGAAAATACAAATACAAATAATAATGCCAGACCAAGGTTAGAATTTGAAGGTGAAAAGACGAAAGATTTCAACTTTAATGTTCCTATCCCAGAACCAAGCACAGTTTATAAGCTCATCCTCAAATCCGAGAGCGAAGGCAAGACTTCAGAACTCGTCAGCAAAGAATTTCGTTCTGTGAACCAGAAGGCTAAACTTGAATTTGTAAGTGACACTCCATCGATTCTCGAGACTGGCATCACATACATATTCCGCGTCAAGATCACAGATCCAGATGACAACACACTCAAAGTTACAAAAGGAATGGACGATAAAAGAGGTAAAGCAGAAACGATCACTAAAACTAGCGAATCAACAATATATGACATACCGATGACTCCCAAAGATAACTTAATTGGAAAAGATATTACCATCTATCTCTATGTTCAAGACTCGTCTGAAGAAGTTTCTATTTCTCACAAAGCCTCTGTTATCCAACAAAAGCCAAAGTTCGAGCTCATCGATTCTCTCGAAGACACCATGGATAAGAACCACGCAGATCATATCGCAGTTCATGGCACCATCAGTCTCACAATACCAAAGAAGACAATCAACGCCATCTTCGAAATGTATGATTCAAGCGAGACGCTTGTCAAGAGCGGAACTCTTTCAACACTTGAAACCACTGATACATTGAAATCAATGGAGTTCAACGAGAAGATCGAACTTCCTGAAACTGACAACGCTCAATACACAGTTAAAATCTTTGCCAAGTATGACGATATTGTCTCTGCATTCATCAAATCGATCAGTGTCCAAGTCCACAACTCCAAAGTCAAACTCGAATTCATCACAGAAGTTCCAGACGAATTCGAAGTCAATAAACAATATCCAATTAAAGTCAAGATTACTGACTCAGATGATGACAGTGTAATGGTTGGAATTGGAATTAATGATAAAACATATGAATTTAAGAAAGCGGATTTGGTTGATCATGCTCTTGAAAAATATTTTAACTTTACACTCAAAAGGGTCGCTCTCAACACTAGAGTAACAATCTATATCTATGCAGAAGATAGTTCAAAGCAAAGAATTCACATCTCTAAAGAAGTAACAGTAATTCCAGCACGACCAAAGTTTTCACTAACCGAAGATATCTCAAAGAATTATGTCCACTCCGAAGTAATTACAGTAAAATATCAGTATGGTATTGAAGATAAAGAACAATCTGTTACAGCATTTTATGAATTGTATAATACAATTCCTTCATTATCTCTTACTCAAAGCGGTGAGTTCTCATCTTTTACAACAGGCACTGATGAAAATAGCTACTATTCATCACAAGAAAATACCATTAGTCTGCCAAATAAAGAATCCACTTACAAACTTATCCTTTATTCTAAGGTTGGTGAAACTAAATCAAAGGAAATTATAGTTGATGATATAGGGTGTCCAAAGGTGCGTTTAGCACAGCGCTCTATATGAGACTATTAATGGAGATATATGCTGATTATAAATATATAATAAAAAATATGAATATATGTATATGATGAGTATGTTGTATTTTGGCGCCATGCCGGGATATAAAATGAATTTTGAGACAAGAGGCGGTTTCGCGGGAAATTTTGGCGGGATTTTTTTCATTTTTTTAATGAATCATAAAGAAAACATCCTCGCTCTTGCAAAAAAATGCAAAGACTGTAAAAAATCTACGAGACATTGGTAAAATGCTTCGGTATGGATGCTCCTAGCTATTCCACTGTAACGTATCATGTTAGGATGTATCACTTCATGAACAAAAAGGCGCTCATCATAAAAATTGACAAAAAATCGCCGGATCAAAGAAAAATCAAAGCAATTCTTCAAGCGCTAGATGAAGACCCAAGAGCATCACTCAGAAGGATAGAGGAGATGACAAAGATACCACGTACAACAGTCAGTTATTATCTGCACAATTATTTGAACTACAAACTAGCGTATACACGTTGGGTTCCGCAGAACCTTAATTCAGTTCAAAAAAAATCTAGAGTCCAATCTTCGAAAGAGCTCCTCTCTATATTGGGTGCGTATCAATCCAAGAAGTTTCGCTTTTTAGTAACAGGGGATGAGTCTTGGTTTCAATATGCAACAGAAGCCAAAATCATGTGGATCCCGAAGGATGAAAATCCGCAAACATTCCCGAAGAAAAAAATTGACACACCAATGATGATGTTGTCGGTTTTTTGGGGCGTGAATGGCATCATCGCAATTGATATTCTTCAAAAACCTAATACGATGAATGCTCAGTATCTAATTGACAATGTTCTTACTCAAATTATCAATTCTGATGAGTTTGAGAAATCCAAACAACAAAAACAAAAGTTTGCAATTCATTTTGATAATTCAAGAGTTCACAAAAGTCATAAGGTAATGAATTACTTGGTGGAAAACAATGTCAAAGTTGTTCCAAACCCAATTTATTCACCTGATATTGCACCCTCTGACTTTTATTTATTCGGCACGCTAAAAAGAGAGCTGAAGGACGCGAATTCGCGAGTCCAGATGATCTTGAAAATTTTGTAAGAGAGCAATTTGAGCAATTTTCTCATGATGATTTAAAGCGTGTCTTTCAAGCCTGGATCGATCGCTGCGAACGCGTGATTGAATCCAATGGTGATTATATTTAAATAAATTTTATATATATGTAACTTGTTTATTTCTATTCGCAGTATTCAGGTTTGTGCTAAACACACCTTTGGACACCCTATATTAAAATTTCAAACGCTAGAGCTCAAATAACTTTTGCCTCTGATATTCCAGATAAGTTAGAAGTTGGAGTTGAGCAATTGATCAAGCTTACAATTAAAGATTCGGATGATGCCAAAGTTACATTTTCAGTGGCAATAAATGGACAAAGAGATGCTGAATCAAAAGAAATTACATTAAATGATCAACCCTACGTTTACATATATACACCACACAATAATGATGTTAACAAACAAATTACATTAACATTTTTCGTAAATGATGGTAATCATGAATCAGAAATATCAACTACTTTTACGGTTATACCTCATACACAACCGAAGCAGCCTGTAGAACCTAAGGTTGATCCAGTAGAATCTAAGGTTGAAATTGAACAATCCAAATCTAATCCTGAAGAATCAAAGATTAAACCTGATAAAGAAGAGAAAAAGGAAGATCGAGATAATCAAGATATTAAACAAGAAGATGCCAAAAAGATGAAGCGTTCTATAGGAATTGGTGTCGGAGTCGTTTGCGTACTTCTTGTGATTATTGCTATCATAGTTGTAGTTATTGTAATTAAGAAGAAAAATGCAGAAAATGATATTGAAGAAAGTGAAGAAAAATCACTAGAAATGATTGAAAATGAAACAGGTGCTTTTTCATCGCCGGGAGAACAAGCCACAGCAGATAATCCACTCTTTGCGACTACAGAAGTGGAAATGAATGAAGATTTTGGTCCTGATGAAGATGCTCAAGATTCATTATAAGAAAAATTCTAAAATCATTATTTTTAAAATATACAAGAATTTTTTTTTCAAAATAAATTTAAGATAAATACTTCATTGGTTTTTTTATTACATGAATGAATATAAAATTGAATTTTCAGAATATTGATAGGATGATTTAGTTTTCTGACGTGAAATCTAATTTCAGATATATGAAATATTCGATTAATAATAATGAAAATATTAAAAATATTTGAAAGAATTTTCGGATAATTTTCGAAATTGAAAATTTAAAATAAAATACACACTTATACAGTTATAAAAAATAAATCCAAAACCATATAGTGACTTTTCGGTTAAAGAGCTTTTTGAAAGCTTTATAAATTAATTGTTTTGATTGTAACAAACATCACTTAACTGTTTTTGTTCAAAAAAAAATTCGGAAGAACCAAAATAACGTTTATTTTTAAAATAACGTCTTTTTTTAAACGAAATTTTAAAATATATCATATTTTATTGTTACCGTTAAAAATTATTGATGCCAAAATTTTTGAGGAAATTTTGAAAAGGTGTTCATTCAAATTTGCATCGTGAAATAAATCCAAAATTATATATTAATTCATATTTTGCTAATCTTAACCTTAGTTTTGTCAAAAATTTTATTATCAAAATTTTGATGACTGAAAACGAAGTCTACGACATATGGCGCAACATAGATGGTATTTTAAAGAATAGCTCACACAATGAGCATCAGAAGCAAAATCATCCTATTTATTCCAAAGAAACAAAGAAAACTCCAAAGACTCCAGAAAGACCTCCCCCAAAGAGAAGACTGCAAAAGGAAAAGCAGGCACACACTAAACGAAGAAGCTCTGATGAACATGCTTCTCCAGTGAAAAATATACAGCTTCCAAATTACTCTCACGATAATATCGTTATGCGAATGTTCTTCCTCAGATGGCTCAAAAAGCTTGCAGAAAAGCTTCAATCTAATACCATAGCTGAATCAGTGACAGTAATTAATAACAAACCAGAAATTTTACAAAATTCGAACTTAAAATATATTAAAGGCTCACAGATCGATAAATTACAGACAAAGAACAAACCTGTCTTCGTAGACAATGCTTCATCTTTCCAAATTGATTTTGAAATGACGTCTCCTTCACCTTCGAAACAAGATCTTGCATTTGCTTCACTCTCTGATGGAAGTACTATTAATGACGCCTCATTCAGTTGCTCCGAAGTTCATGAGTCTTTCAATTCCATTAGTGGTGTTCAATCTGGCCTTGAAGCAACAATATATGACCTCTCGTTAAGCCAGCTAGTTAACAAATAGGCTTGATTTCTATGTTTGTACTTGTAACCCATAATTTTTCATTTTGTATAAAAATTATTTTAGTTACTATCTTAAATTTATCTATTATTTCTATTAACTAGAGGTTTCATATTTAAAATTTAATACATTCAAAATAATATATAAAGGTAAGAAAAACAATTGATCTTCTTCAGAATTGTTAAACGTAAACAAGCCAATAAACAATAAGGATAATCTATCAAAAATAGTGATTCTTTTAACATTGTATTGGTATGATATATATGATTCAGAATAACAATACATTTAGGAAATCCACTTATAAAGTTGATTACTCCTATCCTAATCGCAACCCTACGTAACAAAGGATCATTCTCCACCAAATTTATTATAATATGAGTTAAAGATAAAAAACATATCGATAAAAAACATAAGATAAAACAAATTTAAATAAATTTATAAACAATTTTTAAAATCTTTCTTCTAAAAAAATAGATATATTTGAAATGAAATTTAATAATTTCATTTGAACTTTTCAATGAACTTTGCTGTAATTGATTCAGCATTAGCCTTTGATGTAACAGACATCAATGCATAAACAATATCTTCTCTGGACCTTCCGTAAATGCTCTCAACGAACTCATCCCAGTTGATATCAGCGACATTTGCTCTCAACAAAGCCGAGAGAACCAAAACTTTGTCTTTGTTTGGTTTCGACAAAATTTGTCTTGACTCTGATTGAGACAATCTTTGCATGTAACCTACTCCCTTCTTCTGAGGAGATTTCTTTCTTGTGTTCTTTGCCGAAATTCTCTGGAAGACGTTTCTCAACTCGTCTCTTGTTGGATCTTTCTTCGCTGATTGCCATGTGAATGTTCCTGTTTCGATTTCGTCGAAATCACCCATTTTTGCGGCCATTTCGTCCTTTGGTTCATTGGATTTTTGTTTCTGCTTCGCCTTGAGCAAAGATTCTTCTTCGAGTAATAATCTCGAGAAGAAACTCTGTTGTGAATTCTTTGTTTCTTGTTCTGTGAGATCGTCATATGTCCATTGACTTGTTGGATCAATGATATCAATAACATTTCGAGCTTTCTTTTCTGTATACTTGGCAGGGATAATCTTCAAGTCCTTCTTCTCTTCATTTTCAGTATTCCATGTTGGAATTTCTTCGTTTTCTTTCTTCTTTTGTTCCTCTGTTGTTTCATGCTTCTCTTCTTCTGCTTGTTCTTCTTCTTCATCTGAAGATGATGTTGATTCGAACAATGTATCATCTTCATTACGTCTCTTTCCGTATTTGGCTTGTCTTCTTTGTCTCTTTCTCATCTTTGCTTCTAACTTCTTGTCAGCGAGTTCCTGGAGACGGCGGATTTCTTCTTCATGAGCATCGATGATGACAGCTTCTTGCTTGTCTTGGTTTTCGATGATCTTTTCCATGACTTCTTCTGCTTTCTTCCGCATTTCTTCTGCACGTCTTTGTTCTTCTTCTTTTTCTTTCATCTTTTCCTCGAATTTTCTTCTCATTTCTTCAGCAGCCTTTCTCTTTTCTTCTAAGATTGCCTCTTGTTTACGCCTTTGTTCTTCTTGCAATCTCTTCTGTTCTTCTTCGTATTGTCTCCTCCTCTGTTCTTCTCTAAGTTTCTTTTCTTCTCTCTTCTTTTGTTCTTCGAGTTCCTTTTCTTTCCTCTTTTCTTCTTCCGTCATCTTTGATCTCCTGATTTCTTCTTCCTCCTTCCTTCTTCTTTCCTCTTCTTCCTGGATTTCTCTGAGACGCTGCTCTTCCGCAGCCTTTGCCAATTGCTCCATCATCTGTTTCTTCTTGTTCTTCGGAGTGAATCTTTCGAAATCTGCCAATCTTCTTCTTTCGAGTTCAGCTTGGAGAATTGCTTGTCTTTGCTTGATTTGTGCATCTCTTTCTGCTCTTTGTTGTGTAAGTTTTTCTTCCTTCTGTTGCTTGAGTTTCTCTTCTGCTTCAAGAACACGAGCTTTTGAATTGAAAAGAGCATTGACTTTCCTGTCTACAGCGCTGAATGATGCTCTCATTTGTTCGCGTTCTTGTTGTTCCATCATTCTTTTGATCTTTAATCTTTCTTCTCTTACCCTTCTTCTTTCTTCTTCTTCCTGTCTTTTCTTCTGTTTTCTGCGGTCTGCTGCTTCCTCTTCCATGACTTCTTCCTTGAACTGTTTTCTGCGCATTCTTTCCCTCTGGAATGCAAGCATTCTGCTGCGTTCTTCTGTCATTGGGCCTTTCTGTAATTCGGCTGCAAGTGCTTCATTTTCAGATATTGTTCTTTCTTCATTGGCCATTTCAAATTCACGCAATTCTTCGAGTTCTTTCTGTCTCTTCTTTTCTTCTTCGCGTTTGATTGCTTCTTCTCTTTCTTTTTCGAGTTGCTGCATTCTGCGGATCTTACGTTCTTCTTCTCTCTTCTTTTCTTCTTCTGCTTCGATCCTCTTTCTTTCCTCTGCTCTCTTGAAAGCTTCTTTTCTGAAGTTTTCCATGAGTTCTTCTGGAGAAGGACCTTTCTCTTCCTCTTTCTCTGGAACATCTTCTTCTTCGTAAACATACTCGTACTCGTATTCTTCTTCCTCCTTTCCTTGTTCTTCCTTCTTCTCTTCTTTCTTGGATTCTTCTGGTTTGACAGCTTCTTCCTTCTTTTCTTCTTTTTCTTCTTCTGTTGGCTTCTGTTCTTCTTTGACTTCTTCTGTCTTTGGAGTTTCTTTGATTTCTTCCTTCTTTTCTTCGACTGGTTTTTCTTCTTCTGGTTTGACAGTTTCTTCTGTCTTTGGTTTCTCTTCTTCAACTTTAGTTGGTTCTTCTTTCTCTGCAACAGAAACTTCTTCCTTCTTTTCTTCTTCTGCTGGTTTAATTGTTTCTTCAACCTTTTCTTCCTTAACAGTTTCTTCTTCTGTTGGTTTTTGTTCTTCTGGCTTAACTTCCGAAATTGTTTCTTCTATCTTCTTCTCTTCTTCAGAGACTTTAGTTTCTTCTGGTTTCTTCTCTTCAACAGCTTCTTCTGTTGGAGTAGAAACTTCTTCTGGTTTCTTTCCTTCGAGTTCTTCGAATGTTGGAATTTGTTCTTCTGTCTGAGGACGTTCGACTGGTTTGATTCCTTCTGGAAGAGATGTTTCGATTTCTTCTGGCTTTGGTTGTTGCATTTCCTGTTGTTTCTTTCTTTCTTCTTCCTCTTTCTCAACGAGAGCAACTTCTTCAGGAGAAACTTCATCGAGCCAGAAGTTCGGAATATTCTCTTCTTCCTTTGGTTTCTCTGGAACAATCTTTGTAACATCAGGAATTTCTTCCTCTTCAACACCCTCATTATGCATGAGTTCGTCATTTCTAGCCCATTTCTTGAGATCGAACTCTTCTGGTTTCTTTCCAACAGAAAGTTTTTCCTTCTCCGGCAACTCAACTGTTGGAACTTCATTCTTTTCTTCTTCAACTTGTTCAACATTTTCTGGTTGTTTGATTTCTTGTTCAACCTCCTTCTTCTCTTCTTCTTTGGGAGTGAAAACGGTTGTTTCGACTTCTGTTGTTCCGGCTTTTGTTCTGCGGATAGAAAGAGAAGGTTTCTTCGGAGGTTGAGGAACAGAGAACATGTTTTCGACAACAAGTTTTCCATCTTCGTTGATGTACTTGAGTGTTGCTGGGAAGAATGTTGTTGTTGCCTTTGGTTCAACCATTGGAACAGGTCTTGTATAAGTAGATGTATCTGTAACTGGTTCTTTCCTCTTGATTGGCAATGGCATAATTGGTTTGAATCTGAGTTTCTGTTGATTGTTTTCTTCGTTCTTTTGTTTCTTCTTTTGTGATTTCTTTGGTGATGGTTTCCTTTGTTTCTCTTCTTCTTGTGGTTGTACACGCTTTGGTTTGACCCATTTACTGACTGAAACAGTTGGAATTGATTTAGGAAGTTGTTGTTGGACCCATCCAATGTCGATGTTTTCTTCTTTCTCTTCTCCTTTTGCAACTTTTTCTTCTCTCTTCATCAACTCATCGAATGAAATTGTTGGAGCACCAATAACACCAGGTTTCTTTGGAACAACTTGTTTTTCTTGTGGTATTTCGATGTTTGGTTTCTCTTCTGTTTTAACAACAATTGGAACTGGTTCTTGAACTTGTTGTTTAACCTTTCTTGTTGGATTCTTCTTAACAACAGTGAGTTCTTTAACAGGCTTTGATTCTTCAATTGAATTAGATTTTTCAACTGGTTTGAGATCTGTTCTTTCGAATTTTTGAGGAGAGAAAAGATTTACTTTAGGGCCAATTATTGGTTCATCAAGTTTAGTTACAGGGATGATTGGTTCTTCTGTTTGTTCTTGAGCTGGTTCAGGAACTGGGTTAATAATTCCATCAAGAACACTGTGAGCGGCAGAAACATTTGTTTGTTTCTCTGAAACGTTTTCTTTGGCTGGTTGATCAACTTGTTTCTTTCTTCCTATTTTTACGGCAGGAGGAAGGAATTTCGCAGGTAATTGCAATGGACCATTCTTTCCGCCAATCTTGAGAACAGGAGTTTTGATGACAACTGATTTCGGTTCTTCTTTCTCTTCAGGAGCATCATAGAAAGATAATTCGATTTCTGGTTCTTCGACTTGAACTTTTCCACGTTTAACAGGACCTCTAATTTGTCTTCTGTTTGGAGATGGCTGATCTGGTTGTTGTTTCTTGGAAACATTGATTGGTTTGTATTCTTCGAACTTAGAGACAAATTGTTGCATTACTAAACCAGGAGGTGGATCTTCAACGAATATTAATTTGCTGGCATTTTCCCATTCATTGAATTCTTCGAAGAATTTCGACTTCAAGAATTCTTTCTTCATTTCTTCTTTCTTGTGTTCTGCTTCGAGTTTTCCGAGTTTCTCGTCCATTTGCTTCTTGTCTTCTTCTATCTTCTCCTTCTTGTAGTTCTCTTCGTCTTCCGCCAAATATGGATAATCAGGCGCTGTACTTGTAACAGGATCAATTGGTTCTGGAGTGAATTCAATTGATTCTGTGAATGGCTCCAAAACTGGTCTTGATTTCCTTTGTGCGGAAATTCTTGATACTGTGGCTCGTTCGTTGATTGGCTTAATTGCTTCTTCGAACTCTTTGATCTCTTCGTCGTTGAGAGGTACATATTTTTCTTTCTTTTCTTTGCGACGATAAATCATCTTTGTCACTTTTTCTGATGCTTGTTCTTCATCCAAATCGATGACCATTTTCGCCTTTTCTGATTTCTCTTCGTTTTCTGCTTTGATTTGTTCTGATTCCATGATCTTCGAGAAATCAGTGTCCATGTTATTGACAACTTTCGTTGGATCAACATGCCATTTAAGTTCAATATTTGGATCAGCTACATGAACTAATTTATCTTTGTCTTTACTTTTATCTCTCTTGTTCGCTCTTGGTAATTCACTTTTTGCACGTTGTGATTGAACTTTTGCACGTTTAGTTTCATCCCAGAATTGTTGGATGTATTCATCGTTTTTACGAGGAGTATATTGTCTTCCAATCATAACATCTTCTAAGATATCATCAGTTGCTTTCCAATTATCGATATCATCATGATATTCTCTAACTTTGGCTTTGACACCCATTGGATCAAATTCTGCAGAATCTTCTTCATATTTGATTTCAATTGTTTTCTCTTCTTCGCTTTTTTCTTCTGGTGGAAGAACTGGTGCAGTTTCGTCGTATGTTGGTGGTTCATATTTAGGAACAAATGTATGTGGTTCGAAATCTACTTTGATTGCTGCATCTTTGATCTTTTCTTTTTCGTTTTCTTCTGCAACAAGTGAATCGAAATTCATCGTTGTTGTTTGTTTTGGTTTTTCTCCCCAATCTTGGCCTAATGATTTAGCTGATTCATCATAGACTCTAATATCACTTTCAGTTGGTTTAGTCTTTGTTTGTGTTTGTGTTTGTTGTTGTTGTTTTTCAGCTAATTTAATTACATTTTGATGGTCTCTCAAAACTTGATCGGCTTTTTCAATTGCATCGGATTTCAATTTTCTTGGCGGTTTTTCTGATTTCGATTTTGATTGTGTCTTTCTTTCACGTTTAGCTACTTGGAATTTTGGTGCATCAGGTTTAGGATGATAGAATGTTGGCATTAATATCAAGTCTTCATCTTCATTGAACTGATCTGACTTGAAATCATCCCAACTATCAACTTTCCAAGTGATTTGTGGTTCAGGTTGTTGTTCTTCTTCAAGGAATTTATCTTTGATTTCTTTTGGTTTCGGTTCAGGTGGCTGTTCTTGGTCAGATTCATAAGTTGGGGCTTCGATGAATGATTTATGAGAAGGACTAAATTCAACTTCAGGTATTGGTTCTGTTGGATCTCTCTTTCTTCTTCTTGTTGGCATGACAGATTTGGATCTTTGTGTGTATTTAGAGTGGTTAAATGAATTAATCTTCTGTTCTTCAGTCATGATCTCGTTGAATGTTGTTGTGACGAATTTTCCGAGGATAGGAGCAGTGAACTTCATTTCGTTTGTATCTGATTTAGACAATGATCTGGATCTTGCAGGATTTAGTTTGATTTCAATTGGAGTGTATTTTCTTCCAATAATTGAAATGTCATCTTCTTCATTAAAGATGTTGTTTTCTGCAGCTTCCCATGAATCATATCTTTCTATCTTGTAATCTTTTCGCTCTGGAATTTCGACGCTCATGATTTCATCAAGTTCTTCAGGTGAAATATCTGGCATTTCTCGAATTGATGATTTCTTTTGTTTGATTTCTTTCTTGTCTTCGTTTGGTGGAACATATTCTGGTGGCTGGTATGTTGTTGTCTTCTTTGGTGTGAATCCAAGAGATGTTGGTGCGGCTGATCGAGATCTTTGTTTCTGACGATTAATTTTCACTTTTTCTTCTTTAGTTTTTTCTTCTTCGTCAATTATGTCGAATGTTGTCTTTGTTTGTGGTTGAACTCTGATTGGTCCCCAGAAACCATTGATGACATCGACGGAATCATCGAATACTTCAACAGCTCCGTGCTTGTTCTTGTCAGCAATTTCATCTTTCTTTGTCAAGAAAATGTCAGGAATTTCTACTGAAGACTTTGTTGGTTTCTTTGCAGTTAATTGGTCAACTTCATCGAAAATGTCTCTGATTCTTGTTGCTTCTTCCTTGTCTTTTCTTGACTTTTCTAAGTATGCTTCGTCATCATAGAGTGTATCGAATGATGACTTGGATTTGGCATAAGCAGATTTCTTGTTTGTTTTGGCTTTGTTTTCTTGTTTGTTTGAGTTTGGATTTGGTTTGTAAACTAATCCTGTTCCAAAGAATATATCATCTTCAGCAAATTCAGCAGCTCCCCAATCATCAGAGTCCATATTCCATGCACTCTCACTCTGCTTTGGTTTTTCTTCAACTTTTTCTTCAACCTTTTCTGTCACTTTTTCAATTGGTTTCTCTGTCACTTTTTGAGGTTTTTCTTCATTCTTAGTTTGTTTTTCTGGAACTTTTTCGACTGGTTTTTCTGGTTTTTCGATTGGTTTAATTTGCTCTTCTTGGACTTCTGGTTCTTCCATCTTCTTCGTTTGTGATTTAGGTTTGAAGGAAGGCTGAGATGTCTTTGATGGTTTGGTTTGTTTCTTTGATGGTTTTTCTGTCAATTTCTTCATGCTTTGTTTGATTTCCTCCAAAGGAGTTTTAACAATTTCTTCTTCTACTTGCTTTGGAGGTTCAGAGACTTGAGATTCATCTGTCATGAACTGAGAAGGTTCAATTGGTTTAATCTCTGTCTTTGGCTGTTCTTCAAATGTAATTTGTTCTTCAACAGGAATATTTTGTTGTTTCTTTGTTTGTTGTAATGGAACAACAATTTCTTTAGATTCAAGGAACTTCTTTGTCTTTTGGAATGATACTGGTTGTGGTGATGAAGATCTCTTCTTATTGGCTGATTTCTTAACTCTTTCTATTACATTATTTGCCAATAATTTCGATTCTTCAACAATTTCAACTTCTTCTTGAACTAAAACAGGAACTTTCTTTGTTTCAACAACTTCGATTTCTTCTTCTTCCATAGAATTAGAACTTTCTTTTTCTTTCTGTTCAGGAGAAGATTTCTTTTCGAATTCAAATGGACTCATATCATCATCATTTTCTAAAGTCCAATCTTCATTATCAGCATCATCTTTTTCTTCTTCCTCTTGTTCTTTGATGTTGTCTTTTGATTCGTGTTTCTTTATTTGTTGGACATTATCTAATAATGTCATTGGTAATTCATCAGATGATTCAAACATTGGTCCATCAGAGAACTTGTCGTCACTTCCTGATGATTCTTTGAAGAGTTGTGAATCATTACCAAACAAATTGTCTGGTAACTCTAAATCAGAATCAGAAATCAACATATTTGATGATTGATCGGATGATATCAAGAGATCGAAATCATCTGGAAGAGATTTAAGTGGCAAAGGAACTTTGGCATGAACATCTTCTTCTGGAACTTTTTCTGGTAATTTAGGTTCTTCTTTCTTCTTTTCTGGTTTAGTTTGTTTCTTCTTTGTGATTGTTTGAAGTTCTTGGAGAATTTCTTTAGTCTTGATGACTTTCTTCTTTGTTGGTTTGGCTCTAACTGCAAATGGTGGTGGAGAAACTGATCTCTTCTTCTTTTCTTTTGATTCATTATCAATGATCTTTTCATTCTTAATAATGAACTTTTGTAATTTGGACAAATCAGAAGAAATTGGTTTCTCTTCCTTCTTTGGTTGTTCTTTTATGACTTTCTCTTGTTTAACTTCTTCTTTAGCTTTCTTAATTGGTTGTTCTTTAGGTTTAACTTCTTCTTTGACTGGCTTTGGAGAAACTTTTTCTGTTTTAACTGGTTTGATTTCTTCTTTCTTTGTTGGTTGTTCTTTAACAACTTTCTCAACTGGTTTTTGAGGAACTTTTTCGGCTTTCTTTGGTTGAACTTCTTCCTTCTTTGTTGGTTGTTCTTTTTCTTTCTTTTCTGTAGCAACAATTTGTTCTGGCTGTAATGGTTTAACTTTTTCTTCTTTCTTTGGCTGTTCCTTGTTGATGATTTGTTCTGGTTGGATTGGTTTAGTTTGTTCTTCGTAACCTGGAGGAAGTTCTTGTTCGAATGATCCTGGTTCGAATCCTGGAGGGAAGAGGTCCTTAATGATTGTCTTCTTTTGGGATAAATATGTTGGAGACTTAACAATCTTTGAGATATCAATAGGAATCTTTGCACGAGATGACTCTTCTTCTTCAGGGAATTCATCGAAATCTTCTGTAAATCTTGGATGAATTTCTGCTTTTTGTTTCATTTCCTTTTGCTTCTTCTGTTTTTCTTCCAATTCTTTCTCGTGTAATTTCTTTTCTTCGTCAAGTAACTCTTCGAACAATTTCTTTCCTTGTCTTGCAGAAGGAGAAGTAGATCTGATTTGTTTTGGTTTGATGTCAATTGGTTTGACAACGTAATTACTTTCTTTCTTCTCTTCTTCATCACCTGCAAATTCTCCAGCAGCAGCATTCCATGCATTGAACTCTTTCTTTTGTTCTTTTTGTTGCTGCTTTGGTTTTTCTGTGAATTTGACTTCTGTTTTCTGTTTCGATGGTTTTTCAACAGAATGTTGTTGTTTAGGAATATATTTCAATCCATCATAATCCATTCCTTCATCAAATGTTGTTTCATTCCATTCGTCAACTTGTTTTTCTTCAACAACTTCGATTTCTTCTTTTTGAACTGGTTTTCCTTTTTCTTCAACTTTGATTTGTTCATCAGTTACTTCAGGAGCTTCGTAATTTGATTTCTTTGTTGTTGATGGTTTAAATGAAGGAAGATCTATTGTTACTTTAGTTTGTTGCTGTTTCTTCTTTTGGAATGAAACGGGCTGTGGTGATGATGATCTCTTCTTTTCTTCCTGCATCATGATCCTGTCGAAATCAGAAATTTTTGGTTCGTCGGAAGGAACAATGTTTTCTGGAGAAATTTTAGTTGTCTTAGGAACATATTTAAGTCCATCAATTGGATAATTTTCTTCTTGGAATTCTTCATGAATATCTTCCCATTCATCTTTAACTTTTTCTTCCTTGATTTCTTTTTGATCTTCTTGTTTTTGTTCTTCATCAGAAACGAAATCTTTGTAAACAGGTTTCTTTGATTCTTTCTGATCATTTACGATTTCAGGAGCGTCGTATTTATGTTGTTTAGATTTAGGAGTGAAAGCAGGCTTTAACTGTTGTTCCTTGAGTTTCTCAGCTTTGTTTTCTTCTTCAATTAATTTGTTGAATTCATCGGAATGTTTCATTTCAACTTTCTTTGATTTTTGTTTTGGTTCATACTTCAATCCATCGATTTCCATTTCTTCTGTAAATGTTTCATTGTTATTCCATTCATCAACAACTTCTTCTTTAACTGTTTGTTCAACTTTTTCTTCTTCTTCTGGTTGTATTTCATTGAAATCTTTGATTTGTGGAGATTTCTTTTCTTTCTTGACTTGATCAATTGAAGGAGCTTCTGATTTAGATTTCTTTTCCTTTGGTTTAAATGTTGTGTTCTCTAAAACAGCTTCTGTTTGACCGGAATGTGCCTTTTCTTCTTCAATTAACTTGTTGAATTCTTGTTTCTTTTGTTCTTTCTTCTTTGGCTGGTATTTAAGTCCTTCAATTTCGATGTCGTCTTCAATGAAATTGTCCAAATTATCCCAGTCATCGTTGGAAACAACTTGGTTCTGTAATTCAAGAACGTCATTGAGATCAATTTCTTCTTCCTCTTCTTCTTCAGGAGCTTTAGTGCGAATTTGTTCTTCTGTTGCTTCAGGAGCTTCGATTTTAGATTCTTTTTCTTTTGGTTTGAATTCTGGTTTTTCAACCATTTTTGCAGGAGATCTTCCTCTTTTAACTTTCTTTGGTGATTCCTCTTCTTTTTGTTTCTCTTCTTCAATCAATTTGTTGAATTCTGCCTTGTCTTTCTTTGGTTTCTGTTTATGTTCATACTTCAATCCATAAATATCAATGTCTTCATCGAAGTTGTCGCCTGCAGCAGCTTCCCATTCATCCTTTGGTTTCTCTTCTTCTGTTGAAACTGGAGTTGTTCCTTCTTTATCTTTTTCTGTTTCTTTTTCACTGTCTAAAACATTGTTCACCCATTTCTCAACATCAACTTCATCTTCTGATTTTTGTTTCTCTTGATCGGAAACAACTTCTGGAGCATCATATTTAGTTGATGTTTCCTTTGGTTTGAATGATGGTAATTCTGTTGCTTTGGCAGGAGATCTAGCTCTTCTAGCTTTCTTTGGTGATTCTTCTTTGACAATTTCTTGTGAAACTGGTTTTTGTTCTACAACTTTGACTTCTTTCTTTTGTTTCTCTTCTTCAAGAAGTTTCTCGAAATTAGCCTTTTCTTTCTTTGGCTTTGGCTTTGGTTCGTATTTCAATCCATAAATATCAATATCTTCATCGAAATTGTCTTCTGCAGCAGCTTCCCATTCATCCTTTGGCTTTTCTTCTTCAGCAACAACTGGAATTGGTTCTTCTTCTTTAATTTCTTCTTTAATTTCTTCATTTGGAATTTGTTCAGGTTTTTCTTGGTCAGAAACAATTTCTGGAGCACCAAATTTAGCTGAAGTTTCCTTTGGTTTGAAAGTTGGAAGTTCTGTAGCTTTAGCAGGAGATCTGGCTCTTTTAGCTTTCTTTGGTGATTCTTCTGTTTCTGGTTTTTGTTCTTCAACTTTGACTTCTTTCTTTTGCTTTTCTTCTTCAATCAATTTGTTGAATTCTGTTCCTTGTTTCTTTTGTTTTGGTTCATACTTCAATCCATAAATATCAATGTCTTCATCAAAGTTGTCACCTGCAGCAGCTTCCCATTCATCCTTTGGTTTCTCTTCTTCTGTTGAAACTGGAGTTGTTCCTTCTTTATCTTTTTCTGTTTCTTTTTCACTGCCTAAAACATTGTTGACCCATTTCTCAACATCAACTTCATTTTCTGATTTTTGTTTCTCTTGGTCGGAAACAACTTCTGGAGCATCATATTTAGTTGATGTTTCCTTTGGTTTGAATGATGGTAATTCTGTTGCTTTGGCAGGAGATCTAGCTCTTCTAGCTTTCTTTGGTGATTCTTCTTTGACAATTTCTTGTGAAACTGGTTTTTGTTCTACAACTTTGACTTCTTTCTTTTGTTTCTCTTCTTCAAGAAGTTTCTCGAAATTAGCCTTTTCTTTCTTTGGCTTTGGCTTTGGTTCGTATTTCAATCCATAGATATCAATGTCTTCATCGAAATTGTCTTCTGCAGCAGCTTCCCATTCATCCTTTGGCTTTTCTTCCTCTGTCGCAACTGGAGTTGGTTCTTCTTCTTTGGTTTCTTCTTTAAATTCTGGTTTAACTTCTTGTTCTTCTGGTTTTTCTTGATCAGAAGCAATTTCTGGAGCATCGAATTTGGAATCTATTTCCTTTGGTTTGAATGATGGTAATTCAGTGGCTTTAACAGGAGATCTAGCTCTTCTAGCTTTCTTTGGTGATTCTTCTTTGGCAATTTCTTGTGAAATTGGTTTTTGTTTTTCTTCTTTGATTTCTTTCTTTTGTTTTTCTTCTTCAATCAATTTGTTGAATTCTGTTCCTTGTTTCTTTTGTTGAACTTTCTTTGGCCTTGGTTCATACTTCAATCCATAAATATCAATATCTTCATCGAAATTGTCTTCTGCAGCAGCTTCCCATTCATCCTTTGGCTTTTCTTCTTCAGCAACAACTGGAATTGGTTCTTCTTCTTTAATTTCTTCTTTAATTTCTTCATTTGGAATTTGTTCAGGTTTTTCTTGGTCAGAAACAATTTCTGAAGCACCAAATTTAGCTGAAGTTTCCTTTGGTTTGAAAGTTGGAAGTTCTGTAGCTTTAGCAGGAGATCTGGCTCTTTTAGCTTTCTTTGGTGATTCTTCTGTTTCTGGTTTTTGTTCTTCAACTTTGACTTCTTTCTTTTGCTTTTCTTCTTCAATCAATTTGTTGAATTCTGTTCCTTGTTTCTTTTGTTTTGGTTCATACTTCAATCCATAAATATCAATGTCTTCATCAAAGTTGTCACCTGCAGCAGCTTCCCATTCATCCTTTGGTTTCTCTTCTTCTGTTGAAACTGGAGTTGTTCCTTCTTTATCTTTTTCTGTTTCTTTTTCACTGCCTAAAACATTGTTCACCCATTTCTCAACATCAACTTCATCTTCTGATTTTTGTTTCTCTTGATCGGAAACAACTTCTGGAGCATCATATTTAGTTGATGTTTCCTTTGGTTTGAATGATGGTAATTCAACAGCTGCTTTGGTAGGAGATCTTGATCTCTTTGATTTCTTTGGTTGTTCTTCTTGAACAAATTCTTCTGAAACAGATTCGAATCTCTTTTGTTTCTCTTCTTCAAGAAGTTTTTCGAATTCCTCTGGTTTCTTTTCTTCTTCTTTCTTCTTTGGTTCATATTTCATTCCAGAAAATTCAAGTTCTTCACCGAATTCATCATTAACATGATTCCATTCATCAGTTTCTGTTGTCTTATGATCAGATACGATGCTTCCTTTAGAAGACTGGATTTTTTCTTGATCAGAAACAATTTCAGGAGCTTCATATTTAGAAGCTGTTTCCTTTGGTTTAAATGATGGTAATTCAGCTGTTTTTGCCGGAGATCTTGATCTCTTTACTCTGATTTGATCATCTTTCTTTGTTTGTTCGTCAAGAAGAATTAACTCGAATTCACTTGGTTTCTTTTCTTTCTTCTTTGGTTCATATTTAAGTCCGTCGACTTCTAAATCTTCTCCAAATTCATTATCAACATTGTCCCATTCATCTTTTTCTTTCTCTTCTTTGATTTCTTGTTGTTTTTGCTCTTCTTCTTCGTCTTCATCAGAGAATTTACGATAAATAGGAGTTGATTTCTTCTTTGGTCCGAATTTTCTTTCAGGAACAACTTCGGGAGCTTCGTATTTAGATGATTTCTCCTTTGGTTTGAAAGATACATTTGTTGCTTCTTCATGTTTGGCCTTTTCTTCTTTCATGATTTTATCGAATTCTGATTCTTTCTTTTCTTGTTTCTTTGGTTCATATTTCAATCCATCAACTTCTAAATCTTCTGTGAATCCATCATTTGCTGCTTCCCATTCACTTTTCTCTGGTTGTGGCTTCTCTTCTTCTTTTTCTTCTTCGCTTTCATCATCAGAGAATTTTCTAAATTCTGGCTTGCGTCTTGGAAGAATTTCTTTTTCTTCATCAGAAATAACTTCAGGAGCTTCGTATTTAGAAGCTTTTTCTTTCGGCTTGAAAGACAAGTTTGTTGCTTCTTCATGTTTAGTTTTCTCTTCTTGAAGAAGTTTATCGAATTCAGATTCTTTCTTTTCTTGTTTCTTTGGTTCGTATTTCAATCCATCAATCTCTAATTCTTCTGTGAATCCATCTTTGGCATTGTCCCATTCATTGACTTCTTCTTTCTTTTGTTCTTTATTGTCTTCTTCACTTTCATCATCAGAGAATTTTCTAAATTCTGGTTTTCTCTTTGGAAGAATTTCTTTTTCTTCATCTGAAATAACCTCAGGAGCTTCGTATTTAGAAGCCTTTTCTTTCGGCTTAAATGATAAATTCGTTGCTTCTTCATGTTTCGTTTTTTCTTCCTTTAAGATCTTATCGAATTCTGATTCTTTCTTTTCTTGTTTCTTTGGTTCGTATTTAAGTCCATCAACTTCTAAATCTTCACCAAATTCATTATCAACATTATCCCATTCATCTTTTTCTTTCTCTTCTTGTTTTTGTTCTTTATCTTCGTCTTCGTCTGAGAATTTACGATAAACAGGAGTGGATTTCTTCTTTGGTTTGATTTCTTCATCAGAAACAACATCAGGAGCTTCGTATTTAGATTTAGTTTCTTTTGGTTTGAAAGATAAATTCGTTGCTTCTTCTTTCTTTGTCTTTTCTTCCTTTAATATCTGATCAAATTGTTGTTCTTTCTTTTCCTGTTGTTTATTCCTTGGTCCAGAGAAAGGAACATGATGTGGATCATTAATTTCATACCAACTATCATCGAATTCTTCTTGTTTTGGTTCTTCTTCAGCCAAAATTGAAGGAGCTTCGTATTTGGATTTGGTTTGTTTTGGTTGGAATTCTGGTTGATTCTGATTTGCCTTTAATGCAGCAATTCTTTGTTTCGTTGATACAGGTTGTACTGATTGACTTCTCTTCTTTTCATCAGGTTCAGCTAACAAAGAATCGAAATCAAATGACATCCATTTACTTGGTGTTGGAAGATCTACTTTCTTCTTCTTCTTTTCAACTGGTTTCGGTTTGTAGTTTAATGCTGCTTTAATCAATTGTTCTTCATCGGATAAATCAATTTCATCTAAATCAATTGATTCTTCTTTCTGAAGTGGATATGGATTTTCAATTGGTTTCTCGATTTTTTCTGGGACTTTTTCGGTTTGTTTTTGAGGACGTTTTTCAATTGGTTTCTCAAATTTTTCAACTGGTTTCTCAAATTTTTCAATTGGCTTTTCAATTTCTTCTGGGAAAGCTTGAATTCTTTCTGGAGCTTTTTCTACATAAGGTTCTGGTTCATCGAAATCGCTGTCAACTGTCGGAGCTTCGTATTGAGATCTATTTTTAGTAGAAGGAGAGAAATCGAGTGCTGAAGTATCGACTGCTTGTTTGTTCTTTGATCTTTTGATTTTATGATACATTTGTTTCTTCTTTTCTTCTTCTTGTTTTTGGATTTCTCTGATATCATAGAATTTCTTAGGTTTGTATGTTAAACCAACGAAGACCATTTCATCTTCATTTCCTGCTGCTCCCCAATTGCTTGGATCATCAAATGCTGATGAAGGAGCTGCAGAAGCTGATCTCTTTTGTTTGGAAAATTCTTCAATTGGATACTTCTTTTTATCTTCTTCTTTTTCTTTAGTTTTATCTTCACCTAAAACTCCATTAACCCATTTCTCAACATTAACTTCTTCTTCTTCGAGTTTTGGTAACTCTGTTGCAATCTCATCGATTGTTGGTGCAACAAATTTCGGCTTCTTCTTTTCTGGTTCAAATGTCACTTCACCTACAAAAGTGACATGATTTGAAGATCTTGCTCTTCTCTTTGCAGAAGATTGATCGATTTCTGTTTTCTCGATGAGATTGAAATCGATTGGATTGTGTTTTCTCTTTGTTCCCCATTCAGTTACATCGTCATCATCGATTTTGACGACTTTCATTAATCTGTTCTTTTCTTTCATTGCTTTGATTCTTTCTTCTTCAGGGATATCAATTTCTAATGTTCCCCATGTTTGATTTGATGGCTCGTAAAGAACTGGCATTTCTTTACCATCAGGAAGATAATCAGGAGCTCTGTAAGAAGATCTTGCTGCAAGAGATTTCGATCTGAAAGCAACAGTTTTAAGAACAGATTCTGCATTTAATTTCGCTCTTTGTGCTTTAGTTAATCTTGTGTATTTCAAGTTTGTAACTCCTGCCATTGGATCTGATTCTTGGAAAGCAGATAAACTATCCCAACCTGATGAAGATTGTTGTTGTTGTTTAGGAGCAGGAATGTTTTGTGGTTCGTTTTTAGGGGATTCTTTTGATTTTCCTCTTCTCTTTCTTTCTCTTCTTGATGGTTTTTCTTCTTTTTCTGAAGCGATTTGTTTTGGTTCTTCAAAAACTTCAGAAACAGATTGTTTTTGATCAGAAAATTTTTGATCATTTTGTTGTTTAGCTTCTTCACCAATTAGATTTGTATCATATTGTTCTTCAACACCCCAGAACATTTCATCATTTTCGATTAGTTTTGGAGCATTGTTCATTGGATTTGGAGGAATATGTTCTGTTTCATTTAGATCAACAATTGTTTCTTCTTCAGGTTCATTAGCTTTTCTTTCTTCTTCTTGGAGAAGTGAATTAAAATCATTTCTTCCCATTAAAACACCTTTAGTTTGCTGTGTTCTTGATTTTCTTGCTGCTTTTTCTGCATCAGCTTTTGCTTTTTCTTCTTCCATAAGGGATTCAAAGAATGATTTTCTTGTTTGACCATAATAATCATCACCATCATCTCTTAATGAAGGTCTTAGTGGAGCTTTTTGTTTTTCGGCTGGTTTCGGTTTGAATGTTAATCCCCATGTTTTTCCTCCTGGAACTTCTTCTTCAGTTTTTTCAACAGGATCTGCTTGAACAGTTACTGAATCCCAGATTGTTTTCTGTTTAGGTCTGAGTGTTGAAACTTTTGATTGTGTCTTATTTGCTTCATCTTGCATCAAAAGATCAAATTCAGATGGTCTTGTTTTTTCTGGAGAATACCTGATTTTACTTTGTTTCTTTTTGGCATTTTCTGCTTCTTCTGCCATCAAATTATTGAACATTGTTGTATCAGGTTTGTTCCTTTCAGCTTCTTCCATTCTTTGCTTGTATTCAGCACGTTTTGGAACAATCTTGAATTCTTTCCTTCTTTCTTGTATCTTCTGTTCTTCTGGGTCAACAGCAGGACCAAGGATTTTAATGGCAACTTTTCTTTCTACATGAGGTTTTGGTCCGAAATCAAGTTCATCGAGAATAGAAGTATCAGTTTGCTGAACAACTTTGATCTTGTCAGTTGGATTAAGACGTTCGTTTTCCATGATTTTGTCGAAACTTCCGAAGTTACCTTGAACTTTTGTTCCCCAACCAAAATCATAATCTTCCCAAGATTCAGTTTGGTTTTCTCCAGCATTATTTTGTTTTTCTTGTGGAGGTGTATAACCAAAACCTTGTGGATAAGCAGTATATTTAAGATTATTGATTTGTTTGTGATCAACTTCTTTTGATCTACCCATTTCTCTTACGAAATCAGCATTGATGTCCCAAGCAGATTTATAAGTTCTTTGTTCTAAAGCTGCTTCTCTTAATTTCTTTCTGATTTCGCGTTTGAGACTTGCTATTTCTGGTGTATCTGTTCTATCCTTTAAATATTCTTTTGGAATCATAATTGAAGCAAGTTTTTCTTTCCTTGATTCGAGAATATGTTCGATATCAGGTCCATGTAATTTCAATGGTTTAGTAATTTTGATGTTTGATGGAGTGAAATCTGGTCCAAGATTTCTGATGTCAACACCATAATAAACGGAATGATCTGCTTTTCGAGGAGCAAATGTCAAATGCATTCCTGCTATATCAACTTCATCAAATCTTTCAACACCTTTTGCTGCCATTTCTGCTTTCTTTTTCTCAGTTTTTGCTTTGTTTTGTTGATGATTTTGAAGAGCTGCCATCATTGGTAAATCGAGATTATCAAGATCTAAATCATCTTCTTCATTTTCTTCATCATTTTCATCGTTTTGATCATAAGTAAAATCATTCCAAACATACTGTTGTTGTTGTTGTTTTGGTTGTTGTTGACGTGGTGGACTTGGTTTACTTCTTTTTGATTTACGATCAGTTAAAAGTTGGTTTATATCTTCTTGTTTTTTAGGAATTTCTTCTGTTTCATTTGTTGTTATTACTGGTGCAACAGTTGTTGTTTGGTCATAGAGTTTCTTTAATTCTTGTAATTGTTCTTGTCTGCGTTTTTCTGTTTCTGATTTAGACAAGAGTTTAGTTTTAGCAACATTTGCGGGTATTGAAGAAATAACTTCTTGTTTTACATCGATGACTTGATCTCCACGATAAACTTTCTTCAATTTGATGACTTTTCTAAGTGTAATAACTGATCTTTGCTGAACAGTTGGAACTGATTCAGGAGCTGGTTGTTGAGGAATGATAAACTGTGAATTATTTAAAATCTTTGTTTGTACCTTTTTAGTAGGAATTTCAGTGTATTCAGCATTATTTTCAATTATTTCTGGTTGAGAAATTTGTTTTTGTTCTTCAGGTTCTTTATAATGATCAGAAACATTAATTGGTTCTTCTTTTTGTTCTTGATAATTAATGTTATTATTAATTTGTTCATCTTGTTCAAGGAACTGTTCAGAGATCTGATCATCATCTTGTAATTGTTGTATCAATGGTTTGTAAGTTTCAACAATTGGTTCAATGTTAGGAGGAGCTGGTGGATTTGATCTTATTTCTGTTTCAGATCTCATTTCATCAGGAATATCAGGGATAAATGGTCTTGGGGCTTCATATGGATTATATTCTTCCTCTTCTTCGAATTCTTTTGTTTGGTTCTTTCTCTGCAACTTCTTTAAAAGTTTCTTTTGTGCAGCAGACATCTTTTTCTTCTTTCCTGATTTCTTTCCATTGTTTACCAAATCAGGATCAGGTTCAATCTCCAAGATACGAACTGGTTCCGGTTCCGGCTCAGGTTCTTTAACTGATTCCGGTTCTTTAATTGATTCTTTGATTGATTCCGGTTCTTTTAATGATTCTTTGATGGATTCTGGTTCTTTAATTGATTCTTTGATGGATTCTGGTTCTTTAATTGATTCTTTGATTGAATCTGGTTCAGGAATTGTTTCTTGTTCAGAAGATTTTTGTTTTTGAACGTTTTTTGTGGCGTTGTTGATTGTCTTTGTTTGGGTTTTGACAATCTGTTGCTTAAGTTGCTGGTGTGTAAGTTTCTTTTCTGGTTTTTGTTCCTGAACTTTTGGATTATTAATAATTTGAATCTTATTTGTTTCTTTGTTATGAACAACAAGAGTTGCTGGCCTGTTATTCTCTGGTCCTTTCTTTTCCGCCTTTATTGGCTTCTGTTGAGGTTTTTGAACTTCGATTTCTTCTTGATTATTATTATTTATTAAGTTGTTTCTTGCAGCAGAAGGAGGAAGATTCTTCTTGGGCATAAAGATAGAAAGCGGAGCTCTGTTTGTTCGCTTTGGCATATGGATACCTTCGAAAGGATCATTTACCATAATTCTTGTATCTGGAGTAAGAGAAGAGATTGAATCAACTAATCTCGTTGGAACAAAATCTGGCATTAACGAATCTTTGGTCATATCGATCTTTGGTCTTGGTTTTGGAGGAATAATTTCCTGTATTTTTTCCTGTATCTTTTCTGGCTTCTTTTGCTGCATTGTAGGAATAAGTGTCTTTTGTTCGCGTTGCAAACTGGTTCCTAATTTGTATGTTTTGATTGTATATTTGAGATTTCCTTTTTCATCAAATTTTTGTTCGTTAATAACATCATCGTGACTTATTGGAACAGGTTTGTATTTTTGAACTTTCTCTACTCTGATGTTTGGATAGTAGGCACTGCTGTATTTGTCTTGAGTTGTATTTGATGTTTTGTTTCCTTCATCAATAGGCTGATTGTTTGCTTCTTGATCATCTATGATTTGTAATGACGATTGAGATGCTGATTTTCCTTTGAATTTATCACTGGATTTATTTTCATCTTCACTTGAAGCGAATTTTTCTGATTGCTTTGAATCTGATTTAGATGTGACAGAAGCAGTTTCTTCCTTTTTCAACTTTTCTTGTAAATCTAATTTTTCTTTTCTCATAATTGCAGTATCGATTGCGTGGCGATCTTTTCCTTCAGATAATTTCTTTCTGTTTGACCCGGTTTTGATTTTAGCTTGTAAATCTGGATGTCTGGTTAATTCTACTAAGGATGCAAGAAATGGTTCCTCTGTATAGAGAGGACCAAAATCAAATTCATTCAGATAAACTACCCTTGTTCGATAGCATGCAAAAATATCATCTTCACTGTATTTTTTCGGCGTGAACATGATATTTCTGAAATCTTTGGAGAAAAGTGACAATTTCTTAATTCTTGATACTTCATAAATCTTGTTTAACACCAAAAGTTACGCATATAATTTTTCATCAACATTTATCGTTAATTTTGCATTCAAAGGAAACGAAAAGTGACGTTGTATCGAAAGTTCCAAAAATTCGAATCCAAAAAAAAAATTCAAAATCAAATAGGATTTTGGAGTTAGTCACCTCGGATTGTCTCCGTTTTAACATTGAATTTTCATATAACACCAGAGAAGATTCACAGATCTTGATTTCGCAGTAGAATATAGAGAGATTGAATGTTTCAAATAGATCATTGACTATGATAAGAAAGTGAAATGTATTTCCCATGTATAAGTAAAAGAATTGATTGAAAGAAGATATAAAAATTCTATGAAGTTCATTTCCAATACATAAACACACAATTTACTAGTTACAACAACAAAGTGAATTTAGTTTTTCATAGGAACATCAATAATAGGATCAAAATTGTAATCACCTTTCGTAACTGCATGAACCAGTCCAAGTGTATTATCCCAGTGACCGTGTTCTGAACAGTAAACTATTTTCTTGGCTAAAGTAACTGCTTGAGGAATATTTACAAGGTAATTTGCACTCAAGTTCTTTGGAAGGGGAATTGTAATGCCAATCATGTATAAATTGGATGTTAAACATAGCTGAATGTTTGGTTTATCAAAGTGGCCAAAAATTAAAAGCATTGGTGTTTTTTCTTGCATATATATGGTATTGTAGACCGTTGAACCGCTAGGACAAATAAAAGCCCTAATGTGAGCAAAGAACTTAGCTGCATATTCAATCTTTTTAATGAATGGAGCATAATAATGCCAAACTTGATTATCGGGGAGTTTAACATCTTTATTCGGAGCTTCAAGTAGCTGTTCATGGTTCTGTATTTGTCGTAGATTTCTGCCTACTCTATTAAACACGTAATACTTTGTTGGTTTAATCGTAGTTAAATTTAATTTGTTTCTAACAACATTTCGCAATCTCTTGATGCCACCAATTGTAACTGAATGAGCATGTTCACATCCTGTCACGAAATAAAGTTCTTTGACAAAAACTTGCTCTTGATTATTCAAATTTAGTACTGTAGCATTATATCCGAGGAAATTAAGCCATTGAATAGTATGATAATATCCTGCATTTGTTTGGAGTGTTACAACATGTACATTCTTCAAATGTTCTGGTAAATACATTAAACCTGAACAAAAATCATGAATTACATGGCTCCATTGCCAATAATGTTGGACGTATGCTATACCGACATCATAAAATCCAACAATTTTCATCTGATAATCTACTGGTACGTCTTTCTTATACAATTTAATATGAGAATTTTCAACTGAACATATTCTTCCTAAGTAAGCATTCCTAAACAATCCTGTATAAACATTTGACTGCAGTAAGCATGATGGATTAATTGCACAATAGATGTTGAACTTCCTTTTTGTTAATAATGTTCTAGAAAGTTGTGATGGATCAATAGAATCGTGATATTTTTTCAAATCCGAACAGTTAAGGTTGAAAAACCAGGTGAAATTTAGCACCGGCCTGCCTGGGAAAAATTTAATTTCACAATCGATTGAACATGGTAATTTAGAAATTGCTAGAAGGGATATAACGAAAAATAGATGAAAAATAGCTATTTGAGTTAGCAATTTTGTCATTCTCCGCCTCTGATTTTGACATGATAAAAAAATTGTTTAGAGGTCATTTGAATAGATATTAATATAACTCATGTAATTAAAAAAAATAATTATTCGTAAACTTTTGAAAATTCATAAGAAGACGATAAATTATGGCCTTTCTTTTTAAGGGTCCACTGTAAGGCCAAATAAGGCCTATCGTCATCCCAAAAATATTGCTCAAGATGGTGTTTTACTAAGACCCAAAACTTAAAAAAACACAAAAAAATTAACTTTACTCTTTTGAGATCCTTATCAGATGTGCAACAATTTGATGCAGTATCGCAATTCGAATCCGATTTTTTAATGTAGATGTACTCTAACATTCTTGAAAAAATGCAAAATGATATTAATTAAGCTTTTCATTTCTGTATCATACACGAAACAAAATCATTTATTATACTAAAATTTATCAAAGTTTGAATAATGAAAAAAATAATATCTAAATTTTTACATTGAGTCGGCTATTGATATGGTCAATATTAAATCGTTTAAAAATGGGCATTGGCCAGAATAATACCTACTAAAATACACTTTTTTTTTAAATGTTATCAATTTGTTATGGTATATCTTTATGATAATGAATAAAATGCTTATCTTTCATAAGTAAATACATAATTTATGCTGGAACACAAAAAATAACACGAAAATTTTTTGCCAACATTTCAAAACAAAGGATAATGTTTTGAATATATAAGCAATAATACTTTGTCTGGAGAATTAAATTTGTGCTATCCAATTGTCAATTCTTTGAATTTTTTATAAAATGCACGATATTCTGACATTAGCCTCTTTAAATATAAACTACATGCATCACAATATTAGTATGTAATGGCATTAAAGCGAATTTCCTAATTTCTTCTCAATTTAATTCCTAGAAAAACTTAGGAATTAATGATTGGAAATAGGTCAAAAAATTCCTAATATAAAATTCATACTTATAATAAAATCAAAATTCGAAAATATCTATTTTTCAAAACACGCATCCAGGAGCAAAAAAATAGGAAAAAATCATGTTCTTATAAAACTCGCTGATTTTGCAATTTTTATGTGATTTGAAGTGATAGAATATATTATCATCTTATTAAAACATATACTTCATTGTTACATTCACAAAATATTAATCAGAACACTAGGAAAAGTGGATTTTCGAAAAAAAGACGATAATGATTATTTGCAAATCGCCTCTCAATTTTGAGAGACTTTCAATTTTTACAGTGGACCCTTAAGAATGGCCAAGCGTTCTAACACATCTGCACACAACAGAAGCCACCAGCACCACCGCAATGGTATCCATAAGTGCGTTGTCAAGAAACTCTGGTTCGAGAAGGGAATGAACGCCAAGTTCCTCCGCAACGCCCGCTATGCTAAGGCTGGACAGAACAAGTCCGAGGAAGAGGAAGAGTAAGCTCAATCTTCTCAGAATGTTCTACCATAAAGTTACTAATGTTTTCGAACATTTAATAATCCTTTTTTTATAGAAATTATTTTTTTAATTTTACTTTTTTAAGTCATATTTCTCATACAAGTTCAAATACTAAAAAGATTTAAAAGTAGCCTAAAGAATCTTTTATTTGAACTTGATATTCCATTGAAAATAAAGGTGACCAAACTATTTTTTGAAAGTCCGCCATAACTTTAATGGTACTATTTCAGCGTGTACAATGAATACAAAAATTCTAAGAGTGCCACATAAAATAGTACTTTAGACTTGAGTTAATGCTACCAAGCAAATGTTAAAAAGATGACTTTAGTGTTTTGATAATCAAAGATTAAAATCATTATTGTCTAAATCAATAATCATAACGACAGAAGTTAATGTTTTTTCATCAGTGCTTTAAATCCACTTTTAAAAGTATACCTCAAAAATCAAAATATCAAAAAAAATTGGCCGATAGGTTTGGCTTTAATTTTTGTCTGCTTTTATGATTTGATATGGATGTTATAATTTTAAAAGTTGAGCCAAATTCACCAATAGATTTTTGAGATTTGCAAATACTCAATAATTTTCAGCGTGTTATCTTTTATTAAAAGAACTATTTGGTTTCAGTATCATATAAATTGATATTTACTTTCTATTTGAACCTTCATTTAGCTAATGATTTAATAATACAGATTTCATCTAGTCCTTATAAGAGAATTTTGAATTTGTTATAATAAAAAAACAAACAGATATAGCTTACACTTCTATAATAAAGATACCTTTTATAGAAATCAGTATGAAATGTGTTTTGGCTTATTGGAAGCATATCAGACATAATCGCCATAATCAAAAAATCTATATACCCAATAAGTAATAAATTTGTCGATATAGATTTTCCATAAAATTAGTTTTTAGTCTGATCTTAAAATAAATTTAATTTTTTATAAAAAAAATCACATTTAAAAGTACCTTTTTAGTAGCTCGAAATCCTGTTGGTGGATTTGGGGCGTACTTCAAAATTAGCTTTTCTTCTACATATGCAAGCTATATTTTAAATATGGGGCAAATCGGATCGGCGAAAGGAGTTTAGTTACCTTTTTGAAAATTTGAAATTTTTTTTCGATAATCTAGTATGTCAATGAAGAGTATATATTTTGATGGGATATGCATAAGTAATACTTTTATTCAAATGTTTCAAGTGTTGGAAAGAAAATAAATAATTTTATTTGTTAGTTAAAGTAGAAAATATGTGAAAATGCTTAATAAAATTAGTTTTTATACATATTACTTACAAAAATAGCGTTACTGAAGTTCCGGATAAAATCTCTTGAAAATGGAATAATATTTGCTCTCTCTTTGATTGTTGGATCCTTTATACTTAGATACGAAAGTGAGTAAAGTTTTTCCATCAGGCATTTTGAGCTTTGGATCAGCATTATTTTGAAGAAGGGTTTCTACAAGAGTACTGTAATCTTTAACAGTGTAGTTAATAACAAGATCTTCTAAGAACCTGTAGGAATCGGAATTATAACGATTATTAATGTTAATTCCGTATTGAATTAATAATTTAAGCATTTCGTTTGCAGTATCTTGATCATTAACAACAGTAAGTGCATGGAGAGCTGTCTTACCTTTAGCATCGAATTTATCAAGCGTGCAGCCTTTATCTAAAACGGTTTTGAGAATTTCCAAGTTTCCGGACCTAACTGCATAATATGCAACAGATGGTTTGTTTCCATTGGTCTTAACTTCGATGGCATTCATGTTCTTGCAGAGAAGCTTGACAATTTCGACGTTCTCCATCGTACAAGCGCAAGTTAAAGCAGTATCGCCCTTAGAATTGACTTCATATGGTGAAATACCTCTTTGTATAAGTGGCTCGATAGCTTCTGTCATTCCATTTACAACAGCAAGCATCAATGGGTTTAATTCAGCGACTGTAACATCAGTTCGACATCTTCCTTGAAGGAGGATGAGTAAGCAATCGAAGTTCTTAGAACGAAGAGCTTGATCGAATGGTTTTGCACTAATATTTTTAGGAGATTGTAAATTTGCACCAAATTTGAAAAGTTTTTTAAGAATTTCTGGGCTATTTGCATAAATTGCTAAGTTAATAAGTGGATAGACGACTTCTAATTCGAGACTTGCTTGTTCGGGATCTATCTTAAGAATATATGCAACAACTTCTTTTGCATTTCCGACGCAAGCATAGTGCAATGGAAGATACCCAGCTCCAGAAGCAAGTCTCAATGGTATCCCTTTTGATAATAAGAATAAAAATGCTTCTAAATTATCGTAATACGCTGCAATATGTAATAATGATACTTCTTTGCATGGTACAATTTCTTTACTGTTTCTTGAAAGTCTCGGAGGTGGAGGAAATGAGAAACTAGAACCTAATAATATTGAAGAATTTTTTTCAGCTTCAAAAGCTTGCTGAATTTCATGTACATTTCCATTAATTGTTGACTGGACAATATTTTGAAAGTAGTTTGAAACAATTTGTTTTGATGATTGTCTCTGAAAACCAATCATGAAAAGAAAGAAATGAATTTGTAAACAAAGATTAAATTGAGATATAATGTTATGCTTTTTCCCCTATTAACAAAAATAACAAAATTTTGATCAGGCATCGAGAAAAATTAATCAAAAGAAATAAAAATTCAAATATGAGACTTAAAATTGAAACATTTGATCTTAGTATTTAAAATAACAAACAAATTTTTATCATTACAATGCATTTTCTCAGCAAATAAAAAATTATTATTTTGGTGTTCTTCTTGGTGAAAGAGGAGAGACTGTCTTTGATCGTCTTGCGCTATTGTTAATCATCTGTGTCTCATTTGCGGAATTGAAATATTGAAGCGGATATTTAGAAATTTTCTTTGTTGAAAATGTTGCTTGGTCAATTACGGTAGGTAACTCAATATCTTCTTCAGTATTGCATATTTCTTTAAGCTTTTCGTTAGCAAATCCTTGAAGTTTCTTCATGATATCAGTTTTATTTTTCGGATTATTGAGATGGTTTGGTATTACATCACAAGAATGAGCCAAAATTGATTGTATTGCAACCTTCAACTTTTGAAGCTGACTCTTCATTTGTGCTTCTTTAATAGTTGTAATCTGATTCAGTTGAGCTTTTAATTTTTCATCTAATATTGAGAGTTCAGATCTTTGTCTAGTAAAGATTGTTTTTCTAGTCGAATCAAAAGCCTTGTCAACTTCTGCCTTTCTACGTTTAATTTCATTTTCTTTTTCTTTTTGAGCTTCTTGCTCCGCTTGGCGAGATTCTGCTGTGTTTCCTATCTTTGATAAGGTAGTGGCTTTCCTTTTAAGGTTTTCAACAGCTGGAATTAATCTTGTTTTTGTTCTGATTATTTCCAAAGCATATTGTTTTTCCACTTGGATTAGTTCTTTAATATGCTCACCTTGGAGATTCTGAAATGATGCATCTGCCCTTAATCTTGCCTCCATTTCAACTTCATTAATACTAGATTCTATCAATTGGCAATTTTCGTAATAACTACTTGTTGCTTTATCAATTTCAGCTGATATACGCGATTGAATATCTTGATATAATTCATCTAATTCTTGTTGCCTGACTTGTGAAAGATCTTCATTAACAACTCCTGTTTCCATATACTGCTGTTGCCCTTGACGGTATTTTTGCTCGCTTACTGTTGGTGATTTTTCCGTTTGTCGAGGTGTAGTATTCATTTTTCCTGTCACTTTTATTCTCTTTATTTGTCACTTTTGCATAAATGCTTTCCAAGGAAGAATTATTAACCGAGATGCAGACGAGGTCACAAAAGGCCATTCAGGGCGCCTTGAATGATCAAATCTATGATGATGCCAAAGTGGAGGAATGGGGTTCCACAATTGTTAAAAATGTTTTATCAGAGATGAAAGAACTTTGCAAATCAAAATATAAATTCGTCACAAATATTATGATATTTTCTAGAAATAAGCAGTGTATTCATGAATGTCAAATGGCGTATTACGACAATCAAAAAGATGTCAAAATTACAACAAAATGGGCGAATGAAACAATGCAATGTATCCTTTCTCTTTGGGGATTTAGAACCAGATTCGGTTGAATCTTATATTTTTAGTTGTTTGACTTTATTGTTTATTTTATTCAATATAATGTAAATATTACCACAAATTGCATAAAGCTGTTCATTACATTACAAAATTTTTCATACAGTATTCCAAAATACTTTTTTCCTAATTTTATTCTATGAGATATTCGTATTCCATCTATTTCATTTATATAAGATCTATGAATATTGAAACTATAAATAGTCCCTCGTAATAAATGATAAGAGGAACTTGTTTTTTGAATATATTGGAAAATTTTGATTACTATTTCAATGAGAACGAGCAGAGTTATATTAAATCATAATATGCATCTAATAGATTTGGTTAATACTCACATTTTTAAGAACTCAAGGAATATAAAGATTCACCAAATAAATATGATGAGACATAGATAAATAAATTGTTTTCATTGCAAAACTAAACTAGTTGAACATATGGCTAAAATATTGTGCGTATATGTTATCAATTCAATGATTTCGAAATTATATTTGTCAATAAGATCAGACAATTCTAGTTTTAAATCATCTTTATAATGACTGTTACATCAATTACAATGAAATGAACTGATAAACAGTAAAAAGAATCTAAAGCATTTGTATATGAAATTTAATATGATGATATCACGTGATAGCAAGTATCGCCTCTGATATGCACTGGAGACAAGAGCTTGGCCTGATTTTTCCTTAATTTTTTCATCAAAAGATATCAAAGTGAAATTAAGAGCTTTTTTTACTTCTTACTAAGAGTTTCGTTTTGCTAAAATTGTCACTTTTATAGCATATTTGTTTTTGGATGTTTTGCGAAACCAAAAAAAAACTATGATATACGATGTGTGTGTAAAGAAAATACTTTATTTACTAGTTAAAAAATCATTTGGTATTGATCAAGTTATTTTTTCTGGATAAAATATTATATGGATAATTGGATAGAAAATACAATTATATAATCTTGTACCTGGTTTAATTAAGCTAATTGTCATCAGAAACTTGTAATTTTTATGAATTTCAGATTTTCTTTTCATTACTGCTTTTCTTAATAGGTCAAGTTCTTATTTACGTTATAAAGTATGATATTTACAAATATCAAGTTATCGTGTTTTTTGAGAAATTATGAGAAACAAACAAAAATGAAAAAGATAGGAATAGCAATGAATAGTGATGTGGGTATAGAAAATGTAAGAGATATGAATGCAAAGCAATCAGTATTTAGGACATTGACCATAGATTTCGAAAAAAAAATGCTGCATATTGAGCGAAAACTATGATTATATTATAAGGCTGTCATTTAAAGCATAATGAAACTATTCCCTTTTCATTTTAATCGAATAAGATAGTAAAGATTTTTGAATTAGCTAGAAACTGATGAGATGTTTTCACAAATCAGATTTTTAATCTCTATAATGCATAATTCACTCAATATCTCAATTTTGATATTGCGAGATATTTTTGCTATCGGGTTCGCAATTTTGACACAATAGCAAGAGGGTTCTATAAGCATTATTATCAACGTAGAATCTGAATATCATATCAGAAAATGTCACAAATCTGACATTTACCCGACCAAATAGCAAAAATAATTGAATACTTTTCGCAAAAACTTTAAAAATCGATAAAAATATGAAATATAGATATTAAAGAGACTTCTTATATAATATTCATAAAGATTTTCCAAAAAGATGATACCGCAAAATTAAAAAAGTGACGTCTTGAGTGGAGTCAGAGGTCGAAATTGCTAGCTAAATGTTTTTTTAGCGAAATTGCGTATTGTACGTTTTTTTCGCAAAACGAAACCCTTATTCTTACTCTTGCAGGGAATTTATTTAGCATGATAGTGCTAATATTTATTATATACGAATGATCGTAATTGAAAAGAAATTCAGTGTTTGTATGACGATAGAAGTGACCATATAAAATGACTGATTTGGATATGGAGAAGCAGCACAAATTCTGGAACACCCAACCGGTTGTCCAGGAGAAAGAGAAGCCAAAAGATGCTGGTGTCATTGATACATGCAATGATGTCTCAAAAGTTCCAAAAGATCCACTTCCACTTCCAAAAGGCTTCTCCTGGGTCTTAGTAGATACTAAAAACCCAGAGCAGCGTGCTGAACTCTATGATTTCTTATGCAAGCACTACGTTATTCATCCAAACAACACCTTCCAATTCGCATATTCCGAGGAATTCTTAGATTGGGCTCTTCATCCACCAGGTTGGCTCCCAGATTGGCACATTGGTGTTCGCCATGCATCTGGAAAATTAGTCGGATTCATCTCTGCCACACCAATTACAGTTCGTATTCAAAAGAAAGTTATCGATGATGATGGCAGCCATCATTTCGAGATCGACACACGTAACATCGTTGCTGTCGACTTCCTTTCCGTCCACAACGAGCTTCGTGGCAAGAGCCTTGCTCCAGTTTTGATCCAAGAAGTCACTCGTCGTGTTCATCTTCAAGGCATCTTCGAAGCCATTTTCACAGCCGGCAAGAACCTTACACTACCATTCACAACAGCTCAATACCACCACCGCTTCTTAAATTACGAGAAATTAGTTGAAATCAAGTTCACAGCTCGCCATCCAGGCCAAGACATCAAGAAAGCTGGTCGCCAGTACAACCTTTCCCCAATTACATTCGCAGGTGGCGAATTCAGAGAGATGAGACCAGAAGATGTTCCACAAGTCACAGAAAAGCTCAACAAGTACCTCGAACAGTACAAGATCGCTCAAGTCTTCTCACAGGAAGAGGTCGCCCACAACTTCTTACCAAGAAAGAACATCGTTGGTTCATATGTTCTCGTAGAAAATGATCAGATCACAAACTTCTTCTCATTCTACATTGTTCCATCAACCGTCAAAGATTGCGTTAAATACAATAGCTACACAGCAGCTTACGTCTACTACTACTTCTGCACAAAGTCTCAATTCACAGATATCGCCAAGGCTGCAATGTACAAGGCCAAGGAGGACTACCAGGCTGATGTATTCAACTGCCTCGATATCCTCGAGAACAAGGACTTGCTCAACGTTTGCAAGTTCGTTCCAGGAGATGGAAAGCTTAACTACTACCTCTTCAACTACAGAGTACCAGCTATCGAGAAGGAAAGTTGTGGTGTCGTTCTTCTCTAATTAAAAGGAGCTATTTTAACAAAGTTGTTATTTTTTAATTTGATCAAAAATAAAGTCTAATCTAATATAATTTTGATTAATTTGCTGAATTTAATATATTTATCAATTCATCGACAACATTATTAAAATTACAATATATAAAATTCTCAAAAACCTAAAGTTGAAAAGTCCTAATTAATATATGTTGGGTCTTATCATTACCTAAGAACTTTTACCGGTCTAGATCTTCATTTGATAATAGAGTATTTGTATCAATCATACTCTTTATACAATTAAGCGAAACAATTAGTAAATCGGTTTGGAATTTTCATATACATGAAAAATGGAGAAGCCCAAACCTATTTGCAATGGAAATATTGTAAAATTCAAAATCAGATTTAAAAAAAATAATACGTTTATTAATAAATTAATGATTTATGATCATAATTCTCTTCATCATGAATATTCCACTTATTGATTCTTTTGAACTCAAGAATCTCACAATGGAATTTTGTAGCAAAATGAATGGGAATTTACAAAATCCATTTTCTCAATCAAAGAATTTCTAAATCTAATATCAAAATATCTATAATGTTTGTCTATATATGTTTAAGAACATTATCTTCAGGCAAAACTAGTCTCCCTTCAATTTAACCATCATTCAGAGGTAGATTTTCCTAATTAGATAAATATTGGGCTGTTTTGCAATCTTTGAAACCAAGTATAAAGAAACTGAGCATAATCTCAAATATAAATGCATGAAATGATTTGGAACGGAAAAATTATGTTTTCTTTTAAATTCTTTTTATCAGAGTATTGTGCAGACAAAATTATGACTCTACAAATATTTTATTCATTTGTTTGTCTCATCTGAAAGAAGATGTTTATCAATTACTTAATATGTTGCAATATAAATGGATGTTTCTCCATTTTTCGTTTATCATTGATAACTGTAACAAATTACTGAGTTATATACTTTAAAATTTGAAGCAATCAACTGTGGAATCATCATTATTTAAGAGGTGGATCTCTATTGTTAGAAATTTGTTATCTGAGTTATTTATGTGAGAATGCAGGTTTTATCTATATTTAATATTCGAACATAACGCTCAATACCTTCATGTATAAATGAAACCAAATGCAAAGTACAATTTACTTTAGAAACCACATTTAATGTTTATAATGTTTGGAGTTGAATTGAAATGTAATCTGACATCTAAATGTTACTTTGTTTGTCGTTGAATTGAATAATAATGAATGGAAACAACTTTGTATAAAAAATCTTTAATTTTAAGATATGAAAGTTAAGAAAAATCTCTGAAAGAAAAAAGAGAGTAAATATTACTTAAGAGATATCTAGCATTTAAAACTGAATGCTGAAGGATTTAAGAGGGTAAATTTAGAAGATACCACAAGCTCTGTTGTAGTACATTCTACGTGATTCAAGACCGTTGTAGCCACCGTTAACCTTGCGTGTGACTTGTTCAACGGAAGCTCCAGAATCGCATAATGCGTTCATGCCGTTGTTCATCCACCAGAAGCCGCCAGATGTCCATGGATAGTTGGCAGCGACGTAGTCGACACCTTCCATAACACGCTGATCGCCGATGTAGTTAGCGAATCTCTGGTAGTTGTTTCTTCCGGTCATTTGTAAGTAACCAGCGCCTTTGAACTTTGGTCCATCGCCTGGATATTTGTTGCCAAGATCTTCGCGGCCGTTGTAAGCTGTACCACTGGCAATTTCCTTTGTGTATGTGCCGCAAACAGATTCGTGAGAGCATTGGGAAATGAAGTGACGGATTCTTGGAGATGTAGTGATTCCGAATTTGCCAAGGCAACGGTTGAGATCGCCGAGGTTGTATCTAGACCAGCCCATTCTCTGCATCTGGGAGTCGGTAACGGTGCCGCTTCCGCCGCCACCACCACCGCCTCCGCCGAGGACGATGTAGTCACCGCAAACCCAACCCTGGCTAATCTTGTACCAATTTCCATTGCGAATACCGATGATGGTGACACCGGCTCCGTTTCCTAAGCCACCAACTCTGCCGTAGTTTGTGCCTGGGCCAGAGCGGATGTTAACACCAATATTTGAATTTACAGAACCTTGAACTGAAACATAATCAGAGTGAACGTATCCTGTACGTCCGTTGAAGCTAACTTGCCACCAGTCGCCACTGGATCCTGTAACTGGTGCAGATTTGCCTCTTAAAAGACCGCCGATTCTTCCATAATTTGTACCTGGGCCACTGCGGACGTTGACTCCATCTGCTGGAGTTGCTGTCGCAGAGCCGCCGTTGGATTCAGGTTGCATGTGGCGGTGCCTTCTGCATAAAGCAGCTGAAAGTAAGAAAGAATACATTAAGAAAATTTGGCAAATGATAGGCAAAAACGGTTTGAGATTTAGTTCGAAAATCATAATTTTGATAAAAATGAATTTTAGTTATAGTGATAAACAATATTACTGATTTACTGTGAAAAAAATTGAGATAACTCAAAAATGTTAGATTTAATCCTCTTGGATATATTTATCAAATTATTGTCAAAATGAAAAAAAATGATGATCTTCAATTGATATTTGAAATTCAATAAAAACGGTTAGAAAACTACAAACAATTATGATAATATATCAAACGTTAAGTAATGTTATAATATTCTATGATCAGATTTACTTTTCAACAGAATTTGATCTGCAATATCGTTTTCTAATTTATAGTCATCTACGTATATGCACGTAGTTTGCATATACGATAGATTTGAATTATTTACAATCGGATGGGACAATCAAATTTTTGAGAGGAATCTGAAAATAACTCACCCGAAATTGGTCCAATCATCTTTGTTAATGGATTATACCATTAATTACGTTGCTTATTTCACTTATATTTTATTGGATATTCTAGATTGTGGAGAAATTTGAATTTTCAAATTTGACAATTGTTGAATCGTTATCTCATATAGTTCAAACTATGGTATGAATTTATGAAATTTATTTGTCAAATTCCCGATTTTCTAAAAATATAGTTTATCGAAAATTCAAATTATATTTAAGATTATTGAATTTATCGTTTAAGAATCGATTTAAAAATTAAATTACATGCAAAATTTATCAGAATGCATTAATAATAAAAGATTTTTCCTTCAAATTATTTTCAAAATCCTGTGATGAATGGTATGCGTTTCAAATTCTGAACCCATAATTTAAAAACTGTATGTTATCTTGTATTTTGCCTGTTTCCGAGAAAATACGATCCTATATTTTAAATAAATTACTGCTCTAATGCATTAATTTATGCATAGCAATACATTCTACCGTTCAGCCCATAATGCCAACGTTTGAAACTAATGTTGAGGTTATAACTCTCATGAGTCTGATATGGAATGTTGAAGAAAGATTTTGGATATCGAAAAAGTGACATATTAGCGAAATTTGTAAATGTTTTATAAACAGTGGGATGAGCTCTCTGCTAAACTCAATAGTAGTTTTAATAGTAAAAAATCAATAATGGAACTAGCCCAGCAATTTTACGAACTTGGGAAAAGGCAAGATATCGAAAATCCTTTTGAGCAAGGGATGATTGCCTTAGCAACCTTTGGTGAAATGCAATGCTATGAAAAACTCCAAGATAAGCAAAATACTATTCAAACAGCAATCACAGCAGCAAGATTATTCATAAAATCTGCCACATTCAATTATGAAGTTTCTAGAACTATCAGAGATCTTTGGTCAGATCCACTTGCTGATGGTATTCATTGTTTTAGAGTAGCATATAAAACTTTAATCTTAGATGGCAAGCCAAATCTTGCAGTTGCCATTCTACTCGAACTTGCTAAGACAGAGTCATACTTTGAATATCATCATTATGCAGGAAATACATACGAAGAGGTAATACAATTATGTATTGACAAAAATCTCAGACCGCGAGCTATTGTTGACTCTACATTTTCTTGCGTTTTATCATACGTTAAAGCAGAGCGATACGATTTAGGTTTAATTGCCGTAACAAAAACAATCGAAAAATTAAAACAAACTTTTCAACAAATTATATCATCTTCGCCACTTATGAGGCAACAATTTGATTACCTACTCATATTGCGTGGGCAAATGCTTTTCTGCAACAATAAAAACGAAGAATGCCTACAATTCTTAGATGAAGAGAAATTTGATTCAAAAGTTCGAGAATTCTTTGCCAAATTCTTATCTCAAGCAAATCTTAAAAATGTTGAATCAATGGAGCAATTTATTGGCGAATCAAAGAATTTACATGTATTTAACGATGTTAACTTTGAAATTTTTAATATATATAAGGATAGAATTTCAAAGCCAGAGCGCCACTAAGATTTTCCACTTAATATTCAACATTTTTATTTTCATTGAAAATTTTTAATCGGATTTGTATTTTTGTTCTCCTATGTGGAGATTTGTTGTTATAAAATTTACTAGATTATTGGATATAATCTAATTTTGACTGTTTTCCGTACAATTTTTAATTGTTTTTATGCTTATAACAAAAACTTATTTGTGTTAAGTTATGTGTATTGGTCGCTGAATGCTGGTGCTGAGAGCTGGACCACTTCTTTTTTCCGACATGTTTCTTGCTCTATCACTTAAAGTACCAATACTGATAACTCAATAAGAAACAAATAAATACATTTTATCCTAAGTTCAAAATATTTTATTAAGAAATATTTTAAATTAATGTTTGTCCCATTTCAGATGTATTTCCTTCAAACTTTTTCGGTCTCCTCGAAATAACTATCAAAAGAATTATAATGATTATTACAAGAATTGCAAATAATGGGATTGTTATATACATAATTAAATGTTTCTCCTTTTCTAGCTTTTCATTCCTTTGTTTATCATCTTCTTGTTGTGGAGTTGGCGTATGATTGTGAGGTGCTTCTTTAGGTGTTTGCTCTGGTGTTGGAACTGGAGATGGTTCTGGAGTTGGCTTAGGTGAAGGAGTTGGTTTAGGTGTTGGCTCTGGTGTTGGAACTGGAGATGGTTCTGGAGTTGGCTTAGGTGAAGGAGTTGGTTCTGGGGTTGGCTCTGGTGTTGGAACTGGAGATGGTTCTGGGGTTGGTTTAGGAGTAGGAGTTGGTTTAGGTGTCGGCGGTATAGCTGTTGGTTGTGGAGTTGCCGGTGGCAAAGGTGGGCTGTATGGGAAATCCATTGTACAATTATCCATTGTTGTAACACCACCTTGGACTGGGAGAACAAACCTCAAGTTCTTTGGGAAATAAAATTCAGTTTCATCACTAGAATTTTCATCCAACCTGAAGTGGACATCACCTTCGATTCTAAAACTATCAGGAAAACCCCCTAATTTTTCTAATGTTGCCATCATGTTATAATCACTTGGAATATTTCCTGAAGGTTGTGGATTTTGTTCAGAATCAGAGGATTTTGGAATGGAATCTATTAATGTTTGAGAGGTTTGTTTGTTATATGTGTAAATTCTCTTTCTGTTTGAAACAGTTTCTATTCTATCATGAATGTCTTGAGTTTTTCTTAATGATTGATTATAGAAACGAACTTGTGATATATGTTCATCACCTTCATCATAAGAAGAAATTATTGATCTGAATGTGAAGAAAAAGTTTGAAAATACAAAGTGATTAATATTCATTACAAGACTTGGACCAACAGCTGTATATTGAAATATACACTCGTCAGAAGAGTTTTCGCATTGAATTTGACTAATTGGGCCTTGAAGTATTTTCTCTAGGACATCTTGATCAATCGGATATGGAACTTTTGCATTTTGTGCAAGTGGATTCCTTGTCGTTATTTCATCCACCCAGTCTATTCTTCCTGATTGATATTTAGCAAATTTGGTTTTAGCAATAAAGTTTTTGTTTGATGCCATAATTGTATTTCCTGCTAAACAAATGACTTCATTTGGAGGGATTTTTATGGTAGCCATATTCAAATCTGGCAAATTTCCACCAAATTTTAAATTACCTTTCTGTGATGAACACTGAGGAAAAGCATTTTCATACATTGCTGGAATAGTATTCTCTTGAATATATCTCTTTGATGTGATATTGTTTAAACGATTGATTATCAATGGTAGCATCAATAAAGAATGGAAAGAAGCTCTTAAGAATTTTTTGAATCAAACTTTACAAAGCGACGACATGGTATTTCGGTTTCAAAATGGGATATTTTAATTGCTGTGACAATGTATATTATATCAAATATATATATATATTTATAAAACGGCCAACAGTTTTCAATACATTCAATTTTTTGAATTTAAAATTACACCCAATCGTTGGATCTGATAAATTTGAACGGATAAGTATTTTAGTTGATTTTTACGTTCCGCGAATTCCCAGAACTGTAATAATACACTTTTAAAAAATGCCGGAGAATCAAATTATCTGACACATTCAATTTGGCATTTGACGGAATTTGTGAGAATCGGAGGTTTTTCACATTCGAAAATTTTACCATTATGTCAAAAATGACTCAAAGGGATTTTATTATTTTCATGTGCATTATAAAAACTGTCATTAAATCGACAAGTGAACCCGACAGCAATTTTTAAACCCGAAAAATTTGGAAACTTTATAAATTACAAATAAATCTGATATATGGCATGACTTCTCCAATGGCTGTAGTATTTGAACATAACATTAAAACATTTTTAATTATAAGCAAAATTATATGAGGAGTATTCCTACCCTGATTTTTAACATTCAAATCCTGTTTTCATTTATAATAGTTTCTAAAAGTCTTTACCTATCAAGCATGATCATTAAACCCACATATATATTATTTTTTATTAGTATAATATATATATGTGAGAATGTGCTTGAGTGAAAAGATATCTATGTGATGTCTAACATTCTTAGCTATGTCTTTCAAATATAATTTCTAAGATGAATAATTGGAGTGAACTGATAATTTTATGACATTTTCCAAATTTGACATTTTTTTTAAATTGTCGAGATCAAAGAAGCCACTGTTGAAGATACTGAAACAATCTTATCACTTGCAAAAGAACTTGCTGAATATGAAAAGCTTCTTGATCAAGTAACAGCAACTGTTGAAGATTATAGGAGATCTCTTTTCGAAAAGAAGTATGCCAATGCATTACTCCTCAAGCATGAAGGTCAACCAATCGGATATGCACTTTACTTCTATTCATTTTCAACATTTTTGGGTAAAGGAGGAATATATCTTGAAGATCTCTATATTCGTCCAGCATTTCGCGGAAAAGGTTATGGTACGCAAGCTCTTAAGTACTTAGCTCAAAAATGTCTTGATGAAGGCTTAGGAAGACTTGAATGGGAATGCCTTGATTGGAATGAGCCAAGTCTTTGCTTCTATAAGAATATTGGCGCAAAAGCTCTTAAAGAGTGGGTTCGCCATTGTGTTACAGATGAAGATTTGGTAAATTTAGCAAAAAAGTAAGTTAATTATATCAATATTGTTCAGTAATACGGTATCACAGATAAACTATTATATATATTAAACTATATTCTTGTTGAAAACTCTTTCCTATTTATAAGATTAATTATTGATACCTAATCTGTGGTACCAACTTCTAATTTTTAACTTAAATTTGTATTGTATTTTTGTACTTGTTATGGTTAAGTCTTTCATATGTTTTAAAAAGATTATTGTAAGATAATGATTATTAACGAGAATGTTATTGCAAACAAAAGAAAAGTAATGGCATCCCATATATTTAGTGATGAAAGTCCACCACCTCAAAGGCAAACTCGTGCTCAAGATATCCCTCCAAATATAAAAAAGCCTCCACCAATAATTGATCAAGCCGAATATGAGCAAGTGCGCAAGTCATATGATCCCAAACAAGTTAATCCTGATTTTTCACGATTTAACTCTCTTGTTCCTCCAAAAACACAAATTCCAAAAATCGATGTTCTTCCACCAAGGCTTCCTATGCAAACATTACAACAATTTCCTGATTTGAAACTTGAAAATGTTCATCAAATTCAATCTTTTGATTTAGGTGTAATACAATTCCCAGTTGATAAGAGCTTTACACCAATAAAGATGCCTCTTCATTCATTAAATAGTTTAAAGCAAATAAGAGAAGATATAAGTATCGGAAATGTTGAATTTTTATATAAATTAAAAAATGAGACTGACGCAATTCCAAGTCAATCATCAGAGGCAAACACACCACAACAAACTCCTGATAGAAATACAGATAACAAGCAATTTCAAAAGATGGATACTTATTCCGAATTTATTGATCTTAATTCATCACTTTTCCCACCATGATATATTAGTCTCTAGAAAATTGGTATTTTTTTCTACAGAGAAGTTTGATTTTTTGATAAATAATCAAAATTTTATCGAAAAATTGCCTCGCACAAATGAAATCATATTAGATGTTAAAAACTTGTACTATGTAATTCAAAATGCTCGGTATGTGTTTGATTCTCTAATTTCATATCCGAATTCACAAAATTGATAACTTATCTGGATCATTTTGTCACAACACTTGAAAAACTGTGTTTTCGAGTGCGTAATTTATAGTAAAATTCGTAAAAAATCAAATTATATTTTTAACAAAAATCGAAATACAGGAAATAATGTAATTTTTGATAAAACAAAAACTTTACTAAGCCAAATAATTTTGGTTGCCCGAAGGCTAAAGGTCTTGTGGCCTCTTTTGTGTTGTCTCCCACGGATTTCCTTGTACGTTAATAACAGAAGCTACGCCGTGTTTGAAAGTGCATTTATATACTGTTAAGCCGGAAACATCCTTGAAAACTGGAAATGTAAGGTAAGAAAAATAAGATTTGGTAAGAGCAGGTAAGTATCTATTGCCAATGAAGGCAATGTGCTTAAAGGCCTGATCAGACCTAAGTTTAGTAACTAAAATGTTCAAGAAGACGTGCGACATCTAATCTTGAACGCTTTAGAATTTATGGCAAAACGGTTTTTGTAAACTCTCATAATTATTATTTCAACTCTCGTCATTTTTTGTGAATTCGGCATTTCTCCATTTGGTCTTCCATGATAGTGCTGCAAGCCAGAAGAACTATAATTATGTGGTCTATCTGCTAGGATATACTAGCTAGACTGTGTAAGTGTTGTGAATCTTGAAATATTTATGAATTAAAAACTCTACAAAATTATCCGCCAATGATTTCTGAATTCCAATATTGGCTTCCGGCAAGAATATAATCACGTTATTGAAACGCGTCTCAACCTGCCAGACCATTTTCTCAACGAATAAAAAAACATTTTTGTTTTCTGCAATGATGTTATACACATACATGGTATTATTTATGAATTGAGAGTGTGTCAACTGGGTGTAAGTGCACCCGTAAGATCCTTTCAAGGGTTACTTCATAAATACAGACCATTTGGAAGAGAATGATCTTTTGGATAAAAGTTTGCAAATTTGTTCGTCAAACCCGCATACTATACTATTTTTGCCGTTTGCTAAACTCAATGTTCATACTATTTGCAATGCATATATTTGAACAAAAAAAATTGTTATCAAGAAATGAAGGGGGAGTACTTAAAAAATGAATGAATCTCATGGTTTAGGCTTCTCAAACAAGAGGATTGGTAGACACAAATCGTACGCGTTTGATCTAAATTTTAAGCCAGAAGAAGTATCTACCAATTGCACCGATGATGCAAATTCAATTTTAACAAAAATTCAGAATTTAGAAAATAGATTAAACTCTTGTGATTTAATTTATAAACTAAGCTCACAAACTCAGCTCGTACGGAGCAAAGAAAGAAAAGAAAAAATACAATCATTGAAAAAAGCTTTAAATAGCTATAAGCATTCAATTGATGAAGCAGAAAAGCAAGAACTACAATTGCCAAATAACATCAACAAAACGATTCGTAACGAGATTGATACTTTTATTTCAACAGAAGCACCAACTGAGTTAAAAGATCTATATGCAGAAGTACATGAATTATCTCATAATATACAGGAGTTAATGAAAAAGGTCACGTTAAAAAATAAAAAAGAAATAGAAAATTTAATTCCAAAATTAAGCTTAATAGATTTAAATGAAGAAGAGAGTCAACTATTGAATACCATAATACAAAATCAAAAAGAACTTGAAAGTCTTACCAAAAATGGAAGCAAATAATGCTATTTTCTTGGGAATTTCATAATTTAAATATGGGATTTTCAATCTCAAGTGTGGCACTCGAACTAATCTTGCTACGTGTTATGATGGTCATTTTCTATTTATGGTTTTAAAGTTTGATATCATGATCAAATACTAATAGAAGTACTGCACAATAGTAACCAGTTGTTTGTAATGTTTACATGAATTTTGATATAAAATTTTTGTTATCTATATAAATTCTTGTGTATATAATCAACTATGAGATAAATTTTTAAGTTATATTATGAATGGAAAGTTTGCCCAATGATAATAAAGTACAATATCAAATACTTGTTTATTCAACATTTTATTAGATACATAGCAATCATTCTTATTCCACTCTTGGAACTTAGTTTTGATTTTTTCAAATTGAAAAAAGTGACATATCAAAAGTATAAATTGAATAAAATTTAAAATAATATTTGTTAAAAGCTGAATGAATCTTTTAAGTAATTTTTGGAAAATTTAGAAAAGTGACAATGAATGAAAAAACGGTCACTCCGTTGACGAAACCCAATATTGGAAAGAATTCGCAACGAAGTGGTATCAAAAAATTGCATTCAGCATCATCACTTAATACAATTTCATCTAATTCTTCAAGTTTGCCGAAGTTAAAAGAGCAATTTAATACGTTTTGCAATACAATTCATCAATTCACTGTTCTTGAAGGTTCAGAGTTCTCAGGAACATCCATTTTTAATACAAAAATGCCAAAACTTAAGTCAGATTTTAATAATTTTTATTCTGCTGCATTAAAAACAGCTTCATTAATGCCTTCTCTCCAGAAATCTGGTTCTAATGAATTTGGATTTAAAGAATTGAAATCAGAAGCTTATGAATTCATAAATACATGGAAACTCTTTGAATTAGAAGTATCAAAGCTAAAAGAAAAGTCTAACAATTCCGCACAGATTACTATAGATGCAAATTTCAAATCTATTGCTTCTTGTTTAGAATATATTTTATTTTCTACTAATCAAGACGGTCCTAACGGGAGATCTGCATCTAGAACGTGTCAGTTACTATCTATTCAGTTTTCAGATATACAAAAGATCTATTATAAATTACAAGAATCTCAAAATTTTGAAGAATACAAAACATTAATTGAACCTATTGCATCTTTTTCCAGAGATTGTAATAATGCATTTCTACATGATTTTACAAACTTAACTATTCAACAAACAGAGTTAACTGCGATGAGATCTCGAATCTTCCAATCATCAAGCGAAATCATAAGAAGATTGCATGGTTATTCGAATAACTCTAAGAGTATATCAGAAATTTGTAATCAGCTTCAAAAAACAAGGAGATTAATCACAAATGTATTCAAATCTCTTAATATAAACGAAGTAGAGAAGAAACTAGACCAATATTTTGATAACTCTCTCACGATGGTTGAAATTATAGAAAGATCCATGGATTTAATTGACAATTTATTTTATTCAAGATCATCTATCTTAGATTATCTTAATTTTCTTAAGAATAAAGCAGTAGAAATGACTGAAACGAACTGTGAACTCAATAAACAGATAGAAATCGGTAAAAGTCAAAAAGATATAATGATTCAAGAGCAAAATCGATTAAAACAGCTTATTCCTGAAAATAGTCATCAAGGTCTTGTTCATGACTTAATTGAATTCATCAAAGAGGTGAAAGATATTGGAGAAGAAGAGGAAGAAGATTTGAATGACGATGATACAATTTTTGAAACGATTAAAGGCATAGTTGTTGAACTCAAAGACGACATAGAAGATGCTAAAGCTATTCTTGATGGTTATCTCGATCAAACTCTTCACGAAATGTGTGAACAGAAAATGAAAGAAATTGAAGACCTCAAAAACAGTAACGCAACATCTTTACAACCAATCATTGAGTATTTATGTTGTGTTGTGAAGCCAGAGCAATCACCTGTTGATGCAATTATTGAAAGTATTAAATCAAGAATTCAAACTTACGAATGGCAACTGAACCAAAGCCAAAAACGTGGTGAAACTAACTACGGAAAATTCCTAGATCGTCTTTTGGAAATGCTGCCCCTTGACGGAACTGTTTCTGAAAATAAAAAAGATGTTGTTTTGTCAAGAATCGAAACATTGATAAACGAAAACAAGAAATATAAAGATCTAGAGATGAGTTTATCTATCGGACTTCAAAACCAAGGAGAAAATGAAAATCATGTCCAAAATAACATTCATGACAGCGATATTCAAGTTCCAAAGCTAAGAGAGATCGCTAATTTACTTGGATCAGCTTCAAATTTCAACGAAATCGATGATTTGCTGAATTATATTATTCAACAAATTAAAGAGTTGAAAGACAAGTATAAAACAAGTTTCGATGAAGTTGTACAAGTTAAGAATTACTTAAATTCCGTTTTGGAACGAAATTCCATCAATTTACCAAATCATTCAATAACTGCTCTTTTTGAAGCGGAATGTTATGTTAATAACTCAATAACATTCAATAATATACGAGAAATATTTGCTACAAACAGTCAAGTTGACTTATCTTTGATAGATAAAAACGCATCAACTTTTTTGACGAAAGTTGAGAAGAAATTAATGAAAAGTGCAGCTTCTATAACCTTGATGAAGAGTTTTGCTCCTATTTTGAGTAATTTATTTGCACATTTCTCAGAAGGAAACAGATTAAAACAAAACGAAGCTTATCAGATAATAAATGACTCTGTAATTCAGTTAAAAGCTGTTCAATCGAGGTCTGATATCAATAACAGCTCAGGAAAATCAGTTTTGATGGTTCTTGATAGATTAAATCAATTGATCTTCTCTTTAATGACCTTAGTGTCTTCATCACAAGTTGAAGATTCTAAATTTCAACAATTTGTTACAAATATGCAACATTAAAATTTAATTTAATACTTTTGCTTTTGGCAAAGTTAACTTTTGTTTATTTTATATTTATATTTGGAATTAAAAAAATATATTTATGTGTGTTATTGTTCATTTATTATCTTTCAGCATTAATGGTGTAATCGATTTTTAAAAGATCTATTTGGTAGAACTCCTTTTCGTTATGCAACACAAAATAAACAAAAAGAAAAATGATTTAGATTCTTTTTCGATAATATAAGAACTGCTTAAAAATGTATTTAACTTTAATGTTACCCATCCAGAATGGTATCAGTTTGGACTTTCTGATTCCCTGTTTTTATATGATTTTGTCAACGCCTAAATTCTTAATATTACATTTTATTTTTGTTCGACTGTTAACCACCTATGCATGTGAAAGAAGATGTTCAACTATTTCTTTAAAGTTTCTATTTGTTGCCATATGAAGAAGTGTTACTCCTCCATTATTTTTTACATTGATATTTGCAGTATGCTAAAGAAGGCATTTTACTATTTCTTTATTATTATATATATTGTTGCAATATGAAGAGGTGAATTTCCCAAAATATTTTGTTCATTAGTATTTGTACTATATGAAAGAAGGAGCTCTGCTAATTTATTTTGATTATGAGTGATTGCTTTATGAAGAGTTGTTTCTTTGACATTATGTTTTTCATTGACTTTTTCGAAATGTTTTGGAATTTTCCGAAGTTTTAAAATTATGATGGCTTTAATATGGGATTTGATATCATTAATAATTAGCAGTTCATAAAGCCTCATATACTGTATATGTTTGCCATTGAAATGCAAAATACAGTAATCATGCAGAGTTCAAAATGGCTTCATGTTGAGATGATTTCTTGGCTGTCTCACTTTTGTGGACAAAATGCAAAAACCTATGAATTTTCCTATTTTAATTTGATATTCATAATATATAAGTATTTGTAATGCATATTCTATCTTCTAATTAGTAAAATTACATTGCCCGCCAAAATCAAAAATTTTCTATTGAAAAAATAGCGCCAAGTCCAAAAGTGTCATTTTCTCATTGAAGACCGCAGCTGGAGTCAATGCCGATTATCCACTTGCTGATGTGGATGGAACAGCACTATGATTGGCCAGATCAAAGGCTGTGTAGCATCCCAGCAAGTGGATAATCGGCATTGACTCCAGCTGCGGTCTTCAATGAGAAAATGACACTTTTGGACTTGGCGCTATTTTTTCAATAGAAAATTTTTGATTTTGGCGGGCAATGTAATTTTACTAATTAGAAGATAGAATATGCATTACAAATACTTATATATTATGAATATCAAATTAAAATAGGAAAATTCATAGGTTTTTGCATTTTGTCCACAAAAGTGAGATACTGTGATTTCTTTTCCAAAAGTGACAAAATGTTATTGACCATTCTTTTCTTCTTTAATTTCGCGAGCGCAAGAAAATTACTTCTTCAGGATATCACTATTGGCTTCATAATTCAGAATAAAATGGATTTCGAAATACCTAAAGAAATAAACAATTTAAGTCCAATAGATTTTACAATTAAAATAATAAATTACGAAGAATTCGAGTTTGCCAGTATGATACCTTCCATCGAAGAACCATATGTAGCAATATTTCGCGGTGAAAAATTGATTTATCTAAACAGTTTCGAAAATATTCGCAGTGGTCTTCTTAACCTAGTTTTATCACTTAGATATTCACGAGTTAAGGAAAAAAAGCAAGAACAGCTAAATGCAATTAATAATTATAGTTATTTCGTTTATTATGGGCATACAATACCTATGGAATATGAAAATATGGCCTCTGTATACCGATTCAGGCGTAAATTTTACTATGTGCCATCTACAGAAACAAAATTACAATTTTATTATTCACCAACAAACAATTTATCGACAAAAAGCGATTACCAAACAATGACACAGTTTGTTGAAGCAAATTCTGGAAATTTTAGGTTCACTCCTGGATGTGTTTTTGCAATTGTTTCAGATTCTTATAAACCTGAATTTCCTGACTACATAAATGCCTTGGACAATCAATATCAAGGTCATATATATACAACTATTCTATCTTGGAACGATTTCGAGCCATACAGAAAGATTGCAAATGTAAGTCGTTCAGAAACATCTTATTTCCTGTTAAAAATCGGTAACAACACGATGAATGTCTGGATGTGCCCTGATGAAGATGTTATATCTAAAGAAAGGATACTTTTCTTCGTAAATAACGGAGTTACATTAGATTTTAATCATTTGATCTTGAATTCAACGAGTATACCTGGCTCATTAGTTAAACATACTTATAACATCTCAAATGATATACCAGGTAACTATTGTTCCGTTTTATTTGCAAATTATTACAATTCTTGGAGTAATACAAAAGTTGAGCTGACTTTTTACGAAGTAGCAAGGAAAGTAAGACGTAAAGACGTGAAATTCTTCGGATCAATGCAAGGAATGAAATTATTCCCTTGGTACGTTCCTGATTTTGATTTGTTCCCAAGTTTTGCAATTTGGAAGCCAAATGACCATAGGCCGTTTAGATATGATAAGAAAATATCTGTTGATGATGTAGTTAAATGGATTAACGAACTCTGTCCAGAATAATTTTTATTATTTTGTTGTTGATTGCTCAAATTAACAAATAGACTTAATATTAGTTAAAACTGTTTGAAATTAAATGATTTATATAATAGATTTTTTAATAATATACATTTTTTATTGGAAATATTTATGAATTTTAATCAATGATTTAAAATATTGAGGGAATCAAGCCCATTTAAGTAGATCTATGCATTTGCATGAACGATATTCATTGATGGCAAATCAATTGAAAAAAAATCTGAAACAAAATTTTAGCAAAATCTCTAACTCAATAAAAAAGTGACATGATGAGTCTCGAGTTCCTTGAGAACTCCAAACGCGAGAGTATTATATTCCTCGCGCCAATGGCAGATGTAAATGATTACTCATTTCGAAAACTTTGCCGACAAAATGGAGTCTCTCTCTGCTGGACTGGATTCATAAATGCTCATCATTGGGTTACTCGAACAAAGCAGCGAGATCGCGATGTATGGTTCACAACTCGAGATAACGAAAAGAATCTTGTTGTCCAATTACTAGGCTCTAACTTAGAAGAACTCGTTTCTTGCGCAAAAGATGTTGAAAACTTTTGCGATATGATAGAATTGAATTGTGGCTGTACACATTGCTTTGCAAGTCGAAGTGGCTGCGGCTTTTTCTTAATAGATACACAAAAACATAGAGATTCTGCTTTAATTCTGATACAAAACCTTATTAAGTCAATTAATAAGCCAGTTAGTATTAAGATTAGACTTATTTCAGATGATAACAGTGTCCCTTCCTTAGAAAGAACAGTTAAATTTGCTCAAGATCTTGAAAGAGTCGGTGTTAGTTTAATTACAGTTCATGCAAGAACACAACAAGCTGACAAGAAAGGTGATGTAGATTATGATGCTATTAAAGCTGTTGTTCAAGCTGTTTCTGTTCCTGTAATTGCAAATGGCGGAATTTCAAGTTTAGAGCAAGCTCAAGAAATAATACAGAGAACTGGAGCTTACGCGGTCATGGCAGGCCAGTGCTTTTTCAAAAATCCAACTTGTTTAACAACAAATAAGAATCCAAAGGAAATTTCACTTGAATATCTAAATCTTGCGAAAGAAAACAACGAAGACTTACAGAGATCAAGAAAACATGTTTATGCTTTCTTAGGAGATGTTTTACGCCAACATCCAGAATACGGACCTGTTGTAATGCAACAGAGAACATACGTTGACTTAATTGAATGGGTTAAGTCGATAGAAATATAAAAAATTCTTATAGAGTGTTTGTTTAATATTAAATTGAAAAATTATTTGAATTTTAATTTGGAACATTGAGAATCTTTATTAATATTGATATGACTTTGTGATATTGACTTTAAACTCAATTTTAATGAAGGATATCAAAATATTTTATGATATTTTTCTTGAAAAATGCAATTCTTTGTCTCTTTTGATGGGGAATATGTTAGTTGGAGAAAAATTGAAAGAATTAATTTAATAATAAAATAATAAACTCTATAAACTTTATATCCATCTTCTTCTGGAACGACCAGTATACTTAGAGTCGTTCGCGACTTTCTTTCCGAGCATTCTTTGTCTCTCCTTCTTCTTGATAATCCATTCTTTCTTATTAAATCCTTTCTTCTGGTGATGGTCATTTCCTGCCTTGAATGTACCGACTGTTGGGCAGCCAACTTGAACTTGCTCGCCATCCTTTGAAACTGTAACAGCTGTGCCACCAACTTCGAGATATAACCAGTTAACACGGCTAGCACCTGAGTTTGGATTGTTAATGTATACATTTCCTCCAAAACCGCAGAGTGTTGCTGTAGTAGAAATTAATTCGGCTTGATCTGAATTTTCTGGGTTGAAATTGAAAACAGCTTTAGCTCCCATACCAAGGCAGCCGTGAATGGATTCAAGGAATTTCTTTAGGCGCTTAGAAACTGGAAGTCCGCCTGGAATTGGGCGCATGATCCAGTTAAGGACGTCGATGCCGAAGGCAGCATCAAAAATACCTGGTCTGAATGGAACACCCATACCAGCATCTGCGCAAACAATAGAATTGTATGGTCCTGGGCAAACGCGTTTGAAACGCAAAAGCATTTCTGGTGTAATGTCAACGCCAACAACAATTGCTCCTTTCTCATTGAAGAGGGAAGTTCCAGCGCCACATCCGCATCCTACATCTAAAACGATTGGGCGGAACTGATTGTCGTCTAAATTGAGAAAAGACCATGCAGCGTCTGCCATTTCTTGCATACTCTTGACAGCAGATGACTTTGGCTTACTGTACTTATCGAGCTGCTCATCTGTTGAAAAATACTCTTGTGGTGGGTCTAAATATTTATCAGTCATTCGAATTTTACTAGATTTTGGAGAGCACGACCGATTATTTTTGTCTCAAATAGCCATTATTAATCAAATCAACTAAAATAAAGGTGCAATTCTACATAAAATGGTATGGTTATTTAAAATATACTTAAATTTTCATGATTACTTCGATTAATCAAAAAATAATTTTTGAAAAAATGAATTATTTAGGAAACAAGAATTAAATATTAATCGAAATAAAAATATGTGCAAAACTATACATATTGTTTTTTCGAAAATTTCCAAATTTTTCTCAAATTTCAAAAAATGAATGAAATTTCTTAATTTTTTCATGTTATTTTTGTAATTTTGAATTTTTTTTGGAAAAATTTGAGTCACGATATCATGGTGATTACCACGTAAAGAAGCAGAAATAATGTTTTTTAAGTGATTTATGGTTGATATTCAATTTATATCATGCTCATATGAATAAATCTATAGTAAAATTAAAAAAGAGCGTAGGACTTAATAGTATAAATGTTAATTTAGTCAATTTTGCTAGTTGTTTATCTATATTTGCAATTTTTTATTAAATATTTCTAGATTTTATGGGTGAATTTGTTAAAGTAAACCGCATATAAAGCTTCAGGCTCAGGATAATAGTAACTGATGTAAATTGAATTGTAATTAAAGGGAATTGAGAAAAAAATTTATTGTTTTTTTGTTATATCATATTCAATTACTTCATAATATATTTGAAATTCAATCAGTATTGAAATTATCCTTACAAGGGGCTCTCTTTTTGTAGCTTCTATATGTCAATATATAGAATTACTGAAGCAGCTGAATCTAATTTCGCCTTGGAGATAAAAGGCATGCTATGCTAAGCTTGTACGTTTCTATAAATCTCTGGTTGAGAGTATCTTCAAAAAATGTCACTTTTCAATGCAACAAGAGTGTAACATTGCTATTGCTCATAGTTTCTATGTGCGCAAACTAAATATGATCATGATGCCTATAATCAGGAAAATTTAATCAAGTAATAACTATTAAAACCTCAAATTTAATTTATCAATATCAGATCTATATGAAAAACTACACTATCTAATACAAACACCATCTTTTCTGTTACAACTCCTGACCATCTAAATGACTGTTGGCCTGGTCACGTGAAAATTTAAAATTAAGAAATTTATATTTCAGGGTTAAGTATAGCATTTAACAGTATTAATTATCTAACTTTTGAATGATTTTTATATTACTATCATTTTTATTTACAGTTGTTTTAAATCGTTCTATAAAATTTTTATTCATTGAGTTATTGATGTAAGCTATGATACCACAATAAAGCATTAATTGTTGAATTACCAAATTACTAACTACGAAAGATGGAAAAGGCAGATAAATTTGATTTTTTTTGTAATTTTTTGTATCAGATAAGATTTTTAATCTGAAATAAACAATTATTTGTAATTTCATATGCATATTCATTTTATATCTCTGAAACTGAAATTTCTCAAACCCACTCAGTCATGTCAATTTGCTAAACGATAGCATTTTGGTTTATGACTTACTTAAACTCAGATCAGATCCACCAGCTGTTGAGCAGCCTTGGTGCAGAATATGATCAATTAAATGAAAATCGCATTAAGCTAGAAAATGACTGCACAAAACTACGCGAATTCATCGATTCTCAAATTCAACAAATTCAAATCTTAAATTCCGATTTTGAGAAGCTGAGAATAGAATTTATCCAAAGGAAAGATGAATTTGTTGCTCGTGCACAACAAGAGCAAGCCGTTATACCAACTGCTCCACCCATTCCAGAAGAAGCACCAGCGCAAGAAGAAGATTGGAGTCAAGAAATTGATATACAGCCTCTTCCAGGCGCTAAGAATTGCCCGCTTTCTATCAGTCTTTCATGTGAAATTGTTGATGTTTCTGTTATCTGCTCGACAACATTCTCTCCCGATGGACAATGCCTTGCCATAGGTTCAGACAATGCAATTCGTGTTTACGCTATCGATACAGATATCTTTTTATTCCAACATCAGGTTGAGGCCAATCCAAAGAGACCGAATAACTACATACGTACTATTGCATGGACACCAGATTCCAAGAGAGTATTATGTGGTAGCGAAGATTCTAAAATACGTATATTCGAAGTTCCAGCAGATCGTCAACAACCAGCCGACGCCGATGCGATGGTCCAACCAGTAAAGATCATGACAGACTTCAAAGACCAAATATACTGCATCCAATGCTCCAGCGATGGCAAATTTTTCGCAACGACAACAGCAGACGGAACTCTTTCAATTGTAGACTTAAATACATACAATGTCATATCTATATTCCCACGCGAAGGCGAAAATAACATTGTTGCTACATCACTCTCCATATTCCACGATGATAATCTTGTAGCTGTTTGTTATTCTACGAATGATGTTTGGATATTCAATTTAGAACAGAACAAAGTTGTCTGCAAGGCCTCTTGCCATTCTAAGTCAATTTACGCGATCAAATTTATTAATAACTCGAATCGCCTTGTTACTTCATCTCTAGACAATACGATTAAGATATGGGATATGATATGGAATGGCGATAATATTGAGCTCAAATTATGGAAGAGCTTGGACAAACACACAGATTTTATCGTAACTCTCGATGTGGACTCCAGCGGCAAATATCTTCTCTCTGGATCGAAGGACAAGACAGTAAAGCTCTCAGATATTACACACGGTGAGATGGCGTACAGTATTCAGGCTCATCAGAACTCTATCATCACTGTCAACTTCAATCCAAAGCGTCCTTTGTTCTGCAGCGGATCTGGCGATAAATCTGTAAAAATATTTTCGTATGGCCCACCAGAGCAATAATTATAATTTTATCAATTAAATATTGTAAAAATCTAGTTGATTATTATTATTTTGTAAATTCCACTTTATTTATATTTTCGATAAAACCCAGTTTCCCTTTTTCAGATTAGCAAGATTCAATTATCTATTTATTATTACGTGTAAACATCTCAATTCTCTCAATTTTTGAGACATAGACGGCACGAATATGAAAAAGGGAGATCTTTCTTTACATTTCATTTTCCAAAGTCCTTCTATACAAACATTTGACGTTGGTATTTGAAAGATCATCGAAGAAATAGAAAGACACATGAGAATTGATCTGAAATCTCCCAAAGTTGAAACACTTAATTAAAATCGTTTATTTTAGATCAGAATTGCCTTAGTGAGCTCAAAACTAGAGTAAATTCGACATAAGTATGGAAATTGTTGAGCAAATGATGCAAAAAGTGACAAAAATGAATCAATTCTTAAACAAAGCATTATATGCAAATAAAGTTGCACCTGAATTACTACTTCATAAAAAAAGATTCATGAGAGATGATGACCCACCAAAATCAACAACATTAATTGTATCTCGAACTTTTCATCCAAAAAAATACTGTGGATATTTGGATGATTTTCCTTTTGAAACAAGCGAACCCACAAAGGGATTTGCCATTACTCAAACAGAAATAGAAGCAAGAATTATTGATAGATGTGACAAATTAATTCAATTTTATCAGTACCAATTAGAGAGTTTACCAGATGTAACAGCAGCCAATATAATAAGTTTCAATAATGCAGCACTTGCAGACCGAAGAAGGCAAGTATTTTATTCAATTCTTTTAGCAATAAATAATTCTCCGAAACAGATTGCATTAAAAGCATTTTCAGATCTATATAATTTACGAAAACTATGGATTAATAAGAGATATTACAATACTTTCGTCGCAGTGCCACAAACAAAAATTTTATGTAAATGTTGCAAGTTTGAGGACTGTATTAACCCAGCATTATATGGATCAGACTTTTGTTACTGGCATATACTAAATGATCCAAACCAGCAAATGTATGAAAAATGTCCAAATTGTGGACAACCAAAATTATTTTCAACTTTATGCAAATCATGCAGTAAATCTAAGGCAAATATAACTATATATCCAATCATTTCTAATGGCAATCCACCACCGCCTCCTCCTATCAAAAAGAGCATTATTCCAACAGTTACACCGATTACTCCAGTTTCTCGTACTGTATTACCACAGGAACAAAAAGCACGAAGCTACAAACAGCCAGTGCACTTTGTTTCGCCTGAAAAATTCGTTCTTCCACCAGCAAGCATTATCCATCCAGTAAATCATGGAGATATATTATCAGGACCTATATATAAGCTTAAGTCAAATAGAGATTTAACTGAAGATGAGAGAAAAATGATTGCCGCCGCTGCACTTGATTTCAAACCAAGAAATCCTAATTAAATTTTTGAATTTATGATTGTTTTCATATCGTATATTAATACTAAGTTATAAATAAATGTTTGTATATATTATGATTTATCTTTTTTTTAAATTTATTTTTATTTCCGTTTTTATTCAATATTTGAATTAATTTTTGAATATACACGGAATCAATATTAACCAACGAATAAAAAACTATCACTTCTCTTTTTTTATATGATGAAATCTTTAATCATCATACATTTGTTCTAAATCCAACATAATATTGATTTAGTAAAATCCTCTTTACAATCTCACTTTTTATACGTTTCTAATTTTTTTTTTTCATTCATCTCAAAAAATTTAAATGGCAATGAATCTTTCATCAAATGACCAACTCCTCATGGGCAATGATGGAACACCTGATATTCAGCCAAACTCACAATATGATCAATCAATAAACTTCAGCGACAGTGATTCTTCAAGAGAAAATCAAAACGATCAAAACCAATTACAAATCAATCCAGGAGAGTATAGCCCACGACCAGGCATGGATCCAATGGCTGGAGGTCGCCCTCAAGCACCAGGAGCAAATGGCGGACTGCGTCATTCTGGTGGATCTGATGATCAATTTGGCGGTGGCTTTGGCGGCTTCGCTAATGGTTTCAACCAAGGTAAGTTTAATGCTGGAGCTGATGATCTCGGAATGAGTCCCGGAGCTAATAAAATTGGAAGCTTTGGAAATAATAATTTCGGCGGATTTGGCGGCGGCGGCGCCGGTGGTGGATTTGATTTTGGAAACGATCCAGCTACCAGATCGCCAGAACTCGTTGAGCTTTTCGGCCTTATTTCCGAGTTCCAACCAACAAAGGCAGACTTACCACCACATTTCAAGCCATTCTTACCAGAGCTTATTCCAGCCATTGGTGCTATTGATGCTTTCATCAAAGTTCCAAGGCCTGATGAAGATTTCGAGCCACTTGGCTTAACAGTCCTCGATGAGCCAACAATTGGATGTTCTGACCCACAAATTATTCGTATGCAGTTGAGAGAGAAATACGGAATTGTTTCAAACAAGGAAGGCGATGGATATATTGGATATATCAAAGATTTAGAAAACAATCAGAAAGAGCTTGACACATTCTTAGATAACTACGAAGAATTAATTCGTGATCGTCCACCTCCGACAATCGTTTATTCATATAAAATGCCTGATCTCAACGAACTTCTTGTAGAATGGCCAGAAGCTCTTGAAAAGGCTTTACAATCAATTCCATTACCATCCGCAGACATGGATCTTACTATTGAAGAATATGCTAAGATCATTTGCGCATTTTTAGATATTCCTGTCAAAGGAAACATTATTGAATCTCTTCACGTCCTCTTTACATTGTTTATGACATTCGAAGAGAACCAGCACTTCCCAGAAAACGATGCTCCGAAAACTCCTGGTGAAGAGAGGATGCTTCTTTAAATTTCCTTGTTATTTCAATATTTTATATCTTGTTAATCTCTTTATTAATACTCTCCTTCTCATTTAAACGCTTGATTTGTTTACTTTAATTTGATCTCAAATTTTTAATACTAAATATATTACCATTATACATAGAACTTAAACGTTCTCTAAAAATAAGTCAATTAGAATTTGTTTTTGCTAAATTTGGAAATTCTATTTCATAAATTCAACACAAAACTGAGTTAAGTATAGCTTAATTCTAAAAAATAACATGTTTGGTTGTCTTCAATTTACAAAATTATATAATTTGTTCATAATTTTAATTAATTATCGTAAAAAGGAAGAGTTTGAATAATATTTTTATCACACAAACATAGTATACAATACAAATATAGTTATTCATCGACAAATGATGGGAAGTTTTGGAATTTGATATTAATTTTTTCAGGTTTTTCTGTTTGAATATCAAAAGCTGATGCTTGGAAATAGTTTGAATAAGTATTGCTCCAATATAGTTCTTCAGGAGCATAAACAAGTTCAGGAGGCTTGTTATCAGAGAAAATAATTGTTTCATCTTCACTTTTTTCATCAGCAGGTTTCAAATTCTCAGTAAAATGGTCAGACAATCTTATACTGTTAATATAATGCTTTGCCATGAGGAAATCATCGTCAAGATCGCATTTGAAGAAAGGATCTAAAGCAAGGAAACATGTTGCACCAAGTTCTTCCCAAATGTCTTGATCATATAATATTCCTGCCCTTGGACCAGCAATTATACCTCCAAAGGATGTTTCTACCGTGAAAGATTGAACAACTTCTAATTCAGTACGAATTACAATTCTCGCAGCACTTTTTCTATCATTAGGGAAAGAAAATTCGCAATTTTGCCATGAAAAAGCATCGCAAAGATAACTTAAGAGTCTTGGATAAGTCTTTTCAGTATCCTGGATGACTGTGCCATCATTTGGACATCCGAAAGCGAATGTTCCATGCAATCTTGAATGACCATGAAAATCTACAAACATTACGATTTTTCGTTGTTTCAAAATGCTTTTGATTTCACTTTTTGCTTTAGTAACAACAGGATGAAGAGTTTCATCAGGTTGAGACCATATCCTATTCAAGTCATCACCACTTAGAGAAACTCTGTAGTACCCTTCTATGACTCCATCGATATTCATCATTGGGATAATCTTAAAAATGTAATTTTGTCTCAAAAACTTCGCGATTTTGTTGTCATCAATCAAAGCTTTGAAGAAACCTCTCATTAAGAAGCTTCCATTTGATTCACCAGGATGTATCCTTGCTGTTACAAATATACAATTCTTATTATCATCAGAGATAAACTCATTTGGCTCTGTGACTGTTAAAATCGGACAATCTCTTCCTCCTAAGGTTTGGGACAAAATGTCTTCTTTTACGAAACTGCATCGTTCCTTCCAGTTCTGTATATCTCTGCACAAGTCACTGTATGTATATGGAAGTGCATAAGCTAAGTAGATAACGTCATCATCATAAGGGAATGAAATTGTAAATGAAACTGTGTATCTCTTCTTGAAACGACGTTTTTGACCTGGAAGATTGCCATAACAGTAGTTCTCTCCACCTCTAGTCCAAGAGATGTTCTGTTCTTTGGCACGGTGCTCTGAATACCAGAAAATCTTAGTGCCTGATGAAAAAATACTTCGCTTTTTGTGGAAACCTGTAATATAGAATGTATATTCTGTATTTTTGCGAGCATTCGTAATCCTAAAGTAAAACCATTGACAGGAGCCTTCCTTATTATGATCATATTCGAGAATTAGATTATATGTATTTTCTGAGACATGATAGGCTTCTGATAAGTTACCGCTTTCGAATTTTGAATCAAATCTAAGTATTGTATCGCTTTTATCTGTTGGAGGTTCAAGAATTGGATTAGGAGATAAAATATTATAAACAAGTTCGCCGGATTTATATATACCGCTTTTCATAGAAACTTCTTCGAGATTCTTTGCAAAAGTAGATTTTTCTTTTGATGGTTCTCCTGAATGGATTATATATAAATTATCTTTAAGGGTGGTGTCTGATATTTCAAATTCTTCTATTTCTTGTTCTTCTTCATTTATGATTTCGATATCATCTTCAAACACAATATTATCGCTATCGCTTGACATAATGAAGAAAAAACAATAAGATTTTTAGGCCATAAACTATATTAAAATAAAATGGCTATGGAGTTAAACTTATACCTTGTTAGAGTCAGGTAATATCAGGAAATTTTATTTTGATATTTTTTTAAAACATGTGAAAATTCCAAAAAAATCAGGAGGGTAATAAAAGGAGACAAATGACATACTTCCCTTGTGATTTATGAATAGATATAAATTAATTTTTTTTCTAAAACTTCAACTCTAACTTAATAAATGTAACCGACCCATAGCTCAGTTGGAATAGCATGGGACTGGAGAATTGTGGTTATATCGGGGTCACTGGTTTGAATCCGGTTGGTCGACTTTCTTTTTATTTTTTTTTGTATTGTTGCCCTAACCTTGATCTTCCACTTCTATTTTCATGTTATCCAAGAGTAATTGAACAGAATTATAACTTATTTAGCTAAATACTAAGTCAAAGTGCTAATATACGTCTTTTCATGATAAAATCATCATTAGTAGTAGGATAGGAAGGGTTTAGTGACTTTTTTTGTTACGTCTATATATAGATGAAGGTATATTTTCACATCTTCTATATATAGATGATATAAAAATTTTTTCTTACGTTTTTTAAGTCATGAATTCGTAAGAAAGCGCGACATTATTAAATAAATTAGTAATAAATATTATATACTAAACACATTAAAAAAATTAACATTAATTTTAAAATAATTTATTTTTTTATCTTTTATAAAAGAAGCTATATATAGATGATGTCAGATATTCCGCGATTAATTAAACATTGTTTAAATCCTGAATGGGTTAAACTTCAATTTAAAAAGGAAGATTGTGAATTATTAAATGAATATGAAAGCCAAAATAAGCTAATGAGGTATAAATATAATGATAAAGAATATTTAATTTCATGGAATCAATGGAGTCATAATCAAAGACCTCATAAACGAGAAGAAGAAATTGAAAATAATGAAATGGAAATCATTGATGACATTAAAGAGGATGGAATTCCTAAATTTTGTAGAAAAACCTTTAGAACTAAGTTAGGCGCATATAAACGTAGAGTATTAAATCCTGAATATCTTAAACATATATTTAAAAAGGAAGACTGTGAATTATTAAACGCTAATGAATATGAAAATGCTAAATCAAAACTGAGATATAAATATATTGGAAGTGATGAAAGGTGTAAAGATAAAGATAAAGTTTATACAGTTTCATATAATAACTGGCACACGTTAGGGATAAGAAAACATTTAGGAGATTATGGTAAAAGTTCCGAATTCTTCAAATCTAGTATGTATGAGAGAGTAAAAGAAATCAGATATAATTATCATTCATGAATGAAAGATTCACTACCATAATGAAATAAAAAAAAATAAAAAAAATAAAAAAATAAACTTTAAAAATTCATGTCTTACATTTTTTGAATAATTTATTTTTTTAATTCGTATGAAAATGAGTGAATCAAAATTCGTGACTGTGAATCAATTAATGAATAAACTTTCACCAATTCTCACCCATGTTAAACAAGTAGACGTTTATTTTGATGATTGCATAGAAAGTTTATTTTATAAAGGTAAGTTTAATATTAAACCTATTGCTTTTGCATTTGATGGTAAATTAATCGAAAATTCAAAAATTTGGGAATTAATTCCGGATATTGAATTTATAACAAATATTAAGGATAAGTGGTTTAAACAACAAAACCTTTTCACTAAAGTTCTTTGTAGATTAATGATTAAAACTGAGGAAAAAGAATTTAACGGATTTAAATATCATCCATGTAAAATTTTAGAACTTGGTAACGAAAAACTTCAGAAAAAATTAAACGAAAGACTATCAAAAGATAAAGTTGAAAGAGTAAATAAACTCACTAAAGGTAATGATGATGAAGATGAATTTGATGAGTTCAACATTGAACTTTAAGAAACTAATGATTATTTGAATTTATGAAATCAATTATTTGATTCATTCTTTCTTCAATCTCTTCTATTCTTTTTGTTAAATCATCTATTTTCATTAATGAGGTGATTCTTGATTGAGGAATAGATTTTAAACTAACAACACCTTTTATTTTTGAAATTTTGAATCCATGACCCTCCGGGTCTTGGACTCTGTCCTCAACTTTAAACATTTTATTCAATTTACACGTTGTCAATTCTTCAAATAATTTTTTATTATTAGCATAATAATCATTAAATTCTTCAACAGATGAAAAAATTTTTATTTCAGTAATTGGTTTAACAACGTTTATTTTTTGTTGAACATTTTCACTTTCATTTATTTCTTCCTCCTCTGTTTCATTTATTTTTAAAATCGGTTTCATTTATCATTAAATAAAAATTAGAATATAAGTGATGAAATATATTTTTTAATTAATATTAAATCAGAGATGGCGGCAGGATTCTTTAAAAAATTATGGGAAGGAATTAAGAAAGCTGCAAGTTGGGTTCATCAAAAGATTATTAAACCCGTTGCAAACTTTTTGGCACCAGTAGCGAAAACGGCAGGAACTATCATAGGAGGAGTATTAGGTGCTAAAGCAGGTAATCCGCGATGGGAGCACAAGCAGGTAACGCAGTTGGTGGAATTGCTGAAGGAATACTTAATAAAATAGGAGGAATAGTGGAAAAATAAATATTATTTTTATCTTAGTATCGGTTGTAGTCGACGATAAACCTTATCTCCTTTATTTAATACTTCCCTTACCGGAACATTAGGTGCTATTTGTTCAGCAACGTCACTAATTGCTTCTTTATTCTTAAATATCCAATTTGCTCCTTTCTTAATCCCTTCCCAAACTTTATGCGCTCCTCTTTTTACTTTATCCCACAGTTTTTAAAGAATCCTGCAGCCATAGTTGATTATTTCATTAAAATTAAAAATTCATTTTCATCTTTTAATTTTGATTTTTTATTTAATAATAAATGACGACTAACTATTTAGTGCCAAACACTAAACCGATTAATGGAAATGTATTTCATTCATTCGAAAAGATAAATGAAATATTCGCAAAGAATGACGGAAGAAGATATTATAGAGAACTTGAAAGTTCATGCTATGACTCTGATGCTCCATATTTTGATGATAAACAAACTCATTTAAGAATTACAAATCCGGCTCATGATGTGAACCAATTAGGTGACACATATATTAAACGCAAAGTTAAAGCAACTCTAGTTTCAAATAAAGCTTTCACATGTGATGCCGCTTTTAAATGCATGCGTTTATTCGTTGGTTACAAATCATCAAATCAAAGCTTTAAAGCAATTAGAAGTAGAAACCGAAAGAGGTGATGCTGGTTATCTTCAGATGGATTGCGCCCGTGAATCTTTCGCATTTGCAACATATAAACCAAAATCAGAAAGGAAAGTTAAAAAGTTTGTTCATTCGTTATATAATAATGTTCAAAAATATGATAACTCAGTATGTGGTAAATATATTGACCCTTCAGAAGTTTTCAAGAAAGCAAATGAAGAAGTTGATGTCACTTTTGATATGATTATTCCGGTAAATGATTTGTTAGCATTTCAGGCGTTCGATGATTATCCTAAATCATTTGGTGAAATCATTCTTAAATATTATGTTTTCAGGGATACTTTAGTATTTTGTCAGGTTGACCCGTTAAGAGTTGCTGATTTACAAAATTACGTTTATGAAAAGATAACTGATGAAAATTATGAAAAGATTATGAATCATGTTTATAAATATGATCGCAAATTCCAACAAATCGGACTTCCTGCCAAATTAATTACAAGCTTAGCCGCTACATCTGCTGACGCAACAGTTGAAGACGTTATTATTTCATGCACAAAGATGGAAGTTTTAGAGGATAAATGCATTACACCAGGATACGGTTTAATTGAAGAATCAGTTAAAGCAATACCACGTTTATTTAGTAAGGAAGATCCATTCATGATTCCAGCTCAACATATTGACGTTCGTTCACTAAATGGAGGTTGCATCACTCCTGAAGGTATCAGCTCAGATTTCTCATACGCTCTTCATAATGTTACAGATGTTGTGTTAACATTTCCGAAGAATGCAATGCAAAGAACGGTTTTAGAAAATCCAATGCTTCGAGGTCTTCAGGTCACTATAGATTCCAGAAACTTCCCCGATCAAGCGATGACCACAGTGGGCGACATATTCTTTACACGTATGCTTCAAGCTTCTGATTTAGATGGAGTGAATGAATGCACGAAGAATACGAGGACTCATTAACTAGACCACTGAATGATGATATGGCACGCCATTAGCTAGAACATGGAAAGACCAAACTTCATTCTTATGCACTATTCCAGTTCAACGTGATGGAGCGGGTATATTCTTTGATGATTAGAAACTTTCAACTCACAAGTTACAGTACAAGTGAAAGCTTATCCAATCATTCAGGGTGAAAATGACACTTACTGTTCAAAGTGACAAATCCTCCTCAGGTTTGGTTTACTAGGACTACATATTGGACATGGACACCGGATGAAGGTTTGAAATATCATCCAACAGGTACACCACCACAGTATAGAAGTTCATATGATGAAATATTGATGAATAGAAATGTTTAAAATTATAAATTTATTTTTGATTAAATGGATTTAAATTCATCCACCCCTTATGAAGAATTAGCAGGAGTATATAATACATACGTAGATGATATGATTAATGAAGCATTGAGTGATAATAGAAATGCTCTATCTAAGGAAAAATTAATGAAAATTCCATATTCTGAATGTTACTTAAATTCAATCACTGCAGCAATTGGTAAACAAAATAAAGGTAAAACATTAACGATATTAAAACAAATTATCATTATTGCTAACACTTCACCCTATTCACATGTGTTAATTTATATCAACCGTTCAGGTTCACCTTCAGATGATACATTTGAATCTTTAAAGCATTTAATCAAAATTCCAATTATTTATTTATCACAAGAAGAAGCAGAAGATTATTTAAAAAACTTTTAATGTATAAAGAATTATATAATACAATCAAGAAGCAAGGATTAGAGGATAAAATTATTGATAAACAACGGGATGAATTATTTGAAACACTTTCTATTTCAAATTTTGATAGAGAATTTTTGCATTCACTCATTTTTCTAGATGATGCAGTGAAATCAAAACTAATAACTAATGAGAAATCATATTTTAATCAATTATTAACTCAATGTCGACACATTCAGTGTTCATTCTTCATGGCTGTTCAATACTTTAAAGCATTAAGCACAAACATTAAATCAAACCTGTCCACCCTTTTCATTTTCAGTGGTTTTAGTCGTCAACAGTTGAACGTTATGCTTTATCAAGTGAATTTACCAATGAGCATTAATGAACTTTACACACAATATCAACAATTAGGAGAACATGGAAAAATAATAGTTGATTTAAATAAAGGTTCCATTAAATTCGAATAACTTTTTATAATTAATTTTTATTTTTTATTTATAATTAAACATGACAGAAATTGCAAATCTTCTACAGGTTCCATTAAAACAAGGAACAAACAAAAAGGGTGCATATAATAGAACTATGAAAGTTCCAGACGGAATGAAAGAATTAGTCCACATTGTTGCCGGTCTTCAAAAGGATGTTAAACAAATGAGAAACGTTTTAACATTACCAGAAGCTCAAGCATATGCCAAACGTCACGGACCAAATTGGGAAGCACACGAAGCAGACATTACGGGTCCAAATGGAAAACCTGATGGAATAAATGAAGTTTTCGTTACTGATGGTCAAGGAAATATTAAAGTCATAAATGGGTATAAATTAACAATGACGGATTATCCTAAACGTAAAGCATATAATGAACATTATCCTATGCAATTTGATGAAAATGGAAAAGCTGTTAAACAATACATTGGAGAAGGTGAAAATGGTCCAATTAATTCATACCGTCATAATCCATATTCTTACTTCAATGAAGAATTAAATGCTATTGAAGAGGGACCGGATGGATTACCACGATATTCTAACCAGTTTGATGGTCAATATGCAAATTTAAGACCTGAAATTCCAGCTAAGAAATTCTTTAAAGTTGCTTTATTCGATCCAGTTTTCGCAAATGTTAAAGATGAACTTAAACAGCAATTCCAACCAATTATAGTAGCAAGAATTGCATCAGGTGCTTTATCTCAAGCATTCAAAGATTTAATTAAGAAACCATTATATCAGCAACGAGGTTTAACTTATGATTTAGTTAAGGAATCAGATAAAAGAAAATTTGAGAAATCAAATGATTATAAGAATGCAATTAATGAATATATTCGGTCTATTAATTTCGATGAAAATGCTAAAAATCAACTTCATGAACAAATACAGGAAATAATAGATTCAAAAGTTCCAGCAAAATAAAAGTTTAAATATATTTTTTTATTCGAATATAAATGAGAAGACGTTTCACTAGTCAAAAGAACACTAACGCAAAAGCAGAGATTACGGTTGGTTATAACGTAAATGATGATAAATCACGAATTATTCAAAATGTTAAAGTTAATGTTAGTCCTGAATTAACAAGGTCAGCAACTCAACCAAATTTATTAACTCGTGACTTACCGAAGAATGAGGAAGAGCAAAATAAAGAAGATGGAGACCCAATCATTTTATCTGAACCTGGTAAAGAACCTGTTGAAATTCCCACTTATCCAACATACCCAGCACCACTTGATAACCCATATAAAATAGACATTAATTCTGAATTAATGAAAATTTACCGTGATATCATAACTGATAATTATGATTCAATAATAAATTTAATTGACCAATCCGGTTTAATTATTTTACCTTATGAATCATTAATTCACATTATCGCCATTCTTTGTGATGTTCAAGATTCAGACGTAAGATTCAATTTTTCATAGATGATGAGGTTTCATGCTGCGGAACAGTTGCAAAAATAAATCCTATAAAGGATATTAGCACAATTAAGATATCAAAGAACGGAACAACAACTGAACTTCATTTAACATATAATGATATTTATAATAAAATAGTTGATGAATATAAAATATCACTTGAAAAATTCTTTGTTAAGGCTATTTAATATTCAAGCATTAACATTATCGAATAATAATCCTTTGAATCATAATCGATAATAATTGACCTTTCACCAGTTTCTATCGTTTGTTTTATTTCTTTTTGTTCCCCACTATCCGGATCAGTCATTGTAATTGTTTTTGTTATAGTATCAGCTTTATCTTTAACTTCAATCTTTTTTCCATCAGGATATTTAAACCAAAATTCCAAAAATTCGATATTGTCAATCTGTTCATATTTTAATCTATCAATTACATTTTTAATACCATCTGAAAATCTTATGAAATGGTCATTATATGGGTTTGATTGAACTAAATTTGAATGAAGTGAAATATAACCTGATGATGAATATGACATCGACTCATATTTTCTGAAAACACTAAAATTTATAACATGAATGAATTTCTTATTCGTTGAATTTATGAATTCTTGAGGTAATCTTATTCTAGTTTTATTTATCACTGGAAAATAACGCTTTACCATATTTTTAATCGTAATAAAAAAATGTCAATTATCAATATTATTTCGAATAATAACTGTGAATTAAATTTAACAGTTAGTGGAATTTATAATGTTACTCTCGTTTCTGTGAGTGGTAAATTTAATCCCATTCTTTTAAACCCTTCAGATTATATATCATTTATTAAAGAGATGACCATGAAAAAACGTATGATATGTATATAAATAATGTGATAACGAAATGGGATATTAACATGATTTTAAGTTATTTAAATGAATCATTTATCGTATGGTATGAAGAAAATTTTAAATCAAAACCTGATAAACTTTTTGAACTTGATGAAATAAATAATCTTATTAAATTTCCGCTGAAAATTAAATTTTGTACTCCTCGTCTTCGTTCATTGTTGGGGATATTAAATTTTGAAAAAGATGTTGGGGATGTTTTGTATTCTGACACTGGTTCTAATTTCATTTTAATCAAATGTGATAAAGTTAATACCCCAATGAGATTTTCACATCAAACATTAGACCCTAACTCTTACCCATCAATACAAAACATTTTATCCATCAACTTAAACATATTTTCTTTATCATATCCGTTTCAATTATCCGGGAATTCATTTATTCTTCATTCAAAAGATTTATCAAATATTAAATTTAGAATAACTGACCTATTTGATTGTGATTTAGAATTTATGAATGAAATATTATGGCAATTTCAAATAGAAAAAATAGCTGATGAGATAACAGATTAAATATTTATTTTTAAATCGTAATAAATGATTAAACAACAGCAACCACAGACCATTACATACGCCACATATGCATATAATTCAAAGACGGCAGAACAAACGCAAAGGTTGAAATATGGAGATTTGGAGATAGTATTGAAAAATGACCATTTTGAATTCGTTTGCAAAGGTGGTGCGGTGATATCAAATATAAAAGAAATTTTATTTATGAATTCAAAAATTAAAGGTATAACGGATGATATAACATCATTTCCACCAGAAGAACAAAGATATTACGCATTAAATGCATTTCCTAAAGTTTTGAAGATTGGAAGATTTAATTTAAATGAGGAATTCATAAAAGGTTTCCTAAATGACATAATGAAGAAAGCAAATTTGGTTTATGTTGATGAAAAAGATAATGAAATTATAGAAAGGGTTGATAGTGAATTAATGAAGAAAGCAAATTTGGTTTATGTTGATGAAAAAGATAATGAAATTATAGAAAGGGTTGAATGGTATCATGAACGGACATCAAAGATTTTAAAAACTAAAGCTGATACAGGATGGGTTTCAGGATGTTTAGACCTTAAGGCAGATAAGGAATATGTTAACGATGAGTTAAATAAGAAGGTAGATAAAACATATGTTAACGATGAGTTAGGGAAGAAGGCAGATAAGGAATATGTTAACGATGAGTTAAATAAGAAGGTAGATAAAACATATGTTAACGAAATATACCAAAGTTTGATAGGAACAAAAAATATTGAAACTATTGTTGGTGACTTTTCTGTCAATGAAGAAAACAAATATTTTAGATGGGAGTTTGTACAGTCCTTAAGAAATGGTATACGGTATAAACTCATTCCGAAAAATAACAATGAAATGTATGTAGGCTATATAAAGAATAATGGCACACAAGTTAAAGTTCCATTAGACAACAACTGCTACTTAAACTTATATGGAGACGAACAAAAGAAATATTTAAGAGTTTATGAAATGACGGATATGACATTGTCTAACGTAGCTCCAGCACCGTATTATTATGACTATGGTGTTGACGCACGTGTAGACCCAAAAAAGCAAACATTATATTTAGAATATTATAGATATAAAAGATATAATGCAATAGAAAAAACGAGAATAGTATACTATTATGAAGATGACAAAAATAAATATTATAGTCAAGATTTTACATACCCTGAAAACATAAGATTATATTATAAAAAATATTCTGACACAAACCAGAAGAAACCCGAAATAGTTACACTATATTTTAAGTTCAAAAGAGACAATCCTATAATATCTCATATGTTTGATTTAATGAACCCAGTAGGTTCTATTTATACATCTATGGATGTGAGAGGTCCTCAAGCAATGTTTGGTGTTGGTGCATGGGAACAAATAGTCGACAGGTTTTTGTATTGTGCAAACTCTTCAAAGGAAACAGGGGGAAGTAAAACGATTACAGGTGAAAATTTACCTGCACACAGTCACTACATAGATTTAAGCACATCTCAAGCAGGTTGGCATAAGCATAGATATTGGGATTGGTCAGGAATGACAAAAGGTAAAGGATATGATGTTAAAGATGATGTTAAATTTGCCATAAATTGTTACTGGAGTGACACTCAGGGAGAAGGAAACCATACACATCGCGTTTCAGGATATACACAAACAACGGGACAAAGTAAAGATTACATGCCACCATTTATGACTGTATTCGCATGGTATAGAGTTCAATGAACGCTCAATGTTTGTGAAACAAACTTTAGGAGCTCCAAAAGAGCAAACGACATAATTTAAATTTTTATTTTTATCATAAATGAAGATTCTACCATATGGTGTTATTGGAAGAGATAAAGATGGAAACCCAATATTTGATCCAAAGTTAAAATTAAAGTTACTGACAAGACAACAACTTGAAAAGTTGCTGAAACCAAAACAGAATGAAAAATGAGAAAATGAGAAAATGAGAAAGAAAAAAAATTTAAATTATGCAATTTTATTTTTATCATAAATGACCAAATTAATTAAGCCAACTATTTCTAAATTAATGATACCAATGAAATCATTTCATGGAGTACTTATCCCAGGTTCTTCACAATTAGCCGGGGCAAGTGTTGTGACTCAAGGTGGAACATTAGCGAATCCATTCAAATTATTAACTAAAGATGAACTTAATAAAATGATGATAAAATAACTGATAACAAAATTTTATTTCACTACTACCATAAAAACAGGTGAAAAAACAGGTGAGATCTCACCTCTTCACCTAAAATATATTTTAGGTCAAAGCTTCCACGAGAGAAAAGATTCCTCATTCGCTAAGGATTCCAAAAATGAAAAAATCATTGATTTCGGCTGAGAAAAAACAGCAAAACCCTTCTTCCACGGGAACAAAGAAATAAAGAAGAAATAAAGAAGAAATAAAGTAAATTTTTTATTTATTCCCGTGGAAGATAGAGCACTTTTATGACACTTTTTATTCACGACAAACAAGACAAACAAAGAAAATAAGAAAATACGGCGCCGTCGCGGTTCGAAACACAGACCCTGACCCCTCCATAACACCACCTTTGACCACTGTGCTACGTAGCCTGTCGACATAAGATTTTATAAATTGCATATTTGACGTAAATTTATTTCCCAGTTATTCAAAAATAATTAATTAATTATTGAATAACTGAAGGTGCTACCATGTTACCATGTGCTACCAGGTCATTTAACTTCTCTGAAAAAGTGTGACAACATGACATTTTGACAACACAGCAGGAGGAAGGTAGTTATGAATTATTTTTGAAGAACTGAAGGTGCTACCATGTTACCATGTGCTACCAGGTCATTTAACTTCTCTGAAAAAGTGTGACAACATGACATTTTGACAACAACACAGGAGGAAGGTAGTTATGAATTAATTATTGAATAACTGAAGGTGCTACCATGTTACCATGTTGACAACATGACATTTTGACAACACAGCAGGAGGAAGGTAGTTATGAATTATTTTTGAAGAACTGAAGGTGCTACCATGTTACCATGTGCTACCAGGTCATTTAACTTCTCTGAAAAAGTGTGACAACATGACATTTTGACAACACAGCAGGAGGAAGGTAGTTATGAATTAATTATTGAATAACTGAAGGTGCTACCATGTTACCATGTGCTACCAGGTCATTTAACTTCTGAAAAATGTGACAAAACATTTTGACAACAGTTCAGGAAATATGATGCAGCCCAAAAATAAAGTTAGTTTTAAAATTATTTTTATTTTTTTATTCCTATATAAATGACAGCAACAAACAACAACAGCAACTATATCGTTTCTGATGAAAAAGTTATTGATTTCAGCTGAGGAATTAGTTGTGGCAGAAACTAAAACCTCAACGAAAGAATTGGTGAAAACAGGATTGATTTACATAACTACCTCAAACATGATGGAGGAAGAGGAAGGAAAACTGGTATGGTTTATTAGTAATAAAATATCAATTTAACGATTATAGATGTTGATATCAATAAATCGTACAATGATGAACTTAAAAGAAACAGTTAGAAAAGACATTTTATCAAAACTTTCGGATAAAGATGTTATCGTTAAAACCGCTTCAGGAGGTCTTCACATTTATTGCAACACTAATTTCTTCTATGCAGTTTCGAACAGAATGATTAAATGTTATTCCTGCAATGATTATGATATTGCATATCATGACTTCTATGGATGATTCAAAGCGTTCTTTAGTGGTTATGGCTGATTCAAGAGTTCGCAAGAATGCAACAGAACCAATCAATACATACTCATTCATTCGTGGAAGTTATGATTCAACATTAACTAGAACAGTGAATGATATATTAAATGATTTGAATATTAAGGTAAGAGTTGAACAGAAGAATGAAGAAATAAAGACTATCATGAATGAAAACAAAGATGTAAACATTGACGATAAACTAGCTCAGAGCATAGTTGATGCATCTGTGATTTTGAAGTACATAATGACGGTGGAAACATGAATTTAGAAAAAGAAAATAACATTATTCACACTGTTTCAAGCTATTAATTCGTTACCGGATCATTTAATTAATGAAGCATACGATAACGTTTATAACTTCTGCGTTTAACAGAAAATGCAAAAAGTAATTTTGAAAGCACGTAGTAGATATGCACATTTAATGACTTCTCCATTTGTTTTAGTGAAGATTCTAAAACTATATCAAAAGGAATATTATGATGAATATGTTTTACCTTTATTACGTAAGCCAAAAATAACATTTGATATCAAACTTGATGACTCGTTTTTGATAACAGATATTAGACGCAAGGCTGAAAATCATCAGTATAAAAACAGTTCTGAAGTAATTGAGGATTTATCACGTGTAATCCGTTTTGTAGATTGTGGAAATAAATATTTCATTCAAAAGGACTATAATATCCACGACAAAATGAATCAAATATCATTTGTTCTTCAGTCAAACATGAAAGAGTCACTCAAAATGATTAAATTATTTAAAGAAGAAGGTAAAACCATAACAGCATGGGATGTACTACTAAATCAATTGTCTTCATTAACCGTTAAGGGTGTTTGCTTTAAATCTGATTCCCCAGATGTTTTCTCAACGTTTCAAGGTTATAAATACAACGTTCTCGAAAAACCAGATTACTCAAAAATTGAGATGTTTATGAATTTCATTAAAGAAGCCATTTGTGATAATAACGATGAAGTGTATAAATACCTTCTCGGCTGGATTGCATCAATGATTCAACATCCCGGAATCAAGAATGAAACAGCAATTATTTTGAAAGGACTTCAGGGAACAGGTAAAAACAGATTTACAGACATTATTTCTGAACTTCTCGCTGGTTATTCATGTAAAAACATTACCGAAATAAGTGAGCTAACGGGTAATTTCAATTCAGTAGTTGAAAATAAAATGTTTCTTGTACTTAATGAACTCAAGAATGTGGGTGAAGACAGACTCGCAAACTTCAACGCTTTGAAATCAATTATTACGGATAATGAGATAAGAATTAATGAAAAGAATCAACCCAGAAGAACAGCTCAGAACGTTGCAAACTTCATTTTCGTAACTAACAACGTCTACCCTGTCAAAATTGAAGTTGGAGACAGAAGATACGTAGTTTTTTAAGAGTTAATGGTAAATTCAAGGGTCAATTTGATTACTTCAAGAATTTAATGGATTCATGCACAAAGGAATTTTATGATAATTTACTGACGTATTTTATGCAATATGACCTTTCATCATTTAATGTACGAATCATACCGATGACTGAAGCCAAACAAGATTTAATTGAATTATCATCAAATCCTTTAGATGTATGGATAAATACACATTATGATGAATTGTGTGCAGGTATGACGTGTGAAAATGCTCTATTCTGCAAACCATCAGACATGAAAGACAAAAACTTTCAAATGAGTATTAAGGATAAATGTGATAGGAAACATAGAAGAATAGACGGTAAACAAACATGGTATTATGTTTTGAAAGAAGAAATGAAAGGATTATATAAACAGGTTGAACCAAACGATAATGAGGAATCATTTACTGATGATGAAATACCTGTAAATGAGCCGCTAAGCGGCGAGACCTGAAGGTCTAGCTTTATAAAGTATGATTGGAATTTATTTTTGCATTAATCCTGCTGTGTTGTCAAAATGTCATGTTGTCACACTTTTTCAGAGAAGTTAAATGACCTGGTAGCACATGGTAACATGGTAGCACCTTCAGTTCTTCAAAAATAATTCATAACTACCTTCCTCCTGCTGTGTTGTCAAAATGTCATGTTGTCACACTTTTTCAGAGAAGTTAAATGACCTGGTAGCACATGGTAACATGGTAGCACCTTCAGTTATTCAAAAATAATTCATAACTACCTTCCTCCTGTGTTGTTGTCAAAATGTCATGTTGTCAACATGGTAACATGGTAGCACCTTCAGTTCTTCAAAAATAATTAATTATTGAATAACCTAAAAACCATGAGACTTTGTCTCCGGACTCTTTGAGTCACTTAACGATAAAATAAGTGATAACAAATTTTTATTTTTATCATAAATGAATACCCCACAAGCTCAAAATTTACCACGAATCATAACAAGGGAGGAAATGATAAAAATGATGCAAGAACATGTTAAAAATAACAAACCACTAAAATTGAGAAAATGTGGTTATGCAGTAATGATGGAAAGAGAGATGTTGTCGAAGAGGAATAAAAATTAAATTTGGATTGAGTTTAAAAATTCATCTTTATTAAATTCATCTCTTCCAATCAATTTATTTATTCTATTAAATTCTTTTATTTTTGCTTCACTCAGTTTAAGGATTGAACGTAAGTTTCTAATTTTTCGATTATTTCTTTCCTCTCTTTATCGTTTTCAACCCCACCGCATTGTGGCTTCTTTTTGTAATAGCATATTTTGATTTAATTCTGTTTAGTTTCTTTTATATTCATTGTCTGGACTCTTGGATGCTTCGTTGTCACTCATTTCTTACGAAATAAAAAAATTAAATATTATTTAAATATAATGGAGTAATAAAA